TCTCAATGTCTACATTTAAATAACAAATTTCACAAATTATTTACAAGGTAGTAGCGAGAAAAGTATTCGCATTCGTACAAATATGATATTGCAAATCAGGATAGAATAGAGCAAACTATAGTAATAGAAAGTACCTTGGTGATTTCCATATTAGTAAGCAGCGTACCATATGTCAAGAGACACACTTAATCTCAATAAAAAAAAGCCTTTTGTCTATAATAATAGCTTTATCACCATTTAATGGAAACGTTTGTCTATTTTTAGAAGAAATATTATAAATTGAAAAAAACCCCCCGAAGTGTACAAATTAACGATCTGGAGTCAAACTGAAGTCTTTAATTGCACAATATCATTTAAATAACATTAAAACCATAACGTAAATATTAAACTTAAAAACACCCTTTGTAGTGGGTTTGATACAATTACTTAGGATACAATGTTGTCCAACCAAATATTGGTAAAGGGATGTTGATATAAAGCGTAGGTTTATTAAAATAGGTTTGCATATATAGTATAATGTTTTCATATTCTCCACCGCCCAATTCTAATCGGTTTCTCAAGTATGATTGGAAAATAAATCACATGATTGTTATCTACTATAGTTGGCATATTGTGATTATATCGCATAGAACAATTATTAATCAAGAGTCAAAATAATAATAATACACAATATGACAATATTTCCAAATTCGGTGTTGCACCGTTATTTGTATGAAATTACATGACCAACAATACTTTCTTCAATGTTACCAAAAAAGGTATTTGTTTAGACCTTACCAGAAATCTTCGAACGAGACATGCAAAGCTATATGGAAATGTAATTTACGGCAACAAATACGATTATGTTAGCAATGTTCGAAAAGCAAGGCTTTGAGCTTCCCAACGATGGCCAAACAAAATGATTTATATTACTGAAAGGATTGTAAGTATTTAACGACGTACTTTCACCTCCCCTTTTTAACAAAGGGGCTGATGTTCAAATAAAATTATGATCCAATCTGGGGGATTAGGGGTGATATAAACATCGAATATACGACTTAGATAATGGAACCAATGCAAGAGCTTAAAAATTTTTATAATACGGCAAAGTTATATTCGATATAACACCACGACAATGTATTACTGAGAAATCAAATCTCAAAGCAAATTGAATACACCACAAATGGAAAAGATGTTACTTTAACAGTTAGATCAAATAGCAGACGCAAAGCTGCGGTTTCACACAAGTGGTTGAAAATGTGTGACGAATATTTACGCTTAAACGCACGTTTGTTTAGAGTTAAAGATAACGAGAACAATCGTTCTAGCATCAAAGGGAATTGCCTTAACATCGTGATGTGTTAGATCAAGGCTCTCGCAACTAAACCTATTTTGAAAATGCGAAAGAGAAATAATCGGGTTTGTGGGAAGAACTCTTCTCCGAGTTGTAATTGTTTCAATAATAAACACAGTATTTGTTTGGACATATGCGCACTCGACAATTATTTCTAAAGAAACAGACCACACATAACAACCATAAGCAGCAGCTGATAATCTCGACACAGACGCCATTGACATGTGAATCTGATCTCAGCTTTCGTTCATATGACATTAAAAAGTCTATTTGAAATAGGATGTCGGAATGAGGCATACCGGTAATAATAAAATTTCAACTTTAACATTTTTAGCGAAACAGCCGCCTTATCTACCCAGAGTTCTAATAGTCAATTTAACCTTTTTTCTTGTTCGTAGCAATGTCCAAAATTTAGACGAGCACATGTGAAATAGTAGTGCCAAAAAAAGATGGGACATGAAAAATGTGGAGGATCATCGTCTTATTATTACTAAATGTGTGGGTGTGTGAAGTAGATCTCTTGCGATAAGACGTGTTACTTTTTAATTTACTATGTTAACCCTTGGTATTACAAATAGTATGGAAAAAAAATCTGTATTAGACCACTTACGAATATCGTTATGCTTTTGTTAGTTGTCTTACGGGAGGTTACAACACCAATAGAATTAATATTGTAAACGAACTCTGGTGTAACATTCAGTCATCTTTGATCTACATTTCTAGTATACGTAAACCATCGCTAGTGAAACGTAATTTCATAGAATGTTTACCTATTAATTATTCAAAGAGTGCATGCATATAGAATTACTTAATGATACATACAAGTTAAACTTAATAGTTAAAGCATTCTATTTAGTTGTTATTGGTCTTAAACGCACAGACATACATGACTGCATGCATGCTGTATTTGCATACATGTAATACAAAATGTTCTATCTAATTAGTTCAATTAGTATTAAAAGAATTAATGAGCCCCGTTTCAGACATGTTCTAAAGTAGAGAATGCGTGTTCGAGTCTGCTCCACAAGAAAGCAAAATATACAGCTAATATCTGATTCGTTTCGAATAAAACGTTAGCCAAATCCATCACATCACGTCTTTCCCTACCTACTGTACTACCCTCCTCTCCACACCAACCTTTTCATGGATTAACACATCATACATACACACACAAAAAAAGAATATTTCAAAAAATGGGCAAATTTAATAAAAAAAAGGGTGAAATTTCAATAATAAAGGGACGCAGCAAACTATTAAAAATTTTATACTAGGTGGATTTTGCAATTTAACAGAAGAAAAGTATATAAATTCAATAAGTAGAAAAGCAAAATGAGAAAACAGTACGTAAACGAGAAAATCACAACAATACAAAAATACAAGGCTTAGTGCAACGGTAATAGCCGTACTCGAAAATCTAATGTTGAGTGGTATTGTAGAAAATATTGCAATTTGCAAAGAAGGGGGGGTGGAATCCCCGCCAAAAATAAATGAAAAAAAGTAATAAATACAAAAATTAACCAAGCATTACGGTTTTTTGTGAGTTATTTGTGAAGAAATATAGCAAGCTAACGATGTACTATGTATATTAACTTACTATAAATGAGCTGACATGCTTGTGTTGGAAAATTTTTGCATAAGTATGAACTAACATTCACGGAATTTCGCAAGTAATTAATGTTTTGTTTCACAGTAAATTATGTAAAGAAATTAATATGCCTAGACATGAAAATAATTAATAACCAGAAATTGAATTTTTATTGCAAGGTTGGGGAAATTTTTAATGCCTTATTATTATAGTAAATTGATCGAATTAATTCGATTGATACACAGGCAAACTCGATAAGTCGGTCTCTCGATAATTCAATTTTGGCCTAAGAAGGCCAAAACTTCCCAAGCTCAAGCCCTTTTCTCAGTTTTAATATTTAAAATCTCTCGATAAGTCGGTTCTCTCGATAAGTCGGTCCATCATGCATGACCGACTTATCGAGTTTGCCTGTGTATTTATATTTGGGCCAATCCTGAAACGATCTGGAGTATTAATGTTAGTAACAAAAGGATATTGTACCGGGAACTGGGACATATTTTCCTGACATTCTGGATTTCAAAATTCCCTTTGCTTTAAATTTCTGCTACATTTAAATACTATTGTGCAAAAAATTTTCAATTTATCAACAAAACTATCTGGTAATTTCTGACTGACATATAAGGGAATAATATCTAACAATGGTGTAAACATCTTACAATGCAAAATCTAAAGGTTGTTAATATTATTTAGAAAATACAGAACCTGTTGTTTAAAATACTATTATATTTTTCGTCAACATTTGAAATTTTTAATATTCTAAAAAATAATAATAAAATTTTTTTAATTATAGTTTCTTCTGCTGTCCAAAAAAAAAAGGAAAAAGGAAGCACCTCACAACAAGAGTATGTAATCTGTTACCAAAGAATAAGCAAATAATATTTATATTAATGTAAAGGTATTACTGGTACGTGAACTTGTTCATTATGCAAAGACAACAAATTAGGTGCAAGGTGCCATGTAACGTGAAACTGTCAACAAGTTAAGTACACTCGAATAAACTATGAAAAATTGGAAGGTCAGTATAAATCCATCGTTTACATCTTTGATAGCAACTTCGCGGATATTTATTCTATGCCATGTAGTTAGGTGTCCATATTGTAATAGGGAGCTGATGCAAACATTCAAAAATAGAGTCGCAAAGCGAGAATGCCCCGCATCAATTGATATATATTTTTTTGCTTTAATAAAAGGCAAAGATAATGAAATTTTCATTTACAAAAATTCTATATTGACTGACCAGTGTTAATTGTGATATGAGTTTAATTTTGAATAAACAATATAAACTGGTGATTTGTTGTAATCTTTATTTAATTTATTATCCATAGTTACGAGCGAAGTGATAGAACAATTACAGTTACAATCAATTGTAAGAGACCAAATAAAATTTGTAACACTTGCGAATTCTGACCCGAGACTCTATTGTGGACGCCTCTCTTGTCTTTGTCAACCCTACATAAAGAATGTGAGGGGCAAATCCGTTATTTTGTCCACACAGACCAATATGGTTAACTAATACAAAAGATTTTGTCCGATGAAAAAGGAAAGTTGTAACCAGATCAACATCCTCGCATATGGAACATAAACAAACCAACTTATTTTAATGCCCCACGAACCGAATTTCAGGGGTGCACATAATAATAATGGACAATGATGACATTATTTAGTTTTGACAATCCACTGTCAGAAGAAAGAAAAAGGAACGCTCATAGGTGCGTTTTTGGCTCGATTATTTCCTCTGTTTTATGTGCTTTGATGCTTAATCGAATGTGTCAGATTTCCCAATAAGGGCAACGACGGCAAGTCGTTTCTAAATAAATGCATCCAAATAACGAATAATAAGATTGCAAAAGGTCTGAAACCAAAATTGAAACTACAAAATGTCAAACGTTATTTGACAAACAATAGCTCGTGAAAAGAATAGTAACGTTAATTATTTGATCCAGGAAACAATAATCGCACAGTGTGATTCAACAATTTGACCCCTGAAACTCGCTCGTATGTTGACTGGCTCTTCTTGTAACATACCCAATTTTTGTTCGCTTTCTCACCACCTCGCCGTTTTCTTTTATCTTTTGTCCTTTAATGGCGTCTGATTTCCTAGCCTTACTTTCTAGAGATTTTGGTCATATTCTCGAATCTCGAGACTACGTAGACTTGTCCATAAAGAGTGGCAAAGAATCTGATGTAAAACTCTTCGAAGCACATAGTCTTGTTGTGTGTGCTCGATGTCCGTATTTCAAAACCATATTAGAAAAGAACATTAATATGAATAAGAAGTCTTCATACTTTGTCAAACTGGAAAATATTTCACCAGACATATTTGAACCATTACTAAAGTGAGTATAGAATTCCATTAATTTTGCCAATATGCAACCGCCCCGAGTTCGTTCCAGTAGATCTCATGTCTTTAATAGGTACATATATACAGGTTCTTTGCCAATATCCAAACACTCAGCTGAAGAATTACTATCTCTTCTGCTTGCAGCGAAAGAATTAGGTCTCAAAGATCTCGTATCGTACTTCCAGACGCGTCTAGTGACTCATCATTCGTCATATCTGCTACGTAATATAATTTCAATCAACAAGCTTGCTACAGCTAATTCAGAATTGTTCACCGTCCTCGATCAATACTGCAAAAAAATTGTCGACTCGCAACCGTCAATTTTATTCAGATCAAGCGAGTTCACAACACTTGACGAGGGAATTCTAGTTTCTTTGTTGCAAAGAGACGATTTACAAATACCAGAGAGCTCTGTGTTTGATTATATTTTTACTTGGGGATTAGCCCGGCATCCTAGTGTGGATGAAGATCCTGGAACTTGGACAGCTGAAAATGTTGAATCATTGAGGGATACCTTGAAAGAATGTATTCCGTTGATAAGATGGTTTCATATTCCTTCTTGTGACTTTGTGGATAGGGTAAAAATCTTCGAGAAACTATTACCAGAAGAGTTGTATTACGACTTGTTACGTCATTATATGGTTCCGAATTATGAGCCTACTTTTATAGTATTACCGCCCAGAAACCGTTCGAGCCAGGTCGTTCAAATCTTGAAACAGATTGTAAGTGCAGACTGTGCAAGGAGAAATGGGCGAAGATCAATAGCTGCAAACGAAAGCAACAAAGGAAAATCAACATCATGTCATAATGGGCTACGCTCCCTTAGCGAAAAATCCAACTCACAAGTATCGAGTAAGCGCACTCGACGCCTTTACAGGTTGTCAGACTCGGAGGAAGAGTCAATCACAGCCCCGTTGACAAGGATATACATAGAGAACGATCGTCTCAGGTCGGTCCTATTGACTCGAGCTCAATCCAATTGGCTTGCATCGATCATCCAACCTAATTCACCGTCAACACTTACTTTCACTCTCTTACTTCGTGGAACTCGTGATGGGTTTTCATCTGAAGTGTTTCACAGCCTCTGTACTAAAGTCGGACCAACAATAACAGTTGCGCGTGTTGCATTGAGTAATGAACTTGTCGGTGGATATAACCCGTTGAACTGGATTTCTACCCTTGATTTTGATTATGCTGAAACGGACTCGAGTTTCTTGTTTGCACTTAGAGGTCAACAGGAAACTGGATTGGTAAGTCGTGTTACAGATACATCTACTGCTGTCAGATATCACAAGAACTATGGACCTATATTTGGGGGGGGGACATGATTTGGTAATGCTAAATAATACCGAGATCAGTATGTGGAGTTGTAAAAAGTATTCATATGCTAATCGTATAAGGGCAGGAGAAGGTTGTTTTGTGATTGATGAATATGAGGTTTTTGCTGTACAAATAAAATAATTTGCCAATCGAATATTTTTATTGCAATTATTAAATAGATGAATGATACAAGGAATTATGATATTTGGTCTCCTGGCAGGGACCAGTAATATTAATAAGGAAAGCTCGCATACATTTGTTGTTTATTCCATATTCCACTTTGCAGCTTGTCTATTGTATACAACCTATTCGTCACCGCCTGCTTCCAACCATTTAGCATATTTCTCTAATCTTGCAGACTCTTCTTCCTCAGTTTCATCTGCCTTTGAACCTGATCGTTGGAATCTACGCTTGCCGTCATAATGCCCTGCTTCTACACGACGACCACCAAAGAAGCGACCATTCATTTTCTGTTGATAAATAAAGAGTGTTTTAATAAGACAACAAGAAAGCAGATTTCCCAATCGACTATCCATATATATTATGAAAATAACATACTAGAATACAGGCTTCAGCACTAAGCGGTTCCTTAAATCTGATCGAAACAACGCCTTCAGGTTCTTTCTGTTTAACGCAGTATACGACATGATTGTCATTATCGAATTCGGGAATCATTTTGTAAACAGGAAATAATCAGACTTACGTCATACAGGACTACATTCGTGACTTCGCCCAGCTTCTCACACTCTGATCGGATGTCTTCCTTGAGGTCTAGAATTAAACCTACATCTTTCTGCAACAATATTTAACGAAAATGTCTGTTAAATAGACATGCTAGTCGTGGTGAAATAAATATCATTCTGATTACCTCTATTTCTTCAAGCGTAAACATATGCTTTAGTATGACAATTTTGCTGTGACGCTCGGCCTTTTTACCAGTTTCTTCGTCAAACCAATCAAGTTTTCTAACAGACAAAGAAGAAGAAAAAAAGGGGTTAAAATCACATTGACATGAAATCCGGACAAGCAATATTTGGAAAAGAAACACGCCCATACTTTTCGAGCTTTTGACGCGCCTTTTGCACTATTTTTTTGTCTGGTTTGTTAGTAGCATTCTTTCGATCATTTTGATGAGAAGTATCGGATGGCTTTGGCTCTTTGGGTTTAAATTCTGCCTGCAAAATGTGTTTTCCCAATATGTAAAATCGCCCAATACAATCCAAGCATTCTATAATGGGCGGTGATGGCGTTTCAAACAAAACATGTAAATGCAGCATAAACTAACCATCTGGACACGAATCTTGGACTCTTTCCCAGGTCGTAGATCGGTATCATCTAGCAACTGGCACGCTAAAGTGACAGATTCTTCTTTCAGGTAAGTGATCAAAGCGTCTCCTTTGAGGTTATTCTTATCGTCTTTGTAAAGTTTGATCCTTGGTCCACCTTATAATAGTGAAATTAACAAATAAATCCGACTCTATTCTCAATAAAATATTGCACCCATATTGACAGCAATCAATCTGGAAGCGTTTACGTGTAATTCATCAAGCTTATCTTTTTCCTTGTCCCTCGTCATTTTTGACAGTACTAGAACATACCGTTGACAAAATCTTCCATTAATACACCATATTTAGAGAATACTTCAGCCAACTCCTCAACTGTGACGTCGCTAGGTAGGTTGGTGACGTAAACCGACGTGTTGACTGCCTTCTTTTTCTGCTGTTGATTATCTTGCTTTTGTTTCTTTCTTGAATTACTATCTGGCTTCAAAGGGTGATTTAAAAGAGCGCATTGATTAATCAGTAGGCCTAAATTAGTTAAACCTGTTAAGAGGAATGAAATAATCCACGAAAGAGAAACGTCGACATACGTCGTCCATGGTGTAGACGTTTTTGCGTTTGTTGCGTTTTTCTGGAATTACCGGAGCCTATAACAGTTTTGGCAGTGAGTTGGCGATAGCAATTAGTCGAAAATAGGAATCGAGTGCAATATTGAAGAATTGAGTAGATAAAACTTCAATATCGTCATTTTAACAACCATCGAAAGAGCTTTATTGATAAGAATATTGGAACAAAATCATTATAAAAGTAGCCAATTTGTCGGCTTGCAACTAATTCTATAGCTACGACAAATTACGTTGCAACTCGACCATTGACAAGAAGAAAAAGTTATGCGTAGTATCTCTAATAGAAGACACCATTAACTATGACAGCAAACCCCCTTGTTACAACCACAAAACCTCAAAATCTTTGTAAACCATGAATCCGTTAATTAGCCTCGAATACATCAAATTTACACTTACAGATTCGTCCACTCCAGGCACGGAATAAGCCGACTGTTGAGCTTCAATCAATTGCTCATTAAACTGCAAACGTTTCCCAGGCGTCAATGCTCTGTGCTCCGCCCCTCCTTCGAGCTCATTTATTCTATAGAAGCTGTGTCCTCATACCATAGGAAACCAAGCCCCTTGTGCCTCATCGTATTCGTATGGCACTCCGTCGTCGTCTGTGTATGTCCATTTTCCTGTTTCTTCAATAAAATGCATACGTGGATCAGAAGAAAATTCCGACTTTACGCTAGAAACGGATTTTGTCGTGGTGCTAGTATCGTTAGTCGACATAATAGTGGATATATTGTTAGAAACGGTTTCTTGAATTTAGAAACAGATATAATAAAAGTGGTGAGTCGAGTTTGGTTGTCGCTGAACACATTTACTATTTACTACGACACATAGTCACGTGTGTAGTAGAATTTCCGTGGGCAATAATGAAAGAAAGCAAGTTAATCGCGCGGTTCCAAATTAGTATTCGCAAGGTTCAGTCCATATGTTTGCACTTGATGGCTGTACATGAAATATCTATCGTTAAAGCTGTGTATTTACGCGTTTTGAAATGCTCTCACTCCCAGTATATTAGGCCATCGTCTTGAATCAATTATTCTCTATTGAATAATTTTTCAAGTATTTGTATTAAATGTCGATTATTTACCACCAACATATAAAACTGACACAAAATTTTGCTTGAAGTTATAACATGCTTGATATAAGGTTATCTCTATCTAAAAATACTATACGAGATAATTTAAAATCGATAATCCAAAAATTACAGCACGATTAGAAGTTTTGTTTTTTTTTGTTTAAAAAAAATGATGAACAAGTTGTTTAGCTATTACTATAGAATAGATAAATGTCAGATAGAGAAGGAGTAAAAAAACTAGTGTCTTCTTTGAGTGCATCTTATGCTTTTCCTATTTCCAAGCAAGCAAAATGCGTGTTGAGTATATCAAACTTTTAGCGATACAATCCAAATATCACGTAAATATGCTATAAATTCCTCAAACGTATATTTGTATAAAACGTGCCTATCTCTCTGACTAAAGTTGATGGACGCGGGGGAGCAATACTTGCGACTTTTTCAAATATAAATGTATAAACTTATCAGTAAATATATAATGTATAAAGCTTGACATAATAATAATAGTAGTTTTACGATATTGAGCAGTAGAAGCTATTGCCAATGGCTACATTCTATCATAACGGATTGACTAGATTGGTGTTATGCAATAAAAAAGAGAAATCTATTAATATTAATAATATAGTAATTTGGGATGAGCGGATAATAATAATAAGCAAATTGTTTGTAAACCGGCTTGTATTTATTATTATTTCCTAATTTATTAATTCAGAAATGTGACTGTTCGATTAGTTTTGTTATCACATCCGATAGAAATCGAGGCATATTCAATCTAATTTACAGGCAAATAGAACTAGGCTTGGCCATTCTTTGAGAAGCATTTTGTACGGCTCAAAGTGATTAATATTGTAAATACAGTTAATTATATATAATAATACTATGCAAGGAGGCCAGAAACCATGGCATTTTCCTACTACATTTCGAATAATCAGCAAAGCAAAATTAAATGTCGAGAGAGAGTGTGTAGTCTTGCATGCCAAGTCTTTCCTGCAACAACAAATTTATCCGATTCCAATAATGTCTTTGCTCATGACAAATTGCTAGTTTCAAAGTAGAACTTATTAATTGTTACTTCATATTTAATTGGGTCAATTTGGTTAATAAATTATCAAGAGTATCAAAGTCGATTGATCTTTGTGCAAAAAAATTATCCGTTACTAAAGCAAACAATCTGCTCCTTTGTTTGTTGGTGGCTCGTCGTAATGGATGTATTAAAGTAAGTATTTCACTATCTGTGTGTACATCATATTATTCTAAACTGTATAATACAGTTGACTCTAACGTTCAATTAATTTCCGGACACAATTCTCTGGTTCTGTTGTATTTTGCTTCACGTAATCCATGCATTAGACTTTTAATCATGATAATGAAGGGATCATGAAATTCAATTCGCAACGATGGTAATCACCGAAGTACAATGATTATGATGTGATTAGGATAAGAGAAGAAAATTAATATTAATAGTATTGTTGGACGGATCCAGGCCTGGAGACCGAAATATTAGCAAAGTTACGTTACGTGCTACATAGAAATTCATTTCACATCAGTGCCAAGTTTTGCTAGTACTAGATTAACTACATGTCTGACTAATAAGTTATTATTAATTCTCTAGAGGAATATTACCACGTGGAAAGCAGTGGTTCATTGGATAATGTGGGTTTCAAAGTAGTAGACAAGAACTTTATTATACCGACCGGTTGGGTCGGTAATCCGAGAGAGCAGTGTTTTATCGAAAAGTCTATTAGGTAGCGCTCAACCCCCCCCCTCTCCCCTCTCCCCTCTTCCCTCTCCCAGCAGTTAAACGCTATGGCTATACATGCATAGGCGTACCAATAAAAGAATGTATCATTGATCTAGAAACAAGAGATGCTGACCACACGGACCCGTTTGAGAATAATAATCTTTTTGGAGTTAAAAAACCGCCTCAAACATTTGTAAGATGGTCTTTATTATGGCAACTGCATGGATTAGGGAAAAAGTAAAGCGTCAAATGCTGCACAAAAGTTTCACAATGCTAACAATGATAGTTGGTGAGAATGTGTACCATTTGTTTAGTTTACGGATCTCACCATGCGTCATAGTGTTTCAGCAATTTAGGAAATCACTATTATTGATCGAGGTGAGGTGTTCTCTGCGAGTGGCCAAACTGAAATCTTGTGCGAGAGAGGTCTTTGTTGGCGAAAATTTATCCTGTGACAGTTTATTATTACAAGGAGGTTTTTGTAGGTGAATAATAGATAGACGAGTGGCGGTGAACTATTAACAAGGGAGTTTACTTGAACAATGAGCGGCATGTGATCATACCGTATCAAGGGATGATCGGCGTATTCATTTTGTGTAGTAACTCTAAATATCAATTGGATTTTATTAATATTAAAATACCAAGTGAAAACCAATAACTAGTTTGACGTTACAATATACTATATACAGCGAATAAGATAATTTACAATTACAAAAGATACTTGCCTGTGAGTGATAAGTGTGATGTACTATATTTGGGTTATTTTGGTGGAGGACGGGACGTATACAAGGGGAGTAACAAAATAAGTAATCAATTCTAATTTATTGTGTGATATGTATCAAATGATCTGCGCAATGTAATCCATCAATTAATAATATATATATTATTAACTACTCAAATGGAGAAGAAAAAAACAAACAGGCAGGTAATTAGCATTTATCTAGCATAGTATGCTCGTTTGTCTAGTATTAAATCGTCACCAGAACGCAATACAATGTCAGTTTACAACGTCAGTTTAACCCGTCAGTTTAAAACGTCAACCTATCAACATTCATCTGCTAACGAATCACTTATTAACCTACTTTACCCGCCAATGTGAAACGTCAGTCAGACGCCTAGCCAAAGACTTAAGAGTTATTATTTGTGACACCAGCATTTCCCCACGAGAGAGTGTGTGAGCCCGGAAGTATGATGTTGGGGGAAGCAGAATCACAAAAAGAAGAAGAAGAAACTCAACATGAATCGAAAAAGACCTTGCGTAGAGTTTGTAAATACCACTATCCACAGGTCACCGTTGGCCTGTGCATGTCCCGATTATAGTTACATATATGTACGCGATGAAATTGGTAAGTTCTATTTAGTTGGCGTAATCGGATAGACAAAGAACGGGGGAGATACAAGAATGAAGAGACAAAACGGGAGAATAGACGCTTGGATTTCAACATGCATATATCAATTCCTATCAACAGAATTAAACTCTGTTGTTCTGCGCAAATTAACCAATTTCCATTCACACTGCATTCTTAGATAATCAACACCCTGCTGGCAGGTCCTTTTTCAAACGAAACAATCCATATTAATACATACATACATTCTCCGTTACTCTCTTTTTTTTTTACTCGTTTCCGTACTACATAAATTAACTTCGCCCACCCCCGCCTCCCCCAAAATGTCTCTTTTGTTCAAGAAACAGCAGCACAACCGACAAACATTAAAAAAAACAGTACATATATAAATATAATATCACACATCCAATCTGCAATCACATCTCCACTTACCTCCATTCTCATTAACATCTCACAACTCCTCACTTTACTCGCCCCATTGACGAATCACGAATTATCCTTGTCTTACCCTGTTCACATTATAAAAAATATACTAGCCAACAATAAACGCCTGTTTTAATACTCTTCCAAAAACCCACCAAAAAATAACTTTCATTTCATATCGAACTGCTCTTTATTCCGTCACTATTGTCACTCAAATTGCAGGTCAACTTACGATACTGAAAACAACTTGTTCGGTTACCGATATAGACTAAAATAATATAATACCAAATACTCTGGTTAGCCTCTTTTGACTGTAACACCATATTATTATTGCATTCAACTTTTTACCAGACAGTCTTTACATCTGTCATTTTGCGTAGGTCTCTCACTATCTTCTTCTTTGCCACAATCCGACAGCACACCCTAGGTATTCTTTCAAAGTCGGCAATTCATAAACACTCTGTGAATAAGTAACCAATAACGAGAGGATATTAAAACCCGACTTATAAAAACCCTCTAAAACTAAAAATACACAACGTAACGACTTAAAATCGTAAGAATCTGAAAAGACACCAAAAAAACGTGGGGGGGAATCAATACCAATACATATACAAACACATACATTATATAAAACCGAAGCACAAGAAGATTATTCCCTCACAATACGCAAAAAAACACTCATAGAGCCATGAGCCAGTCACAAGGAACTGCTGACGGTGGGCAGACAACATTGACGGGAGTAGTAGAGCATAAACCAACAAATTTGCTCGTTGGAAGCAAAGGTAGGAATGGAAATCTATTAATAGATTCCGAGTTTGACTATTTCGTTAGTATGGACTTTGAGTTATTGAATGAGCCGTAAGAGTAGGTCTAGGAAACAAAGATTTAAGATGAATAGTATGTAGTAACAAATGGACACTAGATGTATTTCGGGTGGGCGAGTGCCCCAGGTCGAGTAAAGAATTCTCTTTGTGAGTCGAAAGTAGTGGATTACAGAATGGAATAACCAGCATGTGAGGACGAGAAAGTTTATATAGAAACCGGAATAACGTTGTTGATGACTAGGAAGCAACAAATTTAGAGAACCAAAGGGGGCGAAACATGTGGATAAAGACGTGTATCAAAGAGATATAAGGCATGGATAGGATGAAGAGGGAGGGAGGGAGGGAGAGACATACCACAGAAGAGAGAGAGAAAGAGACTATTAGTCAAGTATGGAAGTAATAGTGGTAGTTATAATAGTCATAGTAACAGTATAACGGCAACGACATTCACAGCAGCTACTCCAACAACGACAGCAAATGTAGTAGAGAGAATTCATGAGGGGATTTGATGAAAATGATATTGTGTGAGCATGGTTGTGTATCGATAAGCTCTCTTAATGAGAAGTATTACCATTAATAATGTATTTCAACTCAACATGTTTCGATAATGCTTACCCAATCTTTTTCTCTATCTTTTATATCCCCAAAAACCCTATTCTCCTGCTTTTACGCTTTTTTATCCTTGTAGACCCAAAAAATGTCTCAATCTCGACATCCGCCACATCCGCCACATCGACAACCATAACCCCACCCAACTCCTCGACCTCTCCTACAATCGTTCATAAAACCTCTTCGTCTCGCGCGCGCAATTTCTTCATTAACATATTCAGGTGTGGTTGTTGGCACGACAATCACATTGAAACCGATCAACCAAGCATTATACCGGGAAGTGGTCAACGGAAAGTGAGCAAGGACGATGTTGGTAACAAGGAGGACCCCAGAGGAAAGAATAAAAACAATGGAGATGATAATGTGAAAGTGGAAGAACCAAACGAATTAACAGAGGAGGATCAGACAATAAACGAAAAAGTACCAGTTGACGTAGTGCAGCCTCTTGAGGATGAGTTATACGAGCCGGAAACTGATGATGATTTAGAGGTTAGTTTCAATACGAAGAGTTATGTGGGAGAGACTGGCAGATTAGAGAATATGTTGATATAACTTGGGGAGCAACGATTTGCTGGATAAATGGAAAGTTACAACTTGAGAGTGAATATGCTGCTATCATTTTGGAAAGAGATGATGACCAGAGAACAGCAACATTGTAGTAATATCTCGTTGATAGCTTAATATACAATGACTACTCCCACCTCCATTAGAAACTATTGGTACGGTAATATCAATAACTAACTTTGGTCAATTTCTTTAGGGGAGAAGATGGCTTCTTGACCCTATCGGACCGGAGCATGTTGGACGAAAATGTCTAGTGCTTGACTTGGACGAGACATTAGTACATAGTTCCTTCAAGGTAAGCTTATTGTCCTGAGTTTAGCGTATCAATTATAATGTATTAACGTTTATGCATACTCTCTATTCTTGCAAAATTTACACCTGGTTGCATCTATTCCCAATGGCGGTTCATCTACTCTAACGTCAGTTAATTCACTCAGCCGATTTCGTAGTACCGGTAGAGATTGAAAGTCAAATACATAATGTCTATGTAATAAAACGACCGGGCGTGGATTACTTCCTGAAGAAGATGGGCGAATTATATGAGATAGTGGTATTTACGGCCAGTTTATCAAAAGTAAGTCTCAGGAGAGGAATTAAACGTGGAGTTAGTCAGTAAAGGCCAAGGTACATGACGATTTTTCCATGAGTTAATATTAATCTTTCTCTGTTCCTAGTATGCGGACCCCGTACTCGATATGCTTGATACACATAGAGTTGTTAAACATCGTCTATTTAGAGAATCATGTTATAATCATAAAGGCAATTATGTAAAGGCATGTATACTATTCCTACTTTGTCCTACCTAACCTTTTTTCTTGTCACTCTCGCTCTTTCTCACTCTGCTTTTGTCAAACTCCTTTACAGGACTTATCTCAAATTGGCCGCGAGCTAAGGGATACAATCATTATCGACAATTCTCCAGCAAGTTACATCTTCCATCCGACAAACGCTGTTCCCATATCATCGTGGTTTAACGACCCCCATGATACAGAATTATTAGACCTTATACCGTTCTTGGAAGATTTAACGTCAGTTGAAGACGTAATGATGGTACTAGATTGTTCGAATGAGGAACCGCAGAGAGAAGAGATTGAGGAATAGTTAGAGGTGGATGAATTGGGTGTGTGTTAACGAAAGAGAGGAAGACGGTATTTAAGTCTTGTGGTGTTGTGTTGTCGTGTCGAGCTGTAATGTTATAATGTTAATACGTTGTTGAGTTGTAATGACCCTTTTTAATAGATTGTATTCAAATGCCAATCATTTTCATAATAATATCATATTAAATAAATCTACGATCGCGTAGCGAAACCAATTTATCGTCTACGATTATTAAATTAGACTCATTCACTAGGAGTAGCTGAGAAAACGAGTATAGGGAATTCCTTAAATAGATGCGTAGAAATTTATTAATTAATACACTCTTCGACTAGGGATTATTAATTAAGTGTTGTTCTAATAATAGTTTTATTCGTGTGTGTCGATGTGTTTGTTGCTGAACGGAAGTGTCTCGATTGCTTGGGAGGCTAAATTAAACGGATAGCGGAAGTTAGGTTAATATCTAGCTGATGCTGAAGAAATAGTTCGATTATCGGTGCAATATTTTAATTATATAGCCTAGCACAATATTTGAGTTGGCAATAGGAGATATACGAGTCCGCCTGTAAATTTTAGCTACACTTCAACTAATGCGGGCGACCACGTTTAGAGCTAAATTTTTTGGGTCTCCCACGTGACCTAAAGATAAAAGTTCAGCTCGTGTGATAAAGGAAACGCAAACATGCGATTAATGCCTTACTCCCCCAAAATTTGTAGTCTAAACTTGCGAACGTAGTGTCTAAGGCTGAAAACCTATGCAAAATTAATATTAAGTTACGAGATTCCATATTGTCACATACTTTTCGACGTTATCACATAAATTATATAAATCATTGTAATTGGTGCGAGAGATTAATCCTAATGTGACAATCCCGAACGGGTCAAACTTAAACTATTAATATTAATTTAATTTATCACCTGATGATATTAGTTCAATTACAGGGATGATTTAGTATTAGCTTTATTTAATTCTATACCATAAATATGCAAGGGCAATTGATGAACTAGACACGAAAGTTGGATAATCGATTATAATCTGTCCCGTATCGCCTACTACTACGAGCGTTCGTTTGACGTTCTTTCGAGGCTGGAATGTATTTGTCACTATTCCGACTATCTATCGAACGCTCTCTTTTGTCTTTTATAAAGACGTTATGATTCTCCATATATTTTGCGATCGAATCAGCAACACCATCTTTTCCTAATACATCGCAACAACTCAAAAAAATGTCAATGTCCTCCTCGTCAGGCACGTAATTGAATGCAGCCATCTTGTGCCAGATATTAAGCGCGTCTTCATACAGTTCAGCGCTATAGAAATTACTTGCCAGAACGCTGAGTATAAAATGGGTCGGTTTTAGTTCCCGCTCACGCATCTTTTTGTACCACCTCCATGCATCCCTCAATTTCCCCGCCTTGCAAAATCCAGTTATTATTTGCTGATATATTTCAGCGTTCTCGTTAATCGCATAGTTGACCCGCATTTCCTTGAGATATCGTTTGATGACAATGTCGTCTTTATGCTGGGCAGCAAGCCATAGTATAAGCCTAAACGTAATCCGATCAGGTTGCACGTTGAGCGATTTCATCCTTTCGTACATCGACTCGGCCAGTTCATAATCGTCGGCTTCTTGAGCTGCCGTTATAAAAGCATTAAATGAGCCTGCATTCGGCTTAACCTCCGACTTTATCATATTCTCCAACACTTCAAATGCAACCTTTAAATTTCTGTCAGATAAAAGCCCATTAACGATATTAGAATACGTATAAGTATCGGGTCTCACTCCTTCATCCTGCATCGAGTTCAAGACACGTATAGCATTTTCAAGATCGCGTAATTTGACGTGCACATTGATTAAGAGCGAATATGTAACTGCGTTTGGTTTTACTCTTGAAATTACCATATCTTTATAGATATCGAGCGCTTCGCTGTAATTTGACTCTACAAGAGCATGATTTAAGAAAGCGTTGTAGTCTCGAATAGTTAGCTTTGCCTTCACCAACTTCAATTCTAACATCCCATTCTTCCCCTTCCTTCCCAACTGTTCATAGATAAAAGCGTCAGGAGGAATACCAGCAACTTTCATTTCCTCAAATATTTCCAATGCTCGCATCCTATCCTTGCGATCTATGAACCCTTTGATAAGCGTATTGTAAGTTACTATTGTTGGAATTAATCCAGCGTTTTTCATTTCCGTAAAGTATTCCAATGCAAGGTCCATACGAGGGTGATTATGAGCGCAAACTTTAATAAGTGTATTATATATCTTTTCATCGGGCTGAAGTTGCTCATTTTTCATCAGTTCGAAAAAAGCCTTTGCTCTCTCGATGCGTGTCTCGCCTCCGTATACGTTGGTTGTCTTTCCGCATGCATCAATCATAAGAGTGTAAGATCGCAACGTGCGCAGAATTTGGCGCTCTCGCATTTCGTCAAACATCAAAATAGCGTTCATTGGAGACCCTAGTTTCGAGTGAGCTTGAATCATAGTGTTATATGTTACGGTATCTGGAAAGATTTCGATCTTTTTCATTTTCTTAAACAATTGTCTCGCTGATTCCAAATCTTTCAACTCCACAAACATCGAAATCATGATATTGTATGCTGATGTAGCTTTGTCACGTCTATCACTGAATATCGTACGCATCATCTGTGAGACACCGGGTTTTGAAATATGTGGTTTGAACGCTGCAAGGAGTTGATTAAAATCTCTCTCTTCCATCTGCTGTAACTGTACGGGATCTGCATTTTTGTAATCTTTCCAGATGTCATCAATGTCACGATCAATCACGTCTATTCGAAATGTCTTTTCCTCTTCTTTCTTGGAAACATCCGCTTTTGTGCCTATGGTCGATTTCATTATTCGTTCCTTATGGATTGACAGATCATGATCCCGTAATGATTCGCTTTCAAGTTCCGGTGTTACAACTGGTATTATGCTCTGGCCTACATCACTTGTTCCAGCATTAGGACTAAACACTGCATCCTTAGAAAAAACGCCTATAGAAGTGGAAATGCTGTGGCATTGGCTTATGTCTTTGCGGATAATATGCGATATATTGTGCTCGAGTCGGTTTGGTCGGATAAAGTTGAATGTCCTTCGAGTACTTATAACACTGATGATCCGTCTGTTTCGAATAAACGTTAACATGAAATTATTGGAAATCAAGGCTTTTGAGGCGTGATGCATAATAACCCAAATGTCAGTATTTTATAAGAGGCAAGAATTGACCAATTAAGTATACGCATTCATTCGAAAAAAAATTTTTTTTCAGGTTGATCACAGAGCCGTGAATCTTTAACTTGTTTCCTAAGCAAGAATTGAAGTCATGCTAAGAGAAATTTGTCCGCTGTTATAATCCCAGATCTTTTTTCAATGGTTTATATTATGCTCTTAGGTTTTCGACGAATCATACAGCGGGAAGGGATTCATATATAATCTATAGTCATGTGATCAACAATATACAAGTGGCTCTCGATATAAGAAAGTGATCGGGGCTCAACAAATTCCTTTCTTATATCGAAAATCTCTTATAACGAGAGTCATTTGTTATAAGATTTTAAATCGGGTCCAGCAAAAATACTTTCTTATATCGAAAGTTTCTTATATCGAAGGGTTCTTATATCGAGAGCCACTTGTACTATAAACCGGTTAAATACCCCAGATACTTTACCAAAATGGATGAGAAGTGACTAGTATAAGACCCGGTACTAATCAAGGGGGGTACTATACCAGGGGGGTAGAACCAGTGCTATACGGTAATAACGCGATCGAGATTTCTATTGGTTATCAGCATGTTAATAACCGATCGATTAAGGGCATCATTCTCTTGCACTTAACAATTATGATAATTGCAGAAATAACTCATTGGGGACTATTAATGAAAGATATTAATCTTTCAATAACAAGTAACAATATGAATGAAAGAGATTTTATTCATTTCATCTCATAATCGCAGGAAAAACAGACGTAGCCGTGATCGAATGATGAGATTGTATTTTCTTTAGGTGTGTTTCAAAAACTGAACTGTAATTATAGCATCTGACGCATCGTCACCAAACCATTCATTCAACAATGATCTAATTTAATGTCAATAATAAAGTTTATGCGTTTTTGGGGCAGCACTCGCACTCATCCGTCGACGACGAGAGAAATAACGAAGGGAGTGGATCTTTTGCTGAATGTGTTGTGTGGTAATATCATGGGCGAAAAGGTGGGGGCGGTCGTGTGAGGAATATAAACAATACAATACCAAGAGAAGGTAGTTATTGCACGCATGGCATTCTGCGTCGACAGCGTTGCGAATACCAATTGAATACTAAGTTCTCTAACTGAATAAACATGCTAGGCGCGTGATTGTCTTACCTATACCTTGCATTGATAACAGATGCAATGGAGTCGATTTAACTTCACAGCGGACAGTCCTCGAGGTAGAATAGTCGGCATTACTTAAACCATGACTGCAGATAAGAAAATCGAAACGAAATTATTGTAACATTTGGAAATGTCTGTATAATGAATTTTCTATTGTCTGACACTCTCATTTCAGATGCTGACCGTACCTCTCCATTTCGTAACCTCTAGGGCCAGAGAATTTTCTTGAATTCACCAACGCCCGTGCCGTCTACGCGATTTGTCTGCGTAGAATTGTAAAAACGCGAATAACTACAATGCGCACTATTCCGACCAGACCAACGTTCCAACGTTGGATGACACGTGGAATCGAAGAAGATCATAAGCGATGATGCAATAAAGTCTAGAAGATGGTTAAAGTCTTGAATAAGAGCTGTGGTAGGATGGGAGGAAAGGATTGTTGAATATGTATGTTCGTGTGAAGCTGCTCATGCTTATCTTAATGTCTTTGATTCTGTCTAGGCTGCCTGACTTCAACGGAGTAACCAACCAAATCTTTACGTTGAGATATTAACGTAAATGAACGCAGCGTGGAGCTTCTTTAATGGATTTTATTTTCGGGAGTAAAAGATGGAGTTGGATTGTTAGGTGATGGCGGAATTAGAAGTGGTAACCTCATTAAGACAATCGCATCCTACATTGTAGTTGTTGCGCTGGAGACATCAACGATCTCTGCAAACCCTACGAATTGTGAAGTATTCGGAGCAACAGTCAGTTGAATGTCTTGCGAATGAAACAAAAGTGCGTCTTGGAATAGAGTGTCTTCTGAATCACCCTTTCCAATCTCGACTAAATTATCGAGAAACGTATTTCGTATGATCGAATCGTAACTGGCCAAAAGTTTGACATTCGGAAAAATCTCCCTGCAAGTAGAACAAAACCCATGTGACACCAACGCATATGCGTCTATGGTCTCAATACGCGATATTCTGAAGAGTGTAAGTTTTCTGTACGCAGGTGGCGCGTTAGAAAGTAACGATGCTCCTTCCTGCAGCTTCATTTCGTCAAACAAGAAGACAAAAGCAAAAGAACAACTTATTATCGAGAATAGCGTAAATCAATCGTCGTTTTCCAGATTCGCTCTCAGGAAACACCTTGAGGAAAACCTTCACGCTTCCCAAATCTACCAGACTCGCCCCTTGAAAGATCCATCAAATCGGTCTGCATAATACGTTCCCAAACTCTCGCCCAAGATGCAAAGCCCGTAAATTATATATATTAATATGCTATAACTATTCAGACCAAATTATTCCTGGGAAGATTGTTCCTAGTAGCTAATCTGGGGCTATCTCCGGGATGCGTTGTTTGTTATTCGCAGTGATCCCAATACCAATAAGCTCGATCGAATGCCTTGGTTCACCTTGATTCCAATAATAATAACCAAAATGAAGTGGGAAATTGAAATTTGGCACTAGTCAAAAATTATAATTATGCGCCATTATATTACAATTAAAGAAATTCAGGATATTGCCAACTAAGTGAGCATGAAGTAGGAAGTTGAACAGACATACTATTGCCAAGCTCAAAAATTAATATATACAACCTATATAACCCAACTCATTTCATATTCATAAGGAACATTGTTACTACTGGGCTTGAGAGAATTATCTTTATTCGCTTTGTGGCATCATACTTATCGAAAGCGGTTAGGATATTCTCGCCTCAATTGTCGCAAGTTGGCTAAAGATGCGAGAGACTGGCATAGGAAATCATGCAAGCCATCAAACCCCTTCTCTAACAAATAATCCAAAAATCGCACTCGATATTCACCGTATGCTATTCTTGATTCGACATACTATCAAAAAGAACGTTACGTTTGATTAAGACATATCACCTCGGGAAATAAACAATTTAATTCCTTTTTTTTTTCAACTTACGTTCTCGTTCTCTTTGGCAACGGGATATGTAACTGGACAGGTAAGCATTCTCGTTATTTGCGGAGACGATCTCTCCAATTGCTGTGGGGCAAAAAATATATTGCATGTTATAATAGAAATATTTGATTAACGTTAACCAAATGCTGTTTTTACCTTAAAGCAGTCTTTCGAATATGCCGATAATGCAGGCGCAAGTGTAAGCGAGAAAGAAGATCCAACTTGTTCGCCGCATATTCCTTTTATAACTTCGATAGTTTCGCTAAGTAGGTCAAAGGAGATGACATGAATTTCTCGTTGACATGCTAAATGATTTGTGATTTGAATACATACTCTTCTAACTGGAATCCTCTGGAATTTCGGTCGACCTTATTGAAAGCCCTGTTTCTCCATATGCAGTTGCACAAGTCCATAACGAATGAATTGAAATAATTGAGATAATCTCGATTATGTCGAATAACACCTCTCTGGCCAATACGCTGATCATTAAGATCAAAGGCTTCTTTATAGCTAATGTTGGCAACAGATTAGTATCATGAAACGTCGGCAACTTCAGACATGACAAGAAAGTACGTACTGTAATACAACATTGCATATTCTAGATAGCGGCATGCCGGAAACAGAAAAGAAGCAACGATAGATTGTAGCAGATGATGGAATAATAATCCTGCCCCAACTGTGTTCTAATTGCAAGGATGATAAGGCCTCATAGAATAACAGTATCGCATGTTGGATCTCAACGTTATCGTTTTCAACCTATAAAGAAATGTTGGCGTATTCAGAAACGTCGTCATATCGTGTAAATTATTTAACGAGAGCTTATAAATTATCACAAACCTCAAGAGCTAGCAGTGCTACTCGATCTACGTAAGTAACAAGTCTGTTAATGCTTTTCACCAATTCTGCTGGCCCTAATTGTGTTTCCCTACGAATAAGATTCAATTAAGTTATGACGATAACGCAAAGTACTCACGAAAGCAGTAGAACCTGCTTACATGTTTTGATGACGAGAACTTCCCTGGAGCCGATAGAGAAATACCCAATATTTAAGCAGCCCAGTATAGGATCGTAGCAGTCTCGCCTAACATTAGATTTAAGTGAGTAGTCAATCGAGAGAATGCAAGTACAAGGAATGACTATCTATATACCTTCCAAGTGACAGATGAGACACAGAATAACCTTTTTAGTGGTGCAAGGAAGGTTCTGTAAAAGTCTATCGATAAAGCAAAAAGTAAGTCAAGTAGATCACATGTTATAATTTCAAGGATTAGGTGATAGAACTGACCATCAAACGGCTCTGGCTTCACATACTCAAGTAATTGGAATATGTGTTTGCGGTGAAGCTTACCGTCCCAGCATTTAATATATTTGACTAGAAAGCCATTGAATACTGGAAGTAATTCCTTAATTGATAGAAGTATATAAATACTTGTCCATGGCATTTGTAAAAATCATCTACTAGCGTCAGACGCCTTATTATATTATACCTACTTTCATGAACTCGGTCATTCTCACAACTTTGCCGAGCAAATCTCCTAATTTTTCTTGTGTCTCTGGTGTTTGATCGCTCCAGTATAATAGCTCCATTATACATTGATATAGCCAATGGGAAATTCGTGCTTTCGTCGTTTCTAAAAATTGTATAGGTATTAGTATAACGTCGTAGTTGCAGTTGTGATATTCTTCGAGTTAGGATTCTTACCATCTGGATTACATGCAACCATGTGCTGTAACATTCGATTATCGAGAACTGCTGCTAATTGAGAGGGTAATTGTAGCTTATCGATATTTGATACAAGATCTTTGAAACTTCCCACTTCTTCTAAAGTTACTGATTTCTATTATTGATAATGTAAGCATGGGCACAAAGTACGTTCCGACAACTGCTAGCCGACACTCGTTACTTACTTCTGTGACATCAAGGGTGCGTGTCTGGGGTATTTCAACATGACGCGTTTTCCTTTTTTTTGCCTAAGCAGACAGACAAAGTTATTATAATGAACGCAGTTGGGGCACAGGCAATCTTTTGATGTCAATTACCACACTAGGTCCCACACTAGATTCCTCACTACTAAGTTCCTCACTAAGCTCCTCACTAAATTCCAAAGCTGTCTGCTGAGACTCCATCGTCGAGAGGCTTGCTTCATTGCTCCATCTTTTCTGAACCTCATCAATTATGTGCTTCCATTCGACATCCGGACACTAATTTTAAAAACAAATGGTTTACAATCGCCGAATGTAATCAGGCTACAAGGATAACAACGGTTGGTGATCGATACCTTGAATATTAATTTTCTTGATTTCGGAATTTCTATCAGGACAAGATTAGGAAAATAGCCCTTGTACACTGTCAATAAACCCATAAGAGGTGGATCATCCCCAATTCTGCTTTGCAAATCTAGGCTGCAGACAAGCAAATGGTCAAGGTGAAAAAGAAACTCGTGGACGTAGAAAACTGCACATACGAAAGTATGAAAAAGAGTTGAATTACAGTTTGCGTATCCGGTGCGGTTTAACATTTTCACGTTGTGTCATATAATAAAGCAGTTGACAACACATTGGCCTGTTTTAAAATGTTCATAGTGTTAGATTATATTCAATTACAAGAAATGCACAGAGATTACCTTACCTTAGCGTATCAAATTCTAAATAATGAAAAACTACCCCGTACAGTAGTTGCAATTCCTCATGGCTATCCAAGAGCTTATAGACGATCACGACCCATTGAAGAAGAAGTGCCTTTTCGTCAAGAAATATTACACGCCGTATTGTGAATTTTCAGAAATATATCCACGCATATATAACAACAGATTAGGATGGAAAATAATGAACCTGAGTTGTAAACTCTGGCGGAGATCGTCCTAGATGTCCTAATACATGAATCGCCATAATCTCTTGTACTTTATCCCTGGGGATGAGTGACTTTACAAGTCTATTGTTATCCCGCTCATCTTTTAGCGCATAAGATCAACGTATTAATTAAAGTGAGAGCATATGTCAATATAATGTTTTTGTTGGCAAACTTACCCAACTCGCCGTCGAGCACCACATCCATGACTTGCTCCAGCTGCATGTTGTCCAGACCATACCATTCTGCGAGCTCAATCAATGCAGCAATGTTATCCTTGATATCAGATTTTATTGGTGTTTCTTTAATTTCTGCATCTACGCGAGCCAAGGAAATCAACAGCGCACTTTCTTTGAGAAAATCTATTTTCTCGTAAATGGTATGGTCAGGTATGGGTTGTCCTTCGGTTGTTTGAGCTGTATGTGAACCATAGTTTAGCAGTCTATTACAAGGGGGTTTGGTTTCTAGGAATGCTTAACGGCATATAGCTACCTGTATTCATTATCATTATGCTAGTCGATAAATGCGCGAAAACGCGAACTAATACTAATATAACCACGGTCGCACGTCGTACAACCCATAATATAACCCATGTATGGTTAGGATCAGAAATTACCCAATATTAATATCAAAGACAAAATAACGAACAGGACTTTTCTCTGAAACAGAAACTTTTTACTAAATACTCACGATTGATATTACAGACTGTCGATATTACGGACTAACGCTGGTTCCGAATAGTCCGTTATATCGACTTCACTGTGTAATAATAATAATAATAAACTGTAATAATAATAATAATAATAACCCTAATAACCTCCATAATATTCGAGCTGTACAACATGTAAAACACAACGCGTCCTACACGTGATAATTGAATTAGTCGCAATATTAATATTAATATTATTAATATAGAGCAGTAAACAATTTCGGGTCTGGTGGCATAGATGTGTTTTGAGGTTCGGGCCGTGATAATAAAATTGCCCGAAAATACAGAAATAACAATAACAATATCAACTAGCGGCAAACTAAAACTGCCGACACTGAGGTAAAAGAGGGTCTCACAGTTATACCCCACGTTTGAGCGTAATGCTGTAATAGCGATCTTTTCTGAAAAACTACTGATGCGTAAAAGTATAATTTTAAATAGTCAAATGCATAATTTTACCATTCATTAGTTACTGTCTTGGTTTGGCAGCTCCAGATTCCGAAAATCTAAATACTAAAAACAATGTTGGTGCTAGAACTACAGCATCTGTCCATCAAATAGAAAGGAGGGAAAATGCGGTATGGATGCGATAAAGTAGAATAGTGATAGAAAATTACTAATATAAACGGCCATTCTTCCAGGTGGAATAAATTAAGCGGTTCTTTTGAAAGAGCAGTACAGTCAACTGCCGATAATTCGACCCCACGATAATCGACAATTCGATCGTCTTGAGTAAGACCAGATTTTTTCATTTCCTTTTATTCGATCGCTTAAATAATCTCTATTACTATTAAGCCAGTGCATATTAATATACTGTAAATAATACTATTACTATAATTACGTCAAATCATTTCCATTTAATATTAAGGGTTAAAAAATTTCGATTATCCGACCGAGAATGTTTCGTTGAGTGCAAGAGATATGTCAGCGAAAAGCTAAAGACCCTCAATTATCTAACTCGGAATTAGCCAAAGAATATCGTGTAGGAAAAACAACCGTACAGAGTATCATAATAAATAAACCTTATGCTAAACGATTAAGAAATCGAAGGCCAAAACGGCAAACGCTGGACTGATTGGATATTCGTTAATTCGACCCCTGAACGCAAGCGGTCGAATTATCGGCTGTTGACTGTACTACCTTCCCAGGTGGTTTACAAAAAAAATTCCGATGTGCTGAAGAAGATATCAATCCATTTAATTCATTCAATTTATGCAGCAGCGGCTAAAGATATGAATGAATGTCAAAGGGCATGAAACGGAAGCCTTCCCAAGAATCGATAGAGTGATTGCGACATCTGATAGACATATTGAAGATTTTCGCAGTCATGAATGATACTTTCGGAAACAATGCCACTCATTGAAAGATTCAAAGAAACTGATCGTATAATCGAAGAGGTAGCCACTGCTCGCGATTTATTGGTGACAAATTGGATCAGATGATTTGAAGAACGTAATTAATGACCATTCTGACGAACAGGAGGACGCAATTGTTCTCTTATGGAAGTCGAGCAGTTTTTGGCTCCACTCAAATTAATTGACGTGCGAATCGACTATTAAGAACATACTACTTGCGGGGAGAATTTCTCTTTGTATTGGTTATCAATGCATATGTGTGAAAATATTACCAATAGAGTGAAGTTACGAAGGAACATCTACGATGAGGGGGAGTTTGCGGAATTGAGTATGAAGATCGGTGCTCTGTTGAGCTGTCGTGCGAAACAGAAAAGGGTAATAAAACATACAACTTGACAGTGTTACAAGATTCGCGAGGCCGGGCCTTACTCATCTTCGGTTGTGAAGCTATTCGAGATAGTCCCGAGTACCGAAAGGATCGAACAGATGTTGTGATAATAGAGTTTGTTAATCAAGTAGACTTGATACATCAGATTATTAACTGCAACAAAGTCAATGGAATTGGTATCGAAAATTTCAGGTCAGTACTGTTTATCAATATTCCGTGATGTAATGCCGTAAACTTTTATTTAATCACTGTCTATCTTTTTGTACAGGGAAGAAATTGTAAGAGACGCGCAAGAAGAGCACTATTATATGGCTGTTTATCCCGGAAGACCCGTTTCGAAGTTTTATAATTATTTCACTCAATACGCGGCAGCGAAAAACGATCTCAGGCAAATTTGCGAGTCACTGCTACATTTTGTGAATCCTCTGTTACCACCTGGTGGGATTTTGAAGCTAAAGCACCTCACAATCCTTCCAAAAGTTTCTACAGCATGTGCAGCATAGACAACAACATTTATAAGCACCTCACAATCCTTCCAAATGTTTCTACAAGAAAGTGCTATGTAGTATTGGAGAAAAACTTTTGATAAGGAGGATGTTTCCGACAGAAAGATTGAACCTGATAGAATAGATCAATCGTTTCTAACATTGTACGAACTGGGAAGCTGTATCGGGTTCCGAACATTATTATTTCGTAACCATGGCTCATAAGGGTCAAACGAGCTGGCATGCACTTGCACTTTAATGTCGACAATGCCAAAAGTCAGCAAGTTTATTTTTCCCTGATCAAGATTGCATCAATTGTGGATCAATGTCTGCTCGCGTCATGCCAATTGTTAAATGTTTACCACGAAAGCATCTTACATGGAACATTAACATTTATGTCTCAAACGAAGTTCATAGTCAAACTCGCTATTTGGACGTATACACAAACAAGTATCTGATGATGACGATATTTCCGATGGAACTGTAGCCAAAGCTGTTACCATAGCACGTCATACAGTCCTTTTTGAAGACAATTGTCTGATGACGTTTATCCTCAAGCTCTTTCTTCCGTGTTGAAACCTCAAGCTGTTGATGCGAAATTCCAATATATGATCAACGCTAGAGGCCTATTACGTATGAAAAGATTTTGCGACGTGCCCGGTTGATTGTATAGCCGCACAGCTAGCATCACCGACTCGTTTTCTTATCACAAACATTAGACAATGTCAGACGTCTTTTGTGGAACCGGGCCGCGCATGTCTAGAAACAATTATGCTAGAGAACTATCATGAGATAACAACCCAAATGCTGCAAGAACATTCCCCGCACGTCCGTGGAGAGATAAAAATTCACTTATCCTTATAAAAATGGCACTAATATTAGTGCGAACATCCTGGTATGTGGCAAGGTAATTTTTTTACTAGTTTGAGATCAATGCTTATATCTCCGGCAACTGTGCTAATCCATCTCTTGCTTTTGGCAGACGAATTTGTCCGAGATTGTTGGTCAAATACTGTAATCTCTCACTACATACCGGTATTGTTGAGAGCCAGATTCTTACGTTCATGAGTGTAGGGAAATAAACTTGCCGAAAAAGGAGAAGCGCGGTCATTCTTGGATGAAATTCACACTTGCAATCACATTGGGCTTTTGGCGGATCTCATAGCTCACGGAGTGTTTTAGGAAACTAATAAATTCGAACATTCGTCTGTTGCCCTTATCGACTGCGTGTAGGCGGAACGACGAGTCTACGGGAGCAAATCAACTAGTTCATGATCAAATTCTTAATTATGTCTAAGATTTCGGTGTACTCAAGCCCGAAGATGAACAGGTGATTGTAAAGTACATATTAATCTCATAATAGAGTTACTAGCTAATAGTTCCGTTCTACTATCTAGGCATATCTGTCGAGAGCCAAATAAGTAAGATGGCGTTATCAGTGATTTGCTTGTTGAATCGCAAAAGTACATACATAATCAATTATCTGGATTGTCTCAATTTCTACCGCTCCGTACTATACTTCCTCACTGGATATGGCAATCTACATAGCACCCGTCGACTCAGTTCATGCTCGGATTTTAAACTATTTACGCCCCAGGATAGAAAGGCTGACTTCCATTCGAAAAGTGGAGGGAATTATTGTGTGGGATAAGAGCAGCGGTGGAAGAACTGAAGTTGTGTGGATAATTGCGAATTTCGCTTTATTGTTATCTAAGATTCAATCTTTGACCAGTAGTTGATACGCGAACAAAGATGTAATACGCAGAGTAAACATTGAGCATTACACAATGTCCAAAATACTCTCATTCTAACTTTACTGTCCATAATGCCTGAAATAAATCGGTTTGACATAAAATTCCATTTCTAAATTGTCGTCGTTATCAAACGTCCTCGCGATGCATAAGAAAGAGAAAGACCATAATTCTTTCCACTCTTCCTCAAGTAATGCCTATTCGAACCTTTATATTGTGCTTTATTGAGTGTCTACTGTCTAGTTTCTTTCAAATCGTTTAAGCGCTGTTCTTGGATCAATAAGCGTGACAAATCTCCTTGTCATCCGTCACAAAGTCTTGTAATGTCTCACCAACTCCAAATATCCGCTGCGCTCAAAGGCATTTTCCATAACTGTTCAAAGATAAACTTTGCTACAACCGTCACTGCCCGAGGACTGCCCAGAAATCCAGCTTATGCCATTCAACTTCCCTTTCGACAATCATCATGGAAAAAGTTCCTCGATCTCTGTTCTCCTAATGGCGTAAAGTATAATTTCATCTGATATTTGGCGAGTGGTCCGACAGCCTGTACCCGAATTGAGACTGTGTACATGAGACAACGTATCTGTACATGGAAGGACTTTCGTTGAATGCCATTTTTATAGAGGTCGTCTGGAGGGCTGTTAGTAGTTGTGATCAAGACAACACCAACACCACGGTCGAAAAGCTTTGAGCAAACGACAGAGGATTGTTACGCCAGTGACTTGAAACTCATCCAGGTAGAGAACTATCGTTTCGTTTGCTAATCGAGCGCAATTGATGGTCGTGGATCGTATGGCGACATCCGACATAAAAGTGGAAATACGTGAGGTTACCGGTTCGGCTCGAATTCTGTGTTATTCAACATAGCGGGGATCTGACCGCTTTTTTTTTTTTTTTCGTTCGGAAGCGTTTTATGAAATAGATTCATTAACATTGTTCAAGATTCGAGTCCCCTGTAGTCGTTTACAGATACCCCTAGCGCTGAGCCAATGATTGTATTGGATATATATGATACTTGAGTATACCACGAGTAATGAGATTGTATTAGCAATATCGCAGATAAACTTTAAATAGAATGTTCCCTAACTCACTGCCGATTCTGCAGGATTCAGCTATTCTTTTTAAGATGTTCGTCGGATAATTGATTTTCTCCTCTCAATAGTTCAGGACTCTTTCCGATGGAATATTACCCGCGGTTAAAACAGCATCTGCCTTGCTCTTCTTCACCAAAGTCAATTGAATACCGAGATATTGATTAACGTGGAATTTCTGTGATCTCACACTTTTCCATTTATGTTGACACGTTTTCGTCAGATAGTCACGTTTTACCTAAAATATCAAATTGATCGAATAAACTAATTGTCGAAAACATTACTATTACGTGCAAGCACTCGGAGTTAATAACCTACTTACTTGAAATTGCACATGGAAGAACACATTAACATGCTTGCATGCATTTGAATGTCAAAATTTGACATTAACTAATCAGTCGTTACATGAATGGACATAAATCTATTAAGGAAATAGGTTATATTATTAGATGCACAAAAATGTGGACACGTTTCTTAATATTAAAAATATAAATTCAATATAATCTTACAGTTCCACGCATTCCGACAACCTCTCTCCTCCAAAGTATCCAATTCCAACAGCAATAACTGCTATCTTTCCACTTGCAATGGACTCGTCTGTGGACCGACACGTTTGACACAAAGACCTCAAGTCGACTTTTTGATAGAAAAGTAGATAGAAAGGTGGATAGAAAGGTAATAGTAATCTAATCAATACTTTCCCACATGTCACGAATTTGGAAATCATCTGCAATAAAAATGAAAGTCAAAATTCACACGCTTAATAACTCTCCCAACTCTCCAACAGTCGGTCTTCATTGCCCGAATGCTTTGGCATTCTGTCATTGCAGTAGTCGATAGCATAAGCCTCACCACCACGAGGGTTGTTCGGTTATTGCCAATAACAGACAATTTCTTGGGCTTATGCTGTCGGTAAAAAGTATGTTGGTCGGCATTACAAGGGTAGTGTTGCCCAAGTTTAAAGCCGACTTTACGAATATTATGAGGTGAGGAATATATATACTCTCTCCTCTCTCTTCTCGTGTTGCTTTATTTTATCTCACCTTATTTTATTATGGAAGCCGAATGTCGTGCAATGTAGAAAGCTGCTCAATGCCGAAGGCTGGGCTTGTGTTACTACATGTTCACGTACGTGTTAATAGAATAAGTAAACAGAATAACAAGTAGCAAACGCATAAAACTAAAACGTATCTGTATCAACTGTTTAGACATTTTCTGTGGTAAATACATCATATCGAATCGATACGGTTATATTTTGATCAAATATTGACGCGTTATTTCTAGTTAATTGTGCAAACAGCGCATTTACTTCGGCGTTGGTATGCCCTGCTTGCGAGACTACTCTAACAGAAAAGTAGGTTAATAGCAATTATTCTTGAAATTGCATTATTTGTCTGTAACTAATTTAATATAACAATTCCAGTGACGATATAGTCTTCATCGAACTTAATCCTAGCGAAGACTATAAATTAGTACGTATAACGCAATGTTCACAAAAAGTATTAGTGATATACTGCAGCATAATCTCAACGCACGAATTGTTCCATTAGTCTGTCTTATCAGGTCTTCGTCCGGATATAATAATGGAAATCGCCACACGAGCGCTCTCTTTCTGGACATATCAGACTACTCAAGAAGCATGTTTCCAAGAGATGATGTACAGAGATTTACAGGAAAGCTGTCAGGTAAGAGAATAAATAGGCGGGTGTTTTGTATATATTAGTCCGTATATTGATGTTATAATTGCCATTTCGATTACGCACAAAGCTTTAGAAAAGGAGTTGGAGTTGGAAAAACGAAAAAATGTTGAAATCTCCGACCAGCTCCAAGAAAAGGGTCGACAGTTTACAAAATTACAGGCAAGTTTGAATGCAAAGATTTTTTATTATGCGACATGCTTATAACGGATACTGTGTTATTCTTTATCCACAATTACTTATACCATATTGTGTTATTCTTTATCCACAATTGCAGTCAATGCACGGCCAGCTAAAACGTAGAGCATTGGTGCCTACGATGACCAGAAATGCATTGACCGGAAACGGAAGACCAGGAGCGATAAATGAGGTAAAACATCTTCCAATAAATTGCTATTAATTAATTATGAAGACAATCTATTTATTATTTTATCGATGACTCTGTACACAGCAATCGCTAGCACAACGGCAATCACGACGGCAACCACAACGCGCAAACGTCCTGGATCCGCGCGTTCCGTGAACCAACCACATAGTTGGAATGCATATTCAGGTATAGTTACGTCGCGCTCATGCAGCAATATCGTTTGCTTCGCTTCATAACCCTAACCTTGCTCTAAAATATTAGATACAACATTTGCGTTCCAAAATAACGGTCAGCCCGTTAAGCGTGTACATGGGTATTACCCAGTACGAAACAACGGCCAAACTTCAAAGGGTAAGCAAGCAAATCAAAATTATCGATATAATGCTGGCACGAGATTAAAATTTATTTTGATGTGTAGTTGTGCCTAACAGGCGGCCATTCTCTGGACCGCCTAACGCTGGCATGCGGCTTATGCCGCCGACAACTGATAGCCGCGTATCTGACGACTGTTTGGTTTCTGGATCGCCCGTTTTTTCTTACAATGTACCACGCATTAAGCGCGGACTTTTATTGTAATAAAGTCAGTATTCCCCCTTTTATACACTAGCTAGTCTTCCAGAAAAGCACGCCACACAGCACTTGGCGAACAAGCAAATAAATGCTTTCGCTCACCTATTCATTATCGAGTTTCGTGGCATTCCACAATTCGTTTCATTTCCAACTTTTATTTGTCGCAACCAATAAATTTATTACACAAATGATATAATAATGCAAAAATTATTGCACCGCTAACTCACATCCAAGACTTTAGGAGTGCGAAGTGTGTATCGATGTGAGAGTGAAGACTTTTTTTTTGTTATGTAAGAGCCAGTTAATGAGACTTGATTAAACAAGGGAGGGTATTGAAAATATTAAAATTGATCAGATAAAAAGAATGACATGGTTATAAAAGCAATCTAGCAATGAACCTTTAATTATTCTGTCTTTCCCATATCTCTATAATATATTTTTTCTAACGCGTTCGACTTTTTTTAGCACTCTCATTCTCACTTTTCCCGCATACATTGGTATCCCTTCCGCTTACCTCATCATCAATCCTGCGCTTACTCTGACTTGCAGAGTCAAGTGTGATTGCATTGTTGGCCTCGTTGCTTAAATTGTCATTATTAGCGCTGTCGTTGCCCTCGATCCCGACCTGGCCCCAGGTTTCTTCCGCATAACTGTTAACCTCAACCGAATGGGTAGCCTCACCGTCTTTCGTTGGGAACGGAAGCCTATCTGCCGGCGGTGGCCATGCCATATTGTCTAAATTCGACAATAATGATTTGATAGAACAAGATGAGGCTGCAGAGTACGGACGCTCTTGCTCGGACTTGGTGCTTGAAATAGTTGATGTTGCTATAAAAAAGGAAAAAGATCACGCAAAGAGTCATGACAAGAGGGTGAGTGGAAAGAAGTAAGGCAAAAGAATGAAAGCATCTATTGATATTCGACTTACATTCATCGAGCTCTTTGTCACTACCTTCCCCATTTTCTTCATTCTCTTTTTGGTCTATGTCTTCCCCATTTTCTTCATTCTCTTTTTGATCTATGTCTTCCCAAACGATATCCCTGATCCATTCTCCCCACGAAATGATCGTAATGTCTCCCATCTCTGCCGTCACCCCACTTTCTTGCGCTTTTTTCGCCCTCTTCTTGCCTTCCATAAACTCTTGAAAGAACTTCAACTCTCTTACTTTGATTTCTTTTAACCTCTCACATTTTTTATCGTGTCTTACGGTTAGCCAACAATTTGAATCGTCTACCCAGTTGACGAAAATTGGTGCGAAATCTTCAAAGATTGTCGTAAGGGTGGACTGATAGCAGTTCTGAGGGATATTGGAAAGAAGGAATGCGTTTGCTTTTGGCGATGGACCTGTGAAAGTGGATGTCACAGAGAAATAGTACAAAAGGTAAGAATGATAAAGTTAATTCACCGAGTGATTTCGTTCGTGGATGTAAAGAAACGAAACAAGAAATTGAAGGTGATAAATCGTTCTGTTTAAACAACGTCAAATATACTTACATCCATCTTCTCCAGTCAGATTAAGGTATTTGAAATCCGATCGCATCAAATGTAATTTATTATAGTATCCAATGACTTTTGGAGAAGTCCACATTAAATCTATAAACTTTTTCTCTTCGGAATCCATATTATTTTCATCCTGTTCCTCGACAGGTTCATCATCTACTTTCTTCTTTACTGAAATGTCGCCTTCAGGAACATCATCCAGGAAAGAGTATGCGTTTCTCTTCCCTTCCTCTGCGATTGCAATGGAGGGAGGTTCGGCTTAGATGATCTATATCATGTTCGTCAAATGTACACGAGCAAACTAAGACTTACCGTTTTCATGAAGCATGAAAGCAACCAAGCGAGCAAATATAAATCCGGTTACATAAGCGTCATATCCCGCCTCATGATACAAAGAGGCATCGTTAAGTTTGTATTTAGTAAAGGTCGGGTCGATTACTAGGACGATCAATGTGTATTAGCGACATTTGGACGTGAAATGTGCCGGACTTCGGTTTGTTGAAAAAGAATATACTCGACAAATAAAAGAATTTTTACCAATTTTCGGCCCCAAATCAGTGAAAGGACGTCTTTGGACCATTCCGAGAGTATCTTGAACGCCGGTTTTAATAAGATGAGCCTTATTTATTTTGGAGCAACGTCAATTAAACGGGTGATATAGAATCCAAAGCTGGGGCATAATCCATAAAAATAGAAGCACAATAAATAATAACAGCACTAACCTGAAGCTTTGAGTGCGAAAACGCCAAGTGTTTGGTGTCAACAATACTATAAATAATTACATCAATATTACAATCAGTACACACTGATTCAGCCATCAAATGATACCAAGTACGAGCCATCTTTACAAATAAGTCTTACGTTTCGAAAAGTTTATGAGCTAGCGCTTTAAACTGTCGCACTTTTTCCGGGACTTCTTCGTAGAATTGGTGAATTGTTTGACAAAAATCCAAAAAACAATTATGGCCTATTATAGGTTTCTTCGCTTCAATCAACATTTCTATGACATCGCGAAAATTGACGTTAATGTCAGAGCGCTTTGTTGTATTTCACAGATGAGGGGAATGGAGAAAACGCGCGAGTGAGTATTTAAACAAAAAGTAGCCAATAATCACAAACGATTTTTCTTTGCATACTATCGCATCATCCTCTTTGAACCGCCGCTCGCGTTGTTCTTCAGTTAATCGCATGAACACGATTGACCTTGGTCTACTATCACCGTCTATGAATCCATTGAACCTAAAACATCAAACACATTAATCCACGTACGCATTCTCATATGAGCACCATCCAATATAATCAAAAGGTTGATAGTTCATTCCATTGATAAACACTCACCTCGCCCTAACTTGCTGAAAAATGAACCGCTTGTGCCTAACAGTGGGCGCTTCTATAATAAGCTGATTGTTGACTGGGTTTTGTAACCATGCTTCGATTGACTTTCTATTAAGATTTTCGTCGTGTTAACGATGTGTTGCTAAAGAATCTAATTTGCAAAAACGTAAATAGCCGAAAGCCTACATAGCCTTCTCGGCCGCTTCCACAACATCAGCCTCGGGCGGATTTTCTGTGAATATGATTTGAGTGTAAGCTACGATTTGCGTTGTCATCACGGGAAAGAGTATGCAAACGTAGAGATTGTTACCTAGCTGCCGTTGTGCAGTGTGAGCTCTTCTTTGCAATAAAATTTCTTCATCGGATTTGTTCATAAAAGGTATTCCTACGACGCAAAAGCAATTAGTCTGATTCAACAATACCGTAATACATCTATTATTCAACTCCACCACCCTCGACACCAAACCACCTTTCTCTCGCACGCGAACACCTTCCCTTTTACCATAACACACCATTAGCTATTAGTTTGTTAAAATCAAAATTGTTGTTTGACAAAAAGTGCAAGCTAGATCCACTGCACATGAAAACTACATCGTCCGTGTCTCTGCGGTCAGCATTCGCTGGAAATATGTAGAAATTGAATGGACGAGCAATAAATTCGTCATCTTTGGATGAATAGGTAAACGTGCACAGGCCAAATTGTATGATCAGAAACTGGATTGTTGTTAGGATAGGAAAGGAAAGACGGAAGGAAACAAAAGACGTTTAATGAGTTGTGAGAAAGAAATAGCAAGGTACAAGGTTCAGTAACTCTTAAGAGTGATATCAGATAGAAAATTAACAAAAAAAATGGAACCTTTGTTGCCGCAGCGCGCACTTTGGCATATCTCGCCTGCGGGCTATCGAAGCTCCTGTTTCGTCCAATGCGTTCGCTCAGTCCTTTTTGTCATAACGATTGCGTTGACAAAGCGAAAAAGGAAAAGGAAAAGGAAAATAAGAATACGCTTTTTATCATTGCTCAACGCGGTTACGCGATCTCCTTCTCCGCGTAAACTGACTACTAACCGGTCAATTCAGTATCTAACGCAATGAAATTAGCTCCATCTATTGCTTGCTTGATTGTAGGCAATAACTCTGCGAAATTGTTCTTCAGGACGTCCATTGGGGAAGCAAAACAAAAAAGTTGGCGATCGTGTCGTGAATTGCTTGAAAATTACCCACGACTCTGATATTTATTCAACTGAAAATTGACCATGCATATCCATATCGTGTCGTGAATTGCTTGAATTTACCCACGACTCTGATATTTAAAATTGATCATGCATATTGATATATTATACATTATTTTATTACAATTTTATTTTACATTACAATAATAATCATCGCTTAATTTAATTAACAAACAAAAATAATGCGCTTTCTGTTATTTCTATGTTTAGGGAAGAATAAGAATGGATGGCATCCATCCCATAGCCTTCATTTACTTGCGCGCTTGAAGTGGTTGTTGTGACGTTGATGCCCATCTTCCGTATCAATTCTTGAGATTGCAGAGCCGTTTTGTTATTATACGGTTCGTCTGTATCGTGGTGTTGTTTCCGTGACGGTAATCACTTCATCTCCAAGAATACGCGTGCAAAAGCACTGCGCTTGGTTGGTAGACTGTCCTCACTCTGACTTGTGTACTGTGGACATGACTGAACCCCACCCCATAATGGATGGTGGGTGGATTGTAGTTGTTCAAGTCATAGTAGAATTGAATTGGCATCAAACGATTCTTTATGTCCACAACTACACCAAACCGGAGTACATCCGAGTATTCCACAGTCAGGGCAATAACAGTGGCGAAGCCGTCACGAGCAACCGGGCAACCGTGCCATCCGAATATGTCAGAAATATCGTCTTTACCGGCGAGTGTAATGTCTTGCTTAATGTCTTGCTCTACAACTATTGTCCGTAAGGCCATTCTTTTCATCGATTTTTTCGTTTTAACGTTCGAACATCCGTTTATCGTCGAATCTCTTGTCAACGTCCAGAGTTGAGCTGACTGTTTGAACTTGTACCTGTGTTGGTAGTGAGAATATTTTAGCAAAAACGCCTTCGCAAATGCTGACGTGAGTAAATGATTATTTCGTACCTTGCTAATAGCATAGTAATAGCTGCGACCATTGATTGAAAATGTTATTTCGTACCCTTGCGAATAAGCATAGTAAAGTAATACTACGACATTGATTGATGTAAGACTTTTTATATTAGTGTTTTTGTGTTACATCGTACAATATTTCGGCATTTTCTACTACCCACTACTACTACTGTGTTCCTCGCTATTACTATGGGACCTTGCTATTGGAACCGCAGGAGACTCACCGTTTCACGAAGGGAAAAGTTGATCAAGTCTCGGTAGGAATTTACGTGATTTTTGTAAAGTATGAGCGAATATGTATAGAATATGTTTTATTTTTTCGTCTCCTCTTCATAGAGCACTCGCGGAATATGATCCAACATACCAAGACATTCTGTGCCGCAGTGATCTCGTTGTAAACAGATAATAATTCAATACTTGTGGTTTATATAATTTTCATACTCTTGCGCATTTTATGTATTCTCACTCCAACATTGAATCTGCAGAAGTAACTGTGCTGACTTTCTTCATACACGTACTCTGTTTTCAGAAAATTGATACTGAATATTGAAGACAGTGATCTGAAACTAGAATTCTATTTGAAGATATGATGCAGCTTCGCTTCATCAACGGACCCCACTTATCTGTTGCCAGATATGCAAAATGGCTTGAGCGCGGCTGCCAACGAGTGTATAACTGTTACAGTATATCAAATTGACGAAGGGACCATCAACATGCATTGTCCCTAGACATGACCAAGCACGCACGTGAAAGCAAGGTTCGGGAAAATTGTTGCATCAGTTGTTCAAGTTGGGTAATTCTGGCGAGCATTTGTTAACACTACATTTTCTATTTCACAGTTTTATATCGTCTCCACTTCGGTATGCGTCTGGCTAGTGGCTTAATACTAGTGGTGTTGCTGCATTTGTTAGTCGTCTTCAAGTGCATACGATTTACCGCAATTGCTACTGCCGCCGCATAGCTGCTTTCATTGCATCTGGCTGATTCGAAGTGAGCGCTTAATACGGTTTGACATTCATCTAAAGAAGAAGAAGACATGGTGAGGCGATGAAATTGATTGAAGTTTAACCAAGTCATTATACACTTACGCACGTATTATCTTAGCAATGTTAACCATGGCCTTGCTGTAATGCCTCTTTCAATTCTAAACATTGTAAGAGTTAATCACTTATCAAGTGTTATTTGTTGTTATCATATAGTCACGATTAGCTGGCGGTTTCTATTGGTAGAGCCAAAAAACGGCCCACACAACAAGCGTTCGCATTTTAAATGGGTCACAACAACACTTTTTATTCTGCATTTGGTGAAATATACCACGTAATTCGTAAAATTTGATTTTATTTAATAAACAATATTTATATAATATACATGATGAGTAATAATAGCTAAAATTACAGCAACTCGCCTCATCTCCACCACAATCTTCCACTTCGTATTTTGATATATTTTCAGCCTCTTCTTCTCCCTTGAGAACGTCTTCGCGTGGATTCCTGGTACGCCAGAATCTTGCATTTGTTGGGACCCGGTACGGAATGTGGTTACTAAAGGAGGAGCTTGTCAGAACAGGAGCCCCCGCGGGGCTCATAAATATTGGGATGAATTCACCGCATTTTAATGGTGAATTCATCCACATTAAAAATATAAAATTGTTTTTATTTAAAAAAGAATAAAATTTGTTTTAAAAGCCTGTTTTTCTTAAAGGCTTTTTTTTCTCGACAGAGTTTTTGTTCTGCGGGAGTGGGCTCTTGTAAGGAATTTATCGAGCCTTGGTTTGGTTTTTCGGGGGACAAGCTCCTCATAAAAAGGTTTGGCATAGCCTTTGTTAAAAATGTAAACATCATCACTAAAAGTGTGTAAAGATCGCTACTGACAAGGAAATGGAGAGTTTAAATAGATTTTACAAATACCTTGCCAGTTAGCGTTCAACGCAAGCGACGTGTGTCTAATAAAACGCAAAACTCCAAAAGCGATCTAGATCTGCATTATTGGTTTACTGAAACAATAAGGCGATGGTTGTGATTTGAAAATTTATAATTAGCATCCAGAGAAATCAAGCCTTCCCTTGCCCAGCATGTCTTTGTGGTTTTATTTACAAAGTCCCCATGAACCTGTCTGTGGTCTAGATTTTCGTATTCATGCAGTCTTCCAAGATTCTTTTTGTACGATAAGAATCCTCGCTGTCGAAATATTCGGAGCCATAATTGAACAAATATGGTAAGTAGTTGTTCTTTCTATATCGATATACAACGCAGTATACAGTATACAGCATGCACAGTATTTGCTTTGTTTTGTAATGTTACAATTGCACATGTCTGATTATCAAATATGTCGATTGATGAATATTTTTGTGCGATTCCAATTGTTAAATCTCACCAATCTCAACCTCTGACAACTAACAATTACGACAAGACACCAGGAACACCTTCAGCGAAAACTGCAAAGAAGCTAACAAGTACAGTAAATCATACACGGACATTGTTATACGTAGGCCCTTATCACTCCAAGTATTACGAGATTTAAAATAATCACATGACCAGGGGATAACGTGATGTTTCCGTGAACCACAATTCGCGTAAACTAGAAAGTTATAATTTATTCAGAGGCCTCATCTTGCAACGTTTCTTAGAACCACATTTTCGCAGAACAAAACTGTGATAACAATAATTGTTGTTATAACGAAAATCGAGCCCAAATTGAGTTTATACTATTTATATTGCAAGTAAAAGTATTCTATCCTCTCGTGACTAAGCACATTTGGTGTAAACTTACAGGCATCCCGACCCGTCTTGGAAATCCATAAAGCACTGAACAGATGTGACATCCGTACAAGGAATATTAGCCATATGACGGAGTTGCACATGCAATAAATAAAGTCTACGTATAAAAAATCATACGCGTTATTTATGAATTCCTGCTATAGTAAGTTTATGGTTGTGTCTATTTCTAATGTAACGACTTTGATTCGTGATGCAAATTAAAATTGTTTATTTTTAGTTAAGTGTCTACGAGTTATAGTAATTGCAAATTCAAAATTTTCAGCACGCTCGTATGACGTTTATTGGTATGTTCCATAAATATGTTCCACAAATATGTTCCATAAATATGTTCCACAACTTAAAGATATTTTATTGTGACCGTTACATTTTACGTATTACAGATAGTGACAAATATCTTGCTTATTCTAGACCGTATGTATTGCTTAGTATCTATATTCTTAATAGTAAACATTATTATAGTATAAACGAATATATTGTAAAAACTTGCATCAACAGTTGCGCAATTTTTGTATACAGCCTAACAATGTTATCATACGTCCCAAATCCATCTTTCTTGCGCCATGTTTGTCCCGTGCATACTTTTAGTTCAGTATGTCGGGGGGGAACAACAATAATGATAACAATGATATTGATTATTATTACAATAAAGTCAATGTGCTTTGTGCCAATCTCTTATCTGCAGCCTTCGAATATCAAATCTAATGTTGAATGTTTACAATATCTTTGGTAGTTGAACGTTCGATTCTTTTGTAATTCTGCCCTTGTGGACTTCCAAGTCGTTTCTGTTTTGTAATCTTGGAGCTTCGATTGTTTTTGTGTCATACATAGATGCAATCACCGCTGCCCAATTACGGCTGCCCAATTACGATTTGTTCTTTTGTTTACGAATTTTTCAGGGGTACGATACATCAATTCAGCAATTATTAAAACGCCTTCTTCCTTATTATTATAGAACTTGCCATAATAACGCTTTAGTTAACCAAATAAGTAATCGTGCAGTATCAATCGAGCTTATCGTGAGCTAGTACGATCGAGATGATCCATTTTCATGTGTTTGTTTATCTCAGAGGCTTATTAATTATTGAGCCTAGCCTCAAGGAAAAGTTACATTGACGGATGACAATAAAGGTAAGCACTACAACGGTATGATAACATGGGTCATTACATACCGATCCAACTTGTCGCAATAAAAGGTGATTTGTACTTGGTCAAGTGCGTGTTTACTTAAATGTAAAAGGGGAGGGGTGATTGTAATGTGAAATATTAATATTGATAAATAGCTGTATTAATTATGTGATAATATTGACTCCATATTGTCAGATATACAGAGTAAAATACAATGTTCAATCAACATTCTTTCTTTGAATCGATGGAATAATTACATTGTGACTAAACGCTGGGATTAAGATATATTTGAATTAGTATTAGTTTAAATTCGGGTAGATTCGGCTTACTTCTCCAAAAAAGTATGGACCCTCCATAGCACAACCAATTAAATTTGTCAAAGCCTGTTCGATGTCGAATTTTAAGGTCCAAAAACAGACATCATGATAATAAACCTGGAAAACACAAACGTCGTCCGACAACCAATAATCTCTTGCGTAAAACTGCGTAACGTTATGACAAAGAAACAAATGTTGTTATGGACGACCTATTCGAAAGTATTAATGGCATTTTATTAGGCCATTGAATTTTGTTTTGATATCTGATAAACCATTTTATGACTATTATCCGGCTATTTTTAACATTTGCGTTTCTAGAGCAAACTTACTATAAGATACAATCTTGTCTTTTAGTCATGTGCCACGCTTGTTGCATAAAAATAATGCGACTTATCCATTGTGTTTTCTTTGACTATGCACCTTGCTGCATGAAGAGGAGGATTATCACGAGATTGAGGCTTAACGGTGCATTACTGTGTTATCATGCGATTACATGAGAAAGAAAGAATTTTCTGTGCTGCTGATGCCAAAGTGACTAAGCAACAATGTCAATCTGTTGTATATTTATTATGTGGTATAGAGTGACAATTATCCACAATAGCCTTATCTTTGTATGTACAATGGCAACAATCTAGAATGATACTACAGTATATTATAATATACTAATACTTATTGTAAATTTATCTTCTCAAAGATAATCAATTGATATTGCAGTACTAATAATTGAATATCGGATTAATGTAAGTTTACATTGGAATCTCTCACTGGTATGTTACATTCATACTTGTATCTTTGATGCAGACAAAGAAATAATTAAAACATCAAGCACATCAACAACCCCCCAACTTTATGTCTAGCTATCGAAATTATAATTATCGCGCAAACATCATGTATAGTACTAAACAATTGATAGTGGTATTATTAAATACAATGGAAAGGCTTCTCTTTATCGGACATTAATATAATCAGTAACCTTTATAGTATAAATAATATGTGTGATTAAACTTAAAATTATTTTGTTTTATTAATAAATTATATTTTATACATAATATTATTGCAATATATCATGCAAAGTGCCAATGTCTGGTGGACAGACGGCACCTATCCACCCGGCCATATCTTATTAGACCCATAATAATTACGAACGTTTGTAAGTTTTAGGTCATTGTTTTCGCGACTTCAAGCTGTGTCGTTGTCAGGACATTGTGAAAGCCAAGTCGTTGTAAGATTAAATTTATTCATTACAGCCAGATTGTTTTCACTAGCCGCTGGACTTTCTGAAAAACTCCGCCTTGAGATGAGCAGACCAAATTGTTAATACAGTTGAAAGAACCTGGGGCTGTTGACATTACTTTTCACCGACCGTTGCACATCCACAAAACTTTCGAGGTCGACTTTTTAAATAATTGTGTACGCCAAGTCGTGATCTTGTATGAGCAGACCAAATTGAGTTGATACAGTTGAAAGAACCTCTGTTGGCATTACTTTTTACCGGCCGTTGGACATCCATAAAACTTTCGAGGTCGACTTCTTAAATAATTGTGAAATCATTGACATTTTTGAAGAACTTTCGCCTTAAAGGTGCTAGCTAAAGTTTGATCGTGGATGAGAAAACCAAATTGTTGATACAGTTGAAAGAACCTGGTAGTTGGCATTACTTTCACTGGCCGTTGAACGTCCGCAAATTTTTCGAATAAGCCGTCAAAAGTTACTCGGCGAATTGCTCTCATAATTTTATAAAATTGTCTTATTATTTATTAATCAAACGTCGGCAACTTTAGATAAGCCACCAAACGTTGGAAAACTTTTGAGGGATATAAGCCCTTATATTTAACTTAATGTCCTTGGAATATCCATATTAATTCAGGCCACATATCATTTGCAGCTGAATGGTTTTGCTTACACGACAGCCAAAATAGCTAACGTTAAACCATAGTGTTGTTCTTAGTCATTTAATTTGTATGACTATTGTAATTGAGGCGGGTTTATTGAAGGTTTAATTAGCCTCTCAAAGTTGTTCGGCGGCGTTATATTGTCGCGTGATTGGTCGCGGGCGAAATCCAACATGACCGATTCTGGAGAGCCGTTGTTTTTGCTGACCGTCTGTGTAGGAAAGTTTCCTAATACCATTTCGGCATTTGTATGGTTGGTACCAAACATCGGTAAACTTTCGAGAGATATAAGATAAGCCGTCAAAGCTACCCGCCAAATTGCTTGATAGTTGTTGAATTTCAATAGAAATCTAAATATTTATGACCAAAGAGTTAGTAAACTAATTAATACAAGCAAGAAGAGAAATACCAACAATAAAATCATGCCATGTAATTCTTACCAAGAATGAGATAATTGTTGCTGTATAAAAATAATGGTTTGTTAAAGAATAGCAAGACAGTAAGTCAAAGCTATAACAACAGATGGGGGGTTGTCAGATACTTTTATATGAATTGGTCTAATATAATTAGTTTAGTGATTCTATATTCTTACAGTATCCCCTGATAAGCCATTGCTTTTACTAAATAGTCACCAACAAAGAACACAGTTAAAATGGATGTTGGCGTAAAATATTTACTTTTTAATTAGATGCATACCGTTTTTGCTCGCTATATTGTCTTACATTCGACGACAGAAGATCGTATATCTAAATGGAGACAAGTCGGAACAAAGTTATCATAATAGCAGTGAACGCATTCTCTGTAAAACTCGCTCAATACCTCTTCTCGAGAAACGTTTCTACACTTTCCGAGTAAATAATTACCATTACTTTTATTCGCATTTCATATACTCAAAGAGATGCAAATGGTCATAGGTCAATTATCTATTGTCTCTCGTGGGGAATGGCAAATTAAGTAAGGAATTTTATTAATTTAATTAATAATAAACCTAAAAGTATTAATCGGAGAGAATTCTAAAATAAGGCCATGTATTATTATTATTGTTATTAAAATGGGGCCAACGTGTATCACATAAATAACATCACGTAAAAAGTGACCGCCAGTATGGTATACTTTTGTGTCTCAGTTCGGAACCCAGTCACTCAGTCCAACACTCCGTTGTCTCAGACACTTAGCAAAAGTCGTTTGATAGTTGACAGTCAAGTGTCTTACATATAGCAAGTGTTATGATAAATGATCATAACTTTGTTCCGACTGCAACCGTCTGCCATATTATAGCGGAGTCCGTCATACACAATTAAATATAAGATTCTTTTCCCATTTTCTGTTATCAACGGTACGTTCTGGCGATTGGCAAAGCATTTTCAAGAATCATAGTTAACCCCTCGTCATTTTCTGCGACTATATAGGAATAACCGGTGAATAGTCTTCACCGAAATATCGAAATAAGTTGGTTACGTTTTCTCGGTAGAAGGCGCAAATTATCGCCGAACTCAGAAGCAACAAACAGCAGAACATCACATCGAGACAAGTAAATATACAATGTCGGCCTGAAATTTATGTTTCCGCCTTTAAATTTATATTATCTTCTATTTACAGGGGAACCAGAACTATCTGTGCTCGTTGTTTACCTTCGATTATCTGTATCCAAGGTATTTGATGAACTGCAAAAATCGGGCGACGACTGAGGTATCAAGGTCAGTACGATACGATGATGTAGGCGAATTGATTCTTCAAAGTATAAAAGAAAGTTATCTTATTCGTTTGCATTTGTATTATATAGATCGTTCGCGGATAATTTAATTTAATAACGATTGGAAGTTTATTACAGATCATGCTTTTATGAAACAAATGAAAGAAACAATTAATGTACTTGATAAATTTACATTGCTGACTGTCTATGCAGCGAATTTTTGTCTATCTTTTATTAATAAAGAATCTCATCCAGAATTACAAACAGTGCATCAAAGATGAGACATTTTCTGTTGCCCCATCGGTTGTAACGGTTAAAGGAAGGTAAATAACTGTTGAAATTCACCCGTTTGTTTCCAGGATTTTCGTTGGAGAACCGTATTGATAATATGATTCCGTCAGATCCCGTAAGGTTTCCCGCATATTCGTCAAAAAAAGAGAGCGAGGCAAGGCAAGGCAAAGACAATTGGTGTATGGTTGTCCGCCAGATCCTCGTAAGGACTCCCGCGCGACCCCCGCCCCGCCTTGAATTCGCATAGGAACTGGTGTATGGAAGACCTTGTTGACCAGCTGGCGTTTATTGACGTGACGGGCCAGGATAACCATTTGTTCGTCCCGACATTCTTCCTCGCAGCGTATATCGTTATTGCCGTCAGAGGAAGTGGTATCATACATCGAGTTACAACGATGCTTGGTCGGGTTTTCTGTCCTTTGCTAAAACTTGCAACAGCCGTGTAGCGGGATAAAGCTGATAGTCTCAAGCTTTCCGACTCCCCCATCTGCGTTTTCAGTCGGCGGCGTATGTGAGTGAGAGGGTTTAGAGTATAATAATAATAAAGTTTTGGCAAATTTGCGTGTAAAGAAAGGTCTGTGGATAAGTGTCGAACATTGTTTTTCTTGTTTCGAGGGATCAAGAGTGTATTAAATAATCTCGCCTCGTATTTGTCATCGTTTATGTCTGAGCCGTGATGATTACAACTCGCGTCCTGCGGATTTTGTTTAGGATATGAATTCTGTGTACAAAATAACAGATTTAGCAGGAATCGTTCCACTTACACAAATAAACAAATGCTTTGTCGTGGCTGTGCTCTATCCTCCGAAACCCGCTACTATAGACTCAAAGAGATTACTCAATGCCCGGCTATTACGACTCACTGAATTTCCTTAGCGACTGAGTCTGTAAAGCTCTTCCACATGCGATGGTTGGTACTTTTGTTAGTTAATGTGTAATATGATATTTGAGAAAGCGATATCTGAAAATAGAATTTAGTAAATATGCGTTTTCCTACTTAGTGACATACATTACCGAGTATCGTCTGATGCTCATTATAGCTCTTCGTTTCGTAACTTGTAGAAACCAGCGGATCAATCGATTTGAGGACATTCGATCTTTGGCAATGTAATCATTGCGACTCTACTAGGGCCACAATCCCAGAAGCTCCCATCTATCATTGTCGGGGAACGATTTTGCGCTCAAGGGCATTATTACGCTTAATTGGATCACGCCCGTCTCTTATCTCTCTTAATGTCTCTGTACCCCTTTCGTCGCCAACATCCACCAAAGAAACCTAATCAATATTACAATCTCAGGCGCCTTGAGAATCAGCGCATCAGAATATGTAGCAGCGCAATTAGACATTGGTATTTATTATCAACGAGGAGGCGTAGGCACGGGCAGAAATATCCAGAAAGCGGTGATCAAGAGTACGTCCCTGCTCAATATAGACTGCACGACGTTATAGAAGTGGAATCAGAGTGTGAGAACGTGGTCAATTTGTGTCAGAAATCAGTAGAACGGGGAACATGCGAACAGCAATACATACTTACTCAGATACATAGGACCGAAGAATATGCGGGCATTAATAACGAGAAGAGATCTACGGGAAGGTGATGTATAGATATAAGAGGAAGGAGATGTCGCCCAATATGTAATGGTTACTAGCTCAGTATATGATGCTATACAACCGGTAGAAAGAGTAGGAAGTATGATCGAGAGAGTTTCTAGTAAGGAGAAGGCTGAGTGTTAGGTAACCATACTTTTATTTATCTTTCCAAACGCCTACATTAAAACCTATCATTACTAATAAAACTCCAAAATTAGGAATAACAAGTCCTGTCAGGGAATAGGCTCCTTTAGATCCAAAAGGGTAACAAAACCCTGCGTTTCCAATTGAGTCCTGAACCGATGTCACTGATAATTTCGTGTCCTGGATAACGTTGTCGGAGATCTGTGATCTGTCGTTCGAGGCCGTCTCATTGATGCTCTGAACTGATTCTTGCGTAACAAACCTTGGCCTTTTGTTGCTTGTAGGTTGGGGAGCTGAGGACTTCCTTTGTTTGAACCCTTTTTTGGTGGTGGTGATGTTAGCATTGAAGGGAGAGATCATGGTATTTGAATAGCGGAACCGAAAACATGCATAAAACATGCAATCTTATATGGAGCCTGAAACATGCAATCTCATATGGAGCCTACGCGCATGAAACATGCAAACACAGACTATATGATGGATCGCGGTCACTAATCGTTAACATTTGATCTTTCCAAACGGTCGAAGTAATAGTAATAGTAATCTTTAGATATTCACGTAACGTCCCTCCGTCAGCGTGTTCAAAAATCGAGTGACAATGATCACCTGACATATCTGTTTACATTCAGAGAATGTGTCAAAGTGATGAACAGAGCAAGAATAAAGTGACATTAAATATATGATGGTGAAAATGAAGAGTAGATTGGTGGCCGGCATGCTTCTAATCTCATTCTCGATCAGTCTCATCCATTGGCGTTGATATACGAAGCCTTATTATTCTATAAAGGCTTACGTCTTCCTCCCCTTCTTCTGTTTGTCGTTAAATGTGTTTAGTGTTGTGAGAGAAATATTCGTTTCTATGTTGCTACTGTCCTGTGGGGTTTTTTCTGCTGTTGGTTGGATGTAATCGGTGCCGTGCGGCACCGGCACTGGCACGGCCGAATTTATGTTCTAACTCACTGGTAGTATCCAGGAGTTGAATTTGTTGATATTGGGTAGATTCCATTAGTCCAACATTTACACAGCCATACTGTACTTTTAAACTGTCGCAATACGTATTTATTGCCTGTAAATTGATAATATCAAGTTAGGGTTAGAATTACAGAACAATAAGGAGTGGCCGAGCGCAAGAGTACTCGGCGGCGGGTTTGAATTGTTTGTTCTTATATACTTTTCACGTGATGAAAATCATTGCTGATAATATAACCTACCTTATGTCTAACGGGACCGTTCCGTTGCAAGAGCCAAGACGCATTCTCCTTCGATCCAGCCAGAAAGCGGTGATCTTATCGTAAGAATCATTGTGTGTCAGGTGGGATGTAGATATTACTTCAGCAGAGTTGCTCGAATCTATATCAAAGTTGTATTAATATTACACTTTCTTACCATACATTTACGTATATGCTCAGCACTAAGAAGATTTCAACCAACGTACCGAATTTTCGCTCAGCTCATCAACCCTTAACTTATATCTCCAATATATAATGTGTCCAGTTTGATAGACCAAGTTTAATTGGGCGTCTCCAAACGTCTGAATTGAGAGTCAGGTTTGATGTATGTATGGGGTCGGCCAGGTAAATCTAATTAATCTAATTAAATATTCTTAACCAGAGTTAACCTAACATTGATATTTCCAAATTCACTTTTTTCATCGATCCTTACCCCTAGATTTTTCCATCAGGTGCCTGAATCCGATAACATACAACCCTTTACAAGAAAGTATCGTGGCCTATACGAAGCTCATATTGTGTTTTTTTGAGTGCCTTACTGTCCACTTTCCTTCAAATCGTATAGAGAGCACCGAACTGCGTAATGCTCAATATTTCCGCGCGTAACATCTCTTTGTTCGTGCACACGAACTACTTAATGACAGGATCATGCTTAAGAATGAATTCATACTTTTTCATCCTGTTCATTGTCTGGCGCGTAAATAGTTTAGAGTCTGAGTTCAGCTCAGGCGGGAGCTCGGTGGATTGCCGTCTGAAGATTTGAGGGTGGCTGTCGTTGTACCTCACATCTTACTATCACAAGAATATCCATCTTGTCGAATACGAAATCATTCATTGCTGCCTTGTGTGATCCCTTCATTTGTTTATAACTGCTCCTTTGGAAACGGAATACAACAATATCGATCCATCTTGTAAACCCGGTGAAATGCTCGAAAGTTCGTAACCCTTTTGTGAAAAGAACGGGTAGTGTTGGTTGGGGTAATTTTGTCGTTCGAGGCAACAAGTAAATCGCGTATCGAATATCCAGAGCCTCAACTACCGTCGTCAAAGATAAGTTGACAACAATGAGAGGATGAGAATTTATGGGCGGATAATAATAAGAGAATGGTAGGTAAATCACGAGGCTGAAAGCCAAATATGCGTGTTTTTTTTTTTGTTGTATGGGAACTTGAAGGGGGGCGGCCATTGCATATTTAGCATTGGTAGTTTCAAAGGAGTGTTGAACGAGGAGATAACATCGGAGAAACATTCTCATTTTTCCGATTCAAATGTCGCTAATCAACCAATGGAAAATCGCTTCAGAAATAATTGATGCTTAAATGTCGTATGTAAATTCCATCACTTGTGTAAATCCTGTCACTATTTGGGATTTACATTCTTAATTACCTGATTTGGTTAATTATAAATTTATATCTATTACTATGGAAATTTCCTGATGCAGAACGCATTACTGAATCCTGTAGTTATTCTTCCTACGCTTCACTCACATGTCTTATCTACCGAAAGTATTCTTTCTAAGATACGTAATGCTTCTTCACTGCAAGTCTTTTAATTTTAGCATTAGCCTACCATTCGATACAGAGCTTACACATCTAGTATTACAGTTATAGCCAAGAGTAGTAATAAGTCAATGTATGATTGTATGCTGCAATTTAAACCCGTGATTAATCAATACAGATCTGTGCCATACTAGCTGACCAAGAAAAAGAAAAAGCCCTGCCTATATGCAAGAGTAAAAACAATTAAACGGGTTGTCTTATGTCTGTATTAGTATGTGGTCCGATGCAATAAATTTAATTTCTTTTAACAGGTATTACTATATTTTAGTATTTGGATTAATTCTAACTAATATTTGAACATTGATACGTGCATACCATTAGTTTAAAACGAAAATTATGCATAGTAATAGAGCACAGTTGTTTGGTTTTGTACCATAATAATTTATTAAGTATTGGTATGTTGTTGTTGCAAGTAGTTATAGTATGTTATTGTCAAAAAATCAAGTAGAATTACCAGTAGACTAACAGCTCGTATAATATTAAGGTTTAATATTTGGGCTTAATATTAATTATATCGCATAAAAATTATAAATATACAAATAAAGTAATTAACCTGCGATGACTAAAATGTATGCTGCTTAGCACCCAAAATACTGCAATATTTTCATGTCATGTGTGCTGTATTATTATGTTCTTATAATAACTTGATATCAATGTTATTAGTATTGATATATAAGCTACCATTACAAATTAGAAATAAAAGACGATGAATTCTTATTATTATGCCGAATGTTATTTGTACTAGAAGATAAAATATATATTAACGACCGAAGAGTCAATGGTAACCATCAGCTAGATTCGCTTCTCAAAGTCAATTGATATTTTTGTCTACTGTCTTGAGATCTTGTCTCCATTCCACATGTTTCTTCGTACGATGGCGCATAGTTGAGTTGGTCGTACTATGATATATATCTATGAATGCTCACGGTGCACCAATTAGGACAGTGACGAAGAAAAAAAATTTTTTTTTGACTGTGTCTTATCAAGATGCACTTCCGCTGTATACAATGGGGCTTTTTTTAAAGTAACATTTCTAACACTAAACCTTGCATGTTCGGACCCCTAGTTGGCGTGATAATTGTGCGACGTTCTGTCATCATATGAAGATCTATCCAAAAATAGGGAATACAGAAAAATGTACTACATGCAATATGCAGCCGGAAAACAGCCCTGTAACCCGATTTACATTGAAAATGGGACCGACACTGTCTGCACGTATTTTTCACATCAACTGGCAGGGAACAAATTATATGTCAGCGTCTTATCTCAGTGAGTAGAGAGAATAGGGTCATTATAAATAACCCTTCATCCACGCTATTAGAAAGTTCAAATACCCAAAAAAGTTTCTTGATAACCTAACCACTATGAACTTCCAATTCTCCAGAATTTTATTCAGATTCTGAAATATACACATTCATTGAGTGTTTTACAGACATTAATTGAATACCAAGTAGTCTTACGATACTTTTGCTTCTTCCACCTCGGGTCTACGAAACGTACCCTCTCCTCTCCGTTCCATACGAAATGCGACGATTTTAACTGCAGACCCGCAACGAGCTACATATTTACTACAACGCCATGCCCGATTGCTTACAATTCAGTTTTTGGCAATCGGGTGATTATCACGACTCCGCCTCGGATTGCCTGCGATTTAGCCGGGGGGGGGGGGGAATGGAGAAAAGTTTTAGGGGGCGTTGCTATCAAGGAGACGGATAATTCGGAACTATTGGAAGTCAGGGCGGTAATGCCCCAGGTTATCTGCTAAAGTTGGGTGCATGGAAGGAAAGTGGTCAGGGGAACTTTGCAGTGTGTCAGATGGATGGAAAGATGTATCGGGAGGCTGATTTAGATGATTCCGCATAAAATACCTGTAACTTTAACTTTGCAAATATAATATAATAAACAATGTATATTTTATTGTAAGAAAATTCTAATAAATAAAATCTACTGTACTGATGACGGATAAATATTGCAATACTGATAAAATCTATGCTCTATTGTAAAATCAATTAATTGTACTGTTGTTACAAAGTTTATAGTAACAATATATACTGTATACGTTGCACTTATATATTGAATATAAAAATATATATTATTAGTATTGTATAAAAACGTTGAGATAAGGACTTCTAAGTATTTAATAGTAGTGTCTGTTATTATTGGAGAGCGACAATGTATAATTGACTATTTATACAAAGATTTTGTATTATTTTATGTAATATCAATATCGAGTAAATCTTTCAGTACGCTGCTGATAATCTTCTACTACATTTCTTTGATATTTTAATATGTTCCGAATAGTTGAGAAGCTACTTCTACGGCATATCGTTATCGACCATTACTCTTAAATCACATGTAACGTCTTGATGTTACCAACTTTTTCTCCCCAATTTTCGTAGGGAGTGTGAAAATAATCTTAGAATGGTTGGTTACGGCTTTTTTATATACTGTTTTATTGTCATAATTTATTAATGATTGACTGTTTGGCATCACTTTCTACTTATTCTTGTACTATACGCCATTAAAAAAGTATATAAATTACAAGTATAATTACATACAGTCGGCTATTGTAATAGATTCTTACATGGAAAGATAAACGTAAAAAACTCTAACAATTACCTTCAAATCTGCTTGTTGAAGTAAGCCCATTGGTTGAATAGTTTTATTAATAACTAATCTTATTGAGTACGGGCAATATATATTTTATTTTCCAAATTTAAATAAACGTACAAGTTATCCATTACTACACTTTTGATAACAAATAATATTATTTTTCTGAATATTACGTGTAACTATTTCTATATTTACTATTTCCATTGACTAAGAATTTCGATAGTGACATTGATTAGATAATTGGATTAAACATTGTACAGTTTAATTAACTTTCTTCTTTATCGTCCAACTAAAATAAATTTTGGTATTTAATTTCTCAGGAATCAAACCGTTTTGACACTTTTGTTTTTTGTTTATTAACAGCTAATCAGCTACACAATATATTTAGTTCTACAATTATAATTATAACTTTATATCATCTTTGTATGGGTAGTTATTATCAGAGTTTTACATAATTGCTATCAAGACCTAGTTTTACTGATACTGCAAATTCTTTGAATGCTTTACAGTAGTTGATATAATATTTAGGGAAGATATCAAGTTCCTAGAGCTTTATGCAAGTTATTCTAGTGCTGTTAACTTCATGGATGCTAAAATTAAAAGCTCTTATAACAAGCTCGTTTCCAAGTGCATTAATCAAAACGGTTAAATATGTTGTGGCTGAGTTGAGGACTTGTTCACTGAAGTAATAATAATAAATTAATTGTTTGTAACTAAGACATAGAAAAAATAACCTAGATTGCCTGGTATAAAGAATAACAATAAGACCATAATGGTAATAAATCAGAGTTACAGTGTCAACAGTTTGGTCATAAAACACTATTTTAATAACAACACAGTAAAATGCCATTCATGAAACCAATTTGTATTTAGTTAAAAAAGAGAAAAAAAACTTACTCTTTCAATAGTAGTAGTCTTGTTAAAGTCAAATTTCATTTAATATTAATTTAGCTATTGGAACAAAGCATCTGAGTAGACCTATAGTAGACAAAAGATTTGTTGCAGTTTAGAAAATAAGTTGGTAAACATTTACAAATATTTTATTGTACATAATTTATGTTTTAAAGCAATAATTAAGAGCTTAAAATGCAGATAAAGATTGTAAGTACGCTTTTCCAATCTTTAGCAAATTTCATTCCAAAGTGTAGTTTTCTGGACACAGAACTCTTTATGGAATACTCTGCTTTCCTTTTTCTCTTCAAGCAAAAATTTAAAAATAGCATAGTTTTTGAAGATATCTTTACCCAGTGGTATTTTTTCTAATAAGCTTTGCAGAAACACGTAATAGTAAAGCCAATATTTATGCCACTGTTTTTAACCAAGTTAGATTATTAAATGTTTGCATGTACTGCTTAGACATCTTCTGTCAATACTCTCACATGTAAAAGAAAAGCGTTCTGCGCAATAAGTAACTGACATTTATGTACAAGACATTTTAGGCATTAACTGCGTTCTTGTAATTTTAATTGAAAATTTTTGTCAGACTAAACACATTGAACACTAATATACAAATATTGTTGACTACATGATTATACCTCACAGTCATACGTGCTCTGTTAGAGTACATCAAATTTACGGTAGGTGGCGACATGATAAAAATATGTTAAAAACAAATCAAAGCTAATCTATACAGGATGTACTTTCCACTATATTTGGTAATCTCTTTTTGAACGTCATACGCGCTTTTCTAAAATTTGTGTAAGACTCATAATGAGCATACATTGTTTAAAAATTTTATGTACACCGCCACTTAATCAGCTGTTTGTATCATTGCTAAGCTCTTGTTGACCATTTTAGTGTTTCTACCATTTAATACGCTGCGCCCTGCAGCAATGACAGGTGTTACATTTGACAGAATTAAACTTCGGCTCGCTTTCTTATTCCTCTTCAATTTTTTTTTTTAATTTTGCCTAAATAAGTTAACGAGAAATAATCGAAACTCCGAATCTATTCTACGCCGTCTTATCAACTCAACAGGGTTAATATTAACAACAAGTGGTTGAATTTTCAAGTCGCAGGTCTTGTGAATCGCTTGTGAGATGAGTTTGTAACTTAGGTCATACCATTGAGGGCTGAAAAAAGTGGCCGACAATGTCTGCCTTGCAGCTCCTATTGGAATGATCAGTGGGATCTCCGGGTGATTAATCGATTGGTCCAGTATGCGAACAGAAGACGTAAAAAATTTTCTTATAAAATAGCGTCCTTTCGTGCCAGTGAGAGATTCATCGTCAAAATATCTTCACCAAACAAGACTTTGTTACATAATATCACGCAATCTTCTCATACAAAATTTCAATACAAACCAAATCATCAAATTGTCTTGATAACACTCTGCCCTCTGCCTTGTGCACATTGCCTCCGCTTTACCGAGCACCTGTTATATGTTGATGACGACCGATATTCTGACGAACCACAGCCTCTAGCTTGGATATTAAATGAAGTTTACAACGGCAGCGGGCAAATTTTTTTGCAAATTTAAGAAGCACAGGATGTGAAAGAGGAAGCCTGGCGGGGGATACTGGGAGAGAATGGGAGAAAGAGAGTTGGGGGAGCCGACGCATGGCTCATGACTTATGGTGGTGGAAAAAATGTAAAATTTATAATTAATATTTGACATTATATTTTTAAATCATAAATGAAAAAATTAAGTTATAATAATATTATTTCTAAATTATTAAAATGTATCTTTCAAAAGTTTTATTTAAACAAGAAAATTTATAGTAATAATAGTCTTAAAAGTTTTAAAAATTTCTAACAAAGTTGTCAACGTAAAAAAGGTTTTATTAAAATTTATTAATACTGGTAAAATTATAGAATTCAATTACTTTGCTTTCCAAAATAGCTTATGACAATTATATGAATTATTACTGCATGTTTATAGATCGATTCTTAATATCAACGAGTTGGCTGTTTCACATTATCTACTTCCTGACAAAGTGGTCATTATCTATTTATAAAATAAAAAGAAGCGGGTTATCCATTGAATATTCCTAAAAAACGTTGCGTATACTCCATTGTCAAAATTACGATACAATCAATTAACGCGGACGAGCGAGCGGCAGGATTTAATTGACATGTCAACTAAGCAAATCGAATACTAACCCAAGAATGGATTACTCCCTCAGTTATAAAGTTAATTTTGCTCAGCCTTCGCGAGTAAACTTAAATTTGAGGGTACTTGCCAAAACGGATCATTCACACGTGGTGTAAACTATCTTTGCTATTTTATTTTTGCAGACATGGTTCATAACGATAACAGTATTTTCTTGACATATCACCCAATCTCCACTCTCACGACACTATAGGCGAGCCAACATATAGAGGTAATAGTGATCTGAATGGAAAGCAAAAGGATGGATGTGTAAAAGAGATATAGAATGTTTATCAAAATGTTCCGGCGAAGACTGGATACTTTGCGGGTTTTTCAGGTAATTGATAATGGCATTATATTTTACTAATCCTCTCCCATCGAATCAACCTGACATTGATTTATCCATCTAATCGTGCAACTCCTTTATGCCCGAAGGCCTAACCTAACAATATCGGTCGGCAGTATATCAATGGGTCAGTCTTCTTAATGCTGGTAATTATTCAGCAGTACAAATCTTCAAGAAGTTTTGCACATTACCTTAATGTCACTTACCATCCTGCTTCCTATAGATGTGCTAAATCCAGGATGCGCACGCGTCTGCATTCTAATCTACTGCACGGAATATTAGTTTACCAGATCAATTTGATAGGAAGAACCGGATGCCTAGCCACCGAGAGATTGTAAGGAGAGGTCATTCTGGAACATATCAAAAAACGATGACTGAAGAGTGGATTTTTGCTAGATTGTGTGCGTGGTGAGTGGTCATGGGCGAAAATGTGGGAAGTGGTAATTAAGTGGATGGACCAAAGATGTATGTTAATAAAGCCAAGTGTAGGGAATATTGATGGAATTAAATAAATTGTACAGGAACTCTGGATGGTAGCATCGGATGATAACGCCAATATCGGAAGAGAATGCATTATTGTATACACAAATGGTCAATGGCATTCGAATATTCTGATTAACAGCGTTGCGTATACTTTAGCTGTAAGTGAAATTACGAAATGGAAATTATGAAAATGCCCGTATTATTAGACTTCAGCAATTATGAACTGATTGTCGTGACACCCATTAACAATATTATTTCAGATGCTAACTGCACATCTTTGTTTCATAACTTCTAGGATCAGAGGATTTTTTCAGCGCTTAATGGGCGTAAATGCAATAAACACTATTTAATCCATTGGCATATTCAGTGAGACGTGTATATGAACTATCCCTTCGACGTTTGTGGATAGCACAATTTATATACTTGTACAAAGTATTTCTAGTGAACTAAATATATAGTACACTCTTTGTGAGATTATATAATAGCTAATAATACACGCCAAAAGTACATTTACAAGTTTGTGTGCACAAGTGTTGTTTATCAGATGGCTCTAAAAACGTGTTGTACATCGCAGACGTGGCGATCGAAGATGATTGCGCGTATAGCAAAATTTAGAATACATTGACGCATCACTCATTCAACAATGATATTAATGATGTCTAACCCACAGAGCATCGCTGATCAGTGAGCATAATTGTTTTTTTTTTTACAACTTTCTCTTCAGCGCACAGTTACAAATATACATTGTTTTATTAAACATAAATATAAGTATAGCGACCGATTATTTGTCTTAATAAATGAGAAGGTTCTTAACAGTGTATGATAAAAAGAGCGTCAATTACCTAACATTCTATCTCCCCCATTTTTTACTTCGCCAAAAATGAGATTCAATGAATATGATTCCTTTTCCTATATCCTTTTGGTCCTAGCGGCCAAACTATTGACTCTATATATTCGACTAGAATCACCCCTAGTTTCATTCCGATGTGAAACTATCCTTTCTACCATTTCCTGATGCATAGCCATTGTCTTACTCTTCACCGTATTCTTTCCTCACTTGGGTGCAGTAACGTCATACGACAGACTATTCCGCGCTAAACATTTTATATATTCAACAACACCTCTGTTCCATCTTGTCCAAATATTCTTCCGTAAATCTGTTGACTTTCCACCCTGCGACCTGCCTAAGGTCTATCCCGCAAAGTTTCACTTCAGGACAACAACAAAATTTTCCTAGCAGCCGCGTGCAGGCCGACGAAAATGTTTGAGAAAATCACCATTTCTCAATGTTCCCCCCGTTTCCATTAACCTTCCTACACCACATTTGACTACAGGTTTCTTCGATCGCGAGAGAAATTCTACTTATAATGAATCATTGTTACGCTTTTCAATACGCGCGCTCTTCCTACGATTAATGCATCGTTATCATCGCCGGCAGAGCTCAATTATATATTATACATCCTTTCAAACTCGAGCTTTCTTTTCCAATCCATTCCCTCTAATCTAACTTATCAAAGTCTTCATTTGATAGAGTCATTGCATCATCCGTCCCACACTCGGCGCACTATCATACTAGTCCGAGCGATTACGCGCCAGAAAATTGTCTGATTCCTTTTTCCGATACACCTCACTACCCGTCTCCTAGCGACCGATGCCCGGTCGACGAAATCATCGTCTTTAACGTTCCTATTGCTGTCCTCGACTAGCTTCTACGTTAGCGCTTCGTCACAATTACTATCACTCCCTCAATTTCTTCTATTCATTGTTCTGAACAAATTAACTAATATCACGATAAAAGGGTTCATTCAGTAGAGTCGTCGTGAATGGTAGCCACCGTGCCGTAGCAATCGTATCCTCGTAGCTGAAAGAACATTTTTCATCAAATGATTATGATAGTTTCAGATATAATCGTTTTTCAAATATCAAAATAACCTTCCATTTCCGATTTACTTACCTGCAATTCACACAGTTTAAACGACCGCCGCAGCTTCTCAAAGACACCTGTTTATTAGATCATAGCGAGCATTCCAGGCTTAATTGCTGTAACAATGTCACATTAACAAACAGAATTGCCAACCATCTGACTCCAAGAGTAAGATTGACTAGACGTCACGCGGGTTGAGAATTTTAATAAGATATGGTCACGTGGATGTCACGAAAAATAATTCGCATACATAGCAGACTTTTCAAATTTTATGTTACCTGGTCGTTAATTGCGCGCTCAACTATCACTCTATACGTGGTAATCCTCTACTCGTATCCAAATAAACAACAATAATTTAATAACCGTTGAGTCGAAGAGGATTTAGTTTTTAATTTAAAACAGGGCTAATGCTAATACTAACTTCGATTTGGCATGCAAAGAAACACATGAATCAGCAACGGAAGTATTAATTCAGTTTTCAGAATCAGCCGTCAGTAACTTTAATTTGAATGGAATTGCAAAAGCCTTTAATGGTAGAGAAGATATAATTTTCTACGTTTTATACTTATCCGTCGCGACAACGATAATAGTAACTAATGGCTTATTAACTGATACTTTCTATCTGCTGTAGAATCCGGTGAACACGCGATGGAGAACCTATGCCGTCTCATGACGGTGTTTGGCGATACTTCCCTAACTACGTTGCCAAACACTTGATTTGTCCAGACATTGTGAATGATGCTTGCTTTCCCGGTTATTATGCTCAAGATCGGGAGATATCATCTTCAGTAATGTATTGATCTTAATTAATGGAACTTTATTAAGAATCCTCAAAACGGATTTGCCAACACATTGGCGAAACGACGCTTGAATTCTGGGTCCATCTCCAAGAGGATATTCATGATCCATACATGATACCTATTCATTCCAAATAGCAGAGAACAACAATGATACTTTGGTAACGCTGCAGGGACATTATCGTCAGAAGAAGCTCAGAATATTAAGCAAGCAGCAGTTATACTGTTTGGAAGATTAATTGAAATATTGAGAGTAAAGCTGCAACTGCTACCGGAAGATATGGGTAAGTTGGAGTATAGAAAGATGTTGTTTATAGATAAATTTTTTCTTTGCTAATATAATAGCATAACTGTCTTTTATTACAGAGCCAAGGTCTAGATCCTATCGCCGAGTCCGTTAACGATATCGGGGGAGAGACCAATATAACTAAGAAGCATGGAAAGGATCCCATATGGGCATAAATGACCAAGTTGATAGTAAGCGGTTTCCATTGCTATATGCTGTTAAACGTTCCCGATGAACATATTTATTAATCGCAATACACGGGATAATCACATCCGCATAATATTTTACGCTTGACATGAATAAGATATTTAAAAGGGTATTTATTACCGTATTGGTCGTATGGAAAATAAATGGGGAGTAGCTATGGTAATTATGGGGTCGTTTACTGTTGTGGTTATCACACTGGAGCGATTGATGACATGTATGTGTGGCAAGCATTTTAAAAGTGAACTGTAATTAGCGCATATTGACACGTTGTTTTATTAAACACACATATATTGGACTCTTCATATCCAATGAGATTCAATGAACTTTTCCATTTTATACAGATGTTCTCTTGATTCCTAACACACGGCCCTTCTCAATCCTAACTTACGAAGTTCTCATTAATACAGTAATTGTATTTCCTACGCTGCTTAGAGGCTGGTACATCATATGTCAGCCGACGAAATTCTTTCACCTAACCAACTTTCCCCATCTCCATTCTCAATTTTGTATTCGATAAAGCATTCTTTCCAAAAACTATACTTTCCCACTCCCTCTAATCATCCTTCCCATACCCGATGCATTATCATACCAGCCAAACTGGTACGCGCCATCAAACTGTATATTTTTGACGAAACTTCTTTTTCCAGTACGTTCATCTTCCCGTTCGAATTACTGGAACTGTTCTAGTACTTAATTGCACCATCCGTCATGCACCCGCATTATCATACTGGCCGAGCTATTATTATGCGCCAGCAAATTGTCTACATTCCCTTTATCGATACAACCCAACACCCATCTCAACACCAGGTTACATAATGCCGCCACCAAGACCTGATAGTAGGATAGAGGCTCTGTTATCGTCACATGTTAATTTACCCATAAGACTATAAGCAAGAGACTACGCTTATATTGAAACTTGAGCATGGCATTAAGCTATTAAGGTTAGTGTCACGACATTTTAAAGATCTACGCGTATTGCGTTCAGTACTAGTACTGATATTAGGCAGTAAAAGCGGTTTATTATTATTCATAAGGGGTCATAGAAACATATGTTCTTTCAATCAAATGGATAAATATAAAGCACAAATAATTAACGCGGACATCACAATACTGCAATAATATTCATAAAATCATATACATTTATTAAAATCCCACTACTCATATGCCGTACACCTTTAATATAATACATTGTCGTCAGCGACATTAGACTAATAGTCGATAGTAAGTAAATTCAGCAAGCATCCCATTTTATTTTGACTTACTTGAGCTTAATAATATTCATCTATTCTCATGCGCGTAATGCATAATCCTCTCCACGAATTGACTATATCAAATGTTGGAAATAAACAAGTAAGTGTACATATACATACACATACACATATATAATTAAATGTATCATTGTAGCATACCAAATGCAATTCGTGAAGAGGCATAAAAGGCAGCACAAAAGCGGGTCAATGGGGTCGGGATTACGAAATAACGAGGTCCATCGAATGGCCGTCATATGTCGAAGAACGAAGAGGGCGATTTTAAAAGAGTGTATAAGTTTATTTTCGACCAAGACGATGGACGATTTTTGACGATGCAAATAGATGTCTGCTTTATAAGAAATCCAAATGACAGATTTGGGGGCTATGCACAGAATTTTTAACGTACACAGATTACGTAGCTTGCATTATATCGGAAATTAGACACAATAAAATTTTTGATGTCAAGCGAATAATAACAATGATGCATAAATAAGCCTTTGTTCTTTGATTGTTATGTTCCCAGCAGTCATTATTATGCTGCCTGCACTTTTGTTCTTTGGAGATGGGTTGGATGGCGTACTCATTCGTGCTAGCAATGTATAGGCATCCGGCCAAAAGTTTTGGTAACACGAAACAAGCTTCTTCTGCTCGAATAGCATTTTTTTTCTCAGAGACGAGTGCGTATCAACTAACTCAAATAGGATGAACAAAGCCTTTTGAAACACGAATCATGTTATCTCTTGCACAGAGGAGTTTTACTTTCTCACGAGCATCTGCGTTATAATAAAGTTCTCTGCGGACAGATTATAAAGCAAGATGACGTTTTTTTTTTCGTCTATTCGTTACGTTTTCACAAGCAATTACGTTATCAAGTTCCAACAAAAGTCATAATCACGCTTACTCTGCAGAAGTGTAGAACAACGTTGTTTGTTTGGCGTTTTCTATTTGTTCGTTTGTCATTATTTTTGGGGTGTGAATAGATAATGTGCTTTACGATAACGATTTGTTTACTCAGCTGATTGTAAGGGCAAACCTTGTACAATGGCGTTTTTCTTTGATCTGCCGCTTTCACAGGTAGGTACGCTATCGATGGTCTAAAATAGGACAATAAAGCCTTTTACGATAGCCGAGCTCTTACTTACTCGGCAGATTATAAGAAAAGCAAAGCCGTCTCAATGGCGCTATTCCCATCACGTCACGTATTAAGGTATTTTCTGCAACACAAAAACCTGCTACGTGGTTGCACATCAGGACAGATGGATTAATTAGGAAAGTTGGAAAGTCCGGTCCGCATGTACGTAGTATCTCAAAGAACAATGACAAACAATGCGATAAAGCCTTTGTGCATGTGCTGTGTGGTACATCATAAATATAATATTAATACAGTATACTAATACTACACCTATAATTAAATGAACCATTCACGTGAGTGCTTGACTTTTGGGATTTCGAGTGTAAAAATATGTGTGTACTAGTAAATGGTTGAGTGGTAACTAAATTGTAGTAGAGACAATAAAGGTATTTCTTCAAGAGAAACGCGAGTCCTTGCTCACAATTTGATATTAAACTATCTTGCCGATTATTAGTTTGATTACTGTCTACTACTACTGCGGTCAGATGCCGGGTATGTAACACAAACAGGGTAAAATGCATGTTCTTGATACCGTGACGAATATTCCTTCCTCAACAGCCTCATCCTCAACATCTCCAGCAACTTTCCGTCGTTAAACTCTTGCAACTCCTTCTCCGCCTTCTGCTTCTCCGCCTTTGCTTGTTGAATGTCGTCGACAGTCGCCATTGCTTTTTTTCGCTAGTTAGTTAGAGAGAGAAAGATGTGCTGCGCGCGATGGGATCTAATACCATAATATACTAACACTAACCAGATAAACTAACAATCAATAACGCTTGCAAAGAATGTTTACATTCACGAACGAATTCTTCCTTGGAGCATTAATTGGCTTCGTTCTTGGTATTACCGCCAACTCTATCGTGCTGGCGTATTACTTAAGACTGGAAAGTCTAATAATTTGCAACTGATAACAAAACCGTCAGCAAACAAAATTTGCTCGCCAGTCCTTGAAACATTGTGGAACGATCTAAGACAATTGTACGATAAAAGAACCGAATTGGATCCAAAATTTTCATTTAACAAAATGGCATTCGAAATTTATAAATTACTTGAAGAAAAAGCTGTTGCAGCTTCCACAATACGAAATTTTTATCTTCGAAGAACAACCCCGCGGAATAAGACCATTGAGGCAATCCAACGTTGGATCGACGAAGAAAGGGAAATGTAAACCACTCAGATGGGAAAATAAAACTGAAACATTACGATTACTAATACAATTCACTCTTCCAAATGCTCCTGATGATATTATGGATGAGTCTATTAATCCATTAATTGGTGAATCACCATTTATTAATAATTTTCTAATGAACTTTGAGATAGCATTTAATGCTATGTCTGATAACGTATTTAACTTGGAACATTTGCATTCAAAAATCAGTGATGATATACCATTGGGTTACAGTAATATTCCAGATCCACAAATTGTGATATTGGAACCTGGTAAAGCCTCAAACAATGATGAGCATGTTCATGCTTGCATGTAAAATGTATCGGAGCGAGTTACAAATCAGTAATGATAAAAAATTATATATTGCTTGTTATCTTTTAATATTGGAATAATATTACATTAGTAGGTACATGTTTCTTTATGTACTATTGCGATTTACTTCATGCAGTTCTATAGTTAAAATACTGAAACAGGCATTTTTATAAACGACTTATGACTAATATACTATTTAACATGACATGTCGTTTATCAGCCGACCTGTGTATATCATATTTACTGTTGTCGCTTGATCATTAACTCACAAGAATGTATACGTAACTTGTAAATTATTATGTAAAGCTCTTATATCGTATAAGGTGTAAGAAATATGGTTATATCATTATTTCGCATCGATGTTCTTTACACTATTCCCTCCGCATACTATGACAATCTAATTCATACGATAACTTGATGTTTTTATCATCATTAGTATAGAGGCAAATGTCTTTCAACCATCGAAATGTATTATGTCTGAATTTAGTATTTGAAACTAATGTCAAGTGTCGAAACATTCGTGGAGAATTCTATCGCATTATTAAATAACGGGGTCAAATGTCATGAAGTTTTAGTCTTGTCAAATTACAATATTGTATTGCACGCTAGATCAAAAGTCTATATTTACAGTCTAACCGTGATGCTAAAAATTACACCAATTATTTCGATGCAAATTATCGTACGGTTAGATCAAATAGATTATATTTACAGTCTAACCGTAATGCTAAAAATTACACCAATAACAAGAGAAATGCTTTACAGTCGAGAACTTAGCTTTAGATCTTTATTGGTCGATGATTCTGATTAGTTAATTCCTATGTAACAAACTTTGTTATACAAATAAATTCGCCCAGTGAATGGCTTTATTTATGCATGGGTTTTGAAATCTTCGTTCAACGTTATATAGCACTTTATACGTGTATATAAATATTCGTTTATCTGAAACTATTCCAGAAAAACACTTTGTTAAAGTAAATTTCACTGTGTACGTAAAAAAAACTTATTCAATTTATTCTATCTATATACAGCGAGAATTACCATCTAATTATTGTTCAGCTAGACAATCGTATCACTGATGTTTCTTGAATACATAGATCACGCTGGTATCATATTGCTTGCTATTGATATCATTACTATCATAAAGATCAGTTTAATTGCGCGGCTTATCGGACTTTTTATCCAGTAAAAAAAAGTTTACTGCGTGTTATTACACTGACACTACTGTTCTTATTACGGAAACAATCGTGACAATCGCGATATGATGTAATGATGTGTTACACTAGGCAATATATCGATACCCGTGTATGCTACTATTGGTTAACAGTCGCAAACTCTCACACTCCTTATGCGTAGATAGCGATATTATACGCGTGACTTGTCGGACTTGTTAATGTTAACCAGTGAAAAATATTTTTCCGCGTGTTCTTACGGAACAATTATGACAGTTGCGATATGATGTGTTACCCTAGGCAATATATCGATACCCGTGTATGCTTTACTATTGGTTGACAGTCAGAGATTCTCACACTCCTTACTGCATAAACAAGGCATTTATACTTATAAGGTTGCGTACGACAGCAATTGCGTCAACTGTCTGCTAATGGTAATACTAATAGAACGAACTTTGCAAGTTGTTTCTGTTGGTATTTTCTTGGTCTTAATTACTGATCTATTCTAACATATAGTACAACTACGATTGATACTGTTAATTTAACTAATATTAATATTTCTGCTGATTAAAACATTATGAACATGACATCGAATCTAACTGCTTTTCCAAAACCGGGAACCACAGAAAAGAAACTTTATACTATTACCAAAGGCATGAAATCCGGGCTTGCTGTAGCAAATTTTGGTTGGTGTGTTATGTGTGTTATGAAAAAATAAAAAAAAAAGCCCTTCAAACGCGTGTACGTTATGCAATATAAATTGGCTATTTCACGAATTTTTTTATAAACACTTGTGGTTGTTAAACTGTCAAAAAATCTTCAGTCTTTTTTTTTTTTTTTTTTTTTACTCAATCCTAGTTACACAGCGCGAGATCATTAGTGGCGTCCCAATCCAGCCTAAAATTTTATGAAAAAGTATGCCCAAATATTGTGAGAAGTTGTTGCGGTTTATGGTCGAAGAATGGAATAAAATTTCTTCTCATAAGCTAATAAACATTGTACGAAAGAGTATGAGACTAGCTAAATGCAAGGGCATCAATCATGGAGCACGTAATAAAAGTGGTAATGAGAAGGACCCTTTTGATCCGCCTACCACGTTCACACACAAAAGGTTCTTATGGAACAATGATTCCAGCAACAAACATAATGCAAATATATTAATTTTGCTGATTTACAATATTATTATCTACACTGTGCTTATGTTATTAATTGCTAACAAGTCAAATCACGGTTGAAGCCTCCACTTTTTGAAAAATTTTGCTACTTTACCGACACATTTACCAAAAGATTCACTCTCAACAATCCCACCTGGGTAGCTTTTTTTTTATGCGGTTTTCTGTAAAAGCCTATCCGAAAGTATAGTTCTGTGCGACCTATCAACTGCAATGCTTAGTGTCACTGTATATCGAATAAATTCAACACCTTCAATGTTTTCTCAAAGTTCTTGCCTATCGACCGATTGACAGCTCTCATACACAAATTTTCATAATATCCCATTCCTGCTCCATTAGATTTCTGGTCCATGTATTTCATTTTCTCCACAAGACAGCAGATTTTATATTGGCAAACGGAAGCCCATCCATTACGATAGCTCCGATTTGAAGTAAGGTTGTTATTGATATTGATAAGGAAAGACGTTTAAATAACGATACCGGAAACTTTCCGCCAAATCATTTACTACATACGAATTCAAGTAACGAGGCGGAATAAATGACTATCTCTCGGAATAGTTTTGCTTTCCCATATTCGAACCATTGCACTCATTATTCTTCATATAAATTTAAGCCCACATACTAATACAATTTTTTGACTGCGTCAAATTAAATGAATTTATTTCTCAAATCGCAAGTAATACTGTTATACGACGAATTTAATAATAACATTTAAATAGCGATTTACGATTAATATTATTAGCACGTCAGATGATCACTTAAATGTATTACACAAACATGTAAATATCTGACGTAAAATTTAGTGACGTTGAATCAATATTTTAGCAATGACTCTTTCAGCTGGGTAAGTGTTTTTATGACTGCTTTGTAGACCTTTTTGTCTTGTTTTGAGCAACCCCTTCGTTTGCTTGCAGCCTCCTAGAAATTTCTCAGGTTAAAATCAAGTTGAATAAACTAATAAACATCACTCCAGGACAATTTACTTACACAGTAACGAATGATCCTAGCTTTATTTTCGCGAATTATTCTTCTATTTTCCGCGCTTTCGTTTATTTGACGCTAAAAAAATTTTCTATTCAGTTGGTCAATCACAAATAGATTTGCATAAAGCATAGAGTACTTACTCGGCGCTTGTCCTTATCCAAGACGTCATTGTAAGTCTTTTCGCGAATTTTCTGTGAAATCAAGAAAATCGATGAATTAATATTAATTGCATTAAACGGTATGAGGTCTCAAATGATAACCAACTCTCAGATGAGTACATATGTTCATGTTAATCATACTATTACTATTGATGATGGACTCTAGAGAGCTCCATATCCGATGTTTGCACGAGGTACTCAAGGCATTGCTCGTAACAAAGCTAGCATCATGTGCCCGGCGTTAGAACGCATCTAGAATCCTGCATGGGCCCATGCTTAACCAACTATTCCCGCATTATAGCTGGCATTATCACTAAAACAAAGATTATTACAATCAACATCAATAATTACCTGTGTCATCTTCTCGAATTGTTCCTTTGCATCTTCTAGATTTTTTTTATCTTTTTTCGCCTTACATTGCTTAATGCCTTCGTTTCGTACCTCTTGATCGCTGCGTTTAGCGACAGGCTTGAGTGGGATTCCGCTGTCCCAAAATATATTGCACGAAGCCATGTTTTAAAGTATAGAGATGCGTGTTTTTGCGAGCGTCGTTGGAAGAAATAGTTTTCAGACATTTTGGTGAAAATAAGGATAATACTTTTCAAGTATGATATGTTGGTTACTTTACTGATGATGGAAAGCGTGAGCCTTGATCTATTTATAAGAAATAAAATCCGTCGTGCCATAGTCGTTCATATTAGAATATCACTACTCGACTCGGTGAAATACATTAAGACCTAGGATACAGAATGTCGTTATTGGGCTAACGAGTGCTCGTTCCTTCCTTCTCTCGTCGATTTTAGTTTGCAATTCAACAATATCTGATTCCAAGGTTTTTATCTGCGTGACCTTTTCTCTTGGAATTTTGCGTTCTTTATTTGTTTACACCTACGATTGAACGCTAAAGGTGTACTGACCTTTTCTCTTGGTCTTGGTTGTCCCGATTCACGTCGCTTGGATTTACGTCTGTAGGAGGACATTGGCAGAACGTAACGCGACAAGCCAACTATTACTATGCACATAAAATAATAGGTTACTATACAATGCATCTGATTACGTGTTATATGAATTAGGTTAATTCAAATTCGAGAGTTAACGTCGCGACGATTTATTTCAGGGAGGGTATTAGTATCAACAATTACAATAGTAATGGAGGAAGTTATTGTGACAGATTAAACCGAAATTTTCTCTATTTTAATATGAAAATTTTGGGGAATTTTCTCGGCTTTATTATTATGTGGGCAGAGGCATAAAAGAGGATCCAATCGGACCCCAAATTTCGTTTTAATCCGATTTCGTTTTAATCTGCCACAGTCATTAAAATTACGATATATTTATTGATAACAAGGAATCATGTAAACATTTTAGACAAAAATCAATGCTTTCGAACTCTTGCAAACCATAAACCAACGTATCAACATTGCCAATTGCAAGCAATGTCAAGATCTCACGCCGTACACCTTTAGCTTTCTAGACAATAAAAGAACGCAAAACTTCAAGATCTCACGCCTGGTCATTCTCGGTCTTCTCTCCTCGGCAACTGTGTCTTTAATAAGCAATCGGCAATAAATGTCCTAAATGTCTTCCCGCTGCCAATTCGAGTTGATATTTTCTGGGGGTAAGTTGGGCGGCTATTTCATCCACAGCGGCTACCTCATCGAAATGAATGTCTTCTCGCTGCCAATGCGGCAATGATGTCGGATCTTTCGAGTTGATATTTTCTGGGGGTAAGTTGGGCGGCTATTTCATCCGCAGCGGCTACCTCATCGAATTCGTGCGAGTCATTAGTGTCCTTGTGAATATATTGACTCGCATGACAGGTTTAATGAAACCAAACTTTCCCGACGTAAAGACTCGCCCCGTTTGATACAAATAATATTATTAACGCAACGGCCAATTAACGGAAGAATTTGGATCAAGAATTTACGCGAGTACCATGACGCGTATTTAAGAACAGGCGTGCTTGTTCTTCCATGAAACTTGATCCACATAGTTATCGGTGTAAAGAAGATGCATTGAAGTTCTACGGCCTGCGCATTTGTTGCTACCACTTTTAGATTGTATTTGGAATAGTTATAAATAAATAATAATTAATAATTCTTGTGTTAAACAACCGATAGCAATATTTTTCGCCTTATAAGAAAATATAACATGCCTGGACCATAGCCGTCATGGCCTATCATGAATAGCTCGTTCCAACATCCATCTGCACTATAAAATGTGAAGAGATACTTCAGATGTTTCCGACGTTATCGCAGAAGTGCAAGGACGTCTTCTCATTATAGTAGACAGTTCATTCTGCGATAAATGCGAGTATCCCACACGGTCAGCCAAATAACCGATCTTCTAACTTTGACCTCGTAACCAATACGTTGTTCTCTGCAATATTAAAACAGCAATAAATTAATGTGATGAGTAATAAAGTTAATTGATACACTAAATGCGATTGTAATGCTCTAATATATAACTTCATTGAAACTCCGAGTTTTCTGAACTCGTCGTTCACTTCATCCCATGGCCACTCGGATAAACCAACGGATTTCCATTTGCAAGATGGTCACGTCTTCCCTCGCTTCACTTACAGGTTTCTTGCGGTGGGGGTGGGTGGGGCAGCTAGCTCTAGCCGGATAGCCATTGAAAAGCGTCCCGATCATCCATGCAAACTAAGCAATGAATATTTAACTAGTTGGATATAAATTCGCCATATGTCGTTTGCCATAATTTAGGATTGCGAAGATATGTAGATAATGCATCCAAGCCCATGGGATTTGAAATTACTAAAATAGATCAAACAATTAAAAGTCAGTTTGAATAATATGAAGATGGAAACCACGAATTACATATTTAGATTGAATAACACCTAAACGAACCACCTTGTAATAATAGGCAATGCTCATCTTTACTTACACGGTTAATGCCATCATTGTCACTCCGACATAGCGATGCGCTCTCTTTAGAAATCTTGGATAACCCTTATCCACAGACTCGAATCATCTCTGCCCCCAAAGTGTAGAACGTAAAATATATAGTATAAATCCCAATGCTATGGAAAATGAAATATGCGTTAAATCAATTGTATCGAAGAGTAAGACGCATATCAAGCGATTAATAATAAACATACAGATTATGTCTTCCTTTTAATGGCTATAATAGATGCAATGGCAGCAGTTCCGAATATAGTGGCCAAGAATCCGCCAAATTCCTATGCAGCTGAAGATAGCCAAAAGTATGTTTACAGACAATAAATATGGGGGAAATAAAGCTGTCATAGGACGAAGATAAGCGACAATTAATATTGTTGACAACTAATCCAATAGACTGCAAATTGCCCGTAAAATACACCTGCTTGCTTTACGAGATTCCTGTTGTTTGATTGCAGAAGTGGTGGACGGTTGGGCTGTATCAAAAGGGTAGCAACTGAAGAATATCTTGAGGTCACACTTGGTAGTTATAATGAACATCTTGTACCGTGACTCTGAGATACGGTCAGACAACCAATTCGCTGTTGCGCTGATAGGAGTTTATAAATATACTTTAATGAAATGTTCATATAAACACTGATTCATAAGCGATACATACAATATGTAAAATACAGTATGATAGAGAAATGGCAGACGGTGTCCCACTGTCGTCATGTCCAAGATCACAAGCTTCTCCGTATGGCTACGCAGACTCAAGGCCGAGTGGCGTATTCGTTTCTGACAGAGCAAGAGGATATCGAAATCCGTTTGGCAATTATTTCGACGACGTTGAATAGAGCACGAGATTTGGTGAGTGATTTTTGGAATGTGTCATAAAACACGCTTATTCTGAACATGTTTGGATTTTAGGTACCCCATTGTATAATAATGGCATGCGAGTGGCGCATTCGTTTCTGACAACATGAGATTTGGTGAGTGATTGATAAGTCATAAAATACGCTTATTTTGAACATGCTTGAATTGCACGTCCATTGTATATATAATGACATAAGGGCAGGCGTTTGAATTGCCTAAGCAGACTGATGATCTGGGATTACTTCTAACGATGCTGTCAAAGCATACTCACGGGCGTTGGTTGAAAGAAATGTTAGCATACCATGTTACTTATAACGTACATTGTTACCAATGTATAGTATTGCGCGATGCCGATCGTTTCTGGTACAAAGATACGAACATGTTCTTAATACAACATTCCGTGTTTTGATTACGCGACATGCAGCAAGTCGACGGTGAAGACTTTTCTCCACAAGACAGCCTACCATGAAACATACAACTGGTCTGATAAGGCCCAATACTCGAACTCGAGCAATCGTGTTAATCCATGAAGATATAGATTCATGGTTTGACCGTAGTACGCTTAATGTATTGCTTGGTACGGTAAGTAGTGAGATTAATAGTGGAGATGGAAAAGGTTATACTAAGTAAATTTTGTAATGACGCGTATATGATTAACACTTCAAATTTCATAATTACAGCTGTAAGCATGTTCTGTGACGCGAATTATATATCGTTGGTTGACAGCCATTAGGACGTGAAATTTATCAGGGCTACTCATCGGCATGTTGAGTTTGTGGCAATTAAAAGGGGCGTTATGCCATGTAAGATTGAAGTATATTTATAACGGACTCGCGTGATCATAATTAAGAAGAAATACTTTATTTCTTATTGAGATCACTTGTTTCAGTCATTGTACATTTGGCTCAAATACGGATGCTATCAATTATTACATGAACAACTGCCGTTCAGTATGCAACGGCAGGTAAGATTAGCTCACGAAATCGGAATAATTGTTTGACATTCGACACGCGGTTAGTAGAACATCTACATCAAAAACTAATTGCCTCTTGGAAATATTCCATGCTGCTCCATGTTCCGAGTACAACTGATCATACGATTACGCTCCCAATCCAAACATAGAAAATATTCTGCGACGTTGTAAGTTCTTGAATCTTTATTGAACGCCTGAAATTCGGCCATTACTCGTCTTCAACTTTCCCGTGTCCATTTCTATAGTCACGTAATTGATCTGGACTTTCACCGTATAGATAAAGGACCAAATAACATTTCCAATCGAACTTTAAACAACACAAGCGCAGTAACGTCAAGAAAACCTGATCAGTTTAATGAAACGATTTAAAGATATATAAGCAGGTAGTTTCTCTATCAGCCTATATTTAGCATCTCTAATATTTTAATTCCTGCAATTAGAATAGTTATTTATATTCTAATAATAAAAATCCGTGTTAAATATAAATTTATTTCGTTCATTCCCTGGTGAGATTTTCTATCGCTGATAAAAGTGCAAAATGCCTTTCTGTATTAGCGGTATAATTTAAACGCGTTTAGTATAGTGAGAATTCCCCGACCTATGGTTTCGAATTAATTCCATCAAAAGAAATAATAATCTACTAACTGTACTATACACAACATTTAAAAAAAAAAAGAATATCAAAATTTTTTGCAAACCACCTGGAAAGGTAGTATTTTTGACTAAAATTAAAATGAGTGGCTTTATGGTTATAAGAAAGTTGTTAAAAACTATGACAGCAACTCAATTGTCACTTGTTCCTATCAGTGAGTAATGGTAGTCTCCCACTGTGTGGATGGAATGTTTTACTACCAATCTTTCTATTGTGTCATGTGTTGTGCTTTTGGGATAGATAGCCATTGTTGGCTTCAATTTCCGTTCAGAGTGTTCAAACAGCACTCCAATAATAATTCTGCGCTTAAATTCAATAATCACTAATAAATGGTTTGATTTTCGCAAAGTGAGTTCAAATTTCTCTTGCTGTGGATGTGACTGCATTCCAACTAACGATCCGCAAGATGCATATGTGCTCTCTTGAAATTTATAATAAATTTTTATGTAATAATACCTTACCATTTCAAATTGTTTTAAACCACAAGAAAATTGCTACAAAACTTAATTGAGATCTTGTTGATGCGCAAACGGTTAAACAGTTAAAAAATTTACTGTAGCACTTAATTGTAGAAATAACAGGCCCATGATTATGTTTAGGAGATCGTTCATGTCTTTTTTTTTTCCCGAAAGATGACTGTTTCAACTATTTCTGTTGGTTACCCCAATGCTTTGACGTTTTGCGACTGATAGAACTTGTGGTAAACTACCCAAAGTTTGGAAAGTAGAAAGTAATTGGTAAATATAATGATGGATGCCAAGGCATCACGGACACTAATTCGAACTAACCTCAATGTCCGTCAATCCTCAATACCACAGTCCAAAGGCTCGTCTTCTATAACCCCATTAACATTATGTTCGGTCGCTTCTCTTTCTCCTTTAACCTCCTCCTTGTCTCTGCTTGCATTTTCATAATTTCATTTCTTTACCCTTTTCCTCCTTCTGCATGCCATTATCCCCATACAATTCATCGTCCATGTCACCGATCAAATCATGCGACTCTGTGACGCTACTTGAAAAGACAAGAGGTTTTCCTGAGCTAAAGTTGTTTCCACGAGAAGCCCGAGATTATTGGTGTTGATTATGAGAATCAATCAATCGGTATGTTAAACAAAGTAGAAGATGTTTTGTCAGTGCTTAATAATACCCGCTATTATAACAAATTAAAATTGCTCTTCACTCACGTCCGGTATTACTTGTCAATTTGCAGAACGCAACCTTGTTGAAGCATCATCTGCATTTAATAGCTTAATCGGTTCCATATATATGTGCGCTGATTATGACTGGCATACTGAATGGCGGAGCCTGTCTCTTTTTTGTATCGTTTGACAGTATTATGATAGACCTCTGCCTCGTCTAAAGCCATCTCTAAATCTCGTTCGAGAAACTAATAATTGGCCAAAACCATAGATTTTTGGGATTAATCTTATGGGTCGCTAAATCATGCACAGGGAGTCTCTGTATCGTTAGCGATAATTCTTTATTTACAAATCATCCATCCGTTTCTGACTATATAGTCGAATACTACTGTAGTCAATCTAAGTTAATAATAGTGTGTAGATACCTTTCGAATAGATATGTTGGCAATGACTTACGCGTTATCATCCCTTCCACATCTGGATATTCATAGCATTTGCTGAGAATGTAAATAGACGATAGCTATTCAAGATCTGAAATGCAGTATGAGATATGGCAGGGCATTGAATTGAGAACGCTTCTTGCATAATCTATTGTATCATTAAATGCCATTTGTCACATCACAATTGTATCTCCTATCTCCTATAATTCAAAATGTCATTTACGGGATATCTTCCATTAATATCATTACGTGTTCTGTAATAGACAAGTAAATGATTCCTACTCCTAAGACCATATCAAAATTGACGACTGGTTTAATCCAGTAGAAAGAAGCCTGAGGATATGGCTTTCTGACCAAGTCTCAAACTACGTCAAACCTCCAGAATATCAAGAGCACGACGTAAGACTGATATCAAATTTGAATACACATTTGCAAACTTCATAGAATAAAAGTTAACGAGTATACGTAAAGAAGACTCCCGAAAAAATGAAGGTATCAATAAGAATTACATAATTCGAAAGCGTGTGTTCGGTACCTTGAATTTGGAGCAATTTCTTATATCATCATGCATACAATGATTATTACATTGCCTGTCAAGATAACTTGTAAATTAATTCACTTTTTTGTCAAGGGTATTGCCTGTGTGAGGACGTGATCTTTCATTCCATTCGTGCCGGTTCGTGGCATCAAAGAGTGGGTATTATTCGAGCACATATTGGAATACACCTTTCCTACAATTAATCATTCTTGTCGTCGCAGTCAGACCATCATCTTTAGACCTTCCAACCTTAATAAATTTCGGGGGCTTGAAACAGAGAACTAACCATCGAAGTCTTATTCAAGTAAGTAGAAAGGAATATATTAGTTCGTACTTGCAGCATCAAGCTTGCTCTTGATTTTGTCTCTGCAGAGAATTCGATATCGCGTCTCTTCATCCCGACTTTTACTCCTGTTAAACTTTGGGAATAATATAATTCTCGTTTCTATTACTCGCTGCACGGTTTCATGTCGCGTAGTTTTGATAAATGTATCACAATCTCCCGGTTCCATTGACATCATCACAATCCGCTTAGACCTTGGAGTTGTATACTGAAAGTAAGTAATGTGGTAAACCAATAGCAACAATAATCAAAATAATGATTTTCGTGCATATACCTATAAGTTATGGAAGCTACACAGTGTTTCACGAAGGGTGATTTTCAAAGAAATGGTAGGTAGGCATTTCTTAAGAGGATTCGATTCTTACTATGCTCGTTCAATCATTTGACGGGACAACACTGCACAAAAAATGTGCTGGGGACATAGTCCGATCTTTCTGGAGACTCGTCATTGCGAATTTTCCGTTGCCGATGTGGTACATGAAATTGTTACCATTACTCTAAAGTACAAAGATTCTTATTTTTTTCTGACAAATAAAATTCTTGTCCGACTTGTAAAAAAAACTTTAACAAACCTGTTCTACGAACTGCAAAGACTTGGGTTTGAGTAACTGATAACATACTTTCTTGTGAAAAAAACTGACAAATGAATGGAATGACAAAACGCCACAGAAACTAAAATGGTCAGTAGAGCGGACGGGATTCCTGTTAGAGACGGCTTTATTAACCTATTTTAAGATGACTAATAACACATTACTCCTGAAAGTGATGCCATTGAACAAAAAGGTACTATGAATTTTATTTTAGACGGCTAATAAATAAGATCAGTTTTTAATGAATAAGGACAAATGGCAAGAATAGAACAAAGCTTATTTAAACAAACTTTCGTGTTTCTGAGAAAGTGCCGAATAAATGAATAAAAGTACTATACTCAAACAAGATCGTTGTTTCAAAGAACCTTTGTTTAATTCTATTTTTAAATAACTCACTTGCTAATAAGGGATAATTGAAAATGCTAATGTTCTACGGCAATAAATAGAACGGGACTATGTAAATTTGAAGATGTGACTCCTTTTAGACAGGCCATTGAATATTAATATCTGCAGTGAAACTATATTCTTGTCCCAAAACCCATTGATGGGAATTTGGACAGGTCGGGCCAAAAAATTTCTGCATTAGTATTGTGTAATAAAATGAGTGTCACGTAAAGTTATGTATTTTGTCTAGACTATTAAATCTAACAGTTTCATGTATAATATCATGAAAATTACATAAGCCGATTCTTGCACGCAGAAAGTTTTTTATAAAAGCAGCGACATTTTTGCATCGTGGAGAAATTAACTGTCCTACTTCGGTAGGAACAGCAAAGCTCCATCTCTACCGTCATTTATCGTCAAAGCAGCACAATGATGTTCGTGTAATAGAACTAAATGCTCGCAATCGAATACCACGTTTCGCTTATCATTTTCGATTTTCTACGTCCGAGGATCCTCGCTCGAACCCACTCTTCGTCTCTACGTATACGTGAATCTTGACTCTTTCTACCAAATACGTTATATCGGTATGTTATAAACCAGTGTAAATAAATTATATATGTTTTCTGTATGCTTACCATCTGTCTTTCTACGCATACATAGTTTTCTCGCAGGCTCCCTATCGGTGATATCATACGACGCCACCATGAAATCTTCCAAACGGATAGCCGCCATTATTCGTTTATTTTCTCTGAGAGAAAATTTTTATTTTTATTTTATTTTTTATCTTCATTTTGTTTTTGTTTCTATTTTATTTTTTATTTTTTATCTTCATTTTGTTTTTATTTTTTAGTTTTCATTCATTCATTCATTGAGTTCACCATTGTCCAGTTGATTATTAGGGAATAAATAAACAGCAAAACGACCATCACCACCTATTACTATGTTGTCAATTGATACGTGAAATGTATGATTAATTTACGTCTTATATGAGAGGCTATACAAATATTACTATAGTGGTTTAATAACTCGGCCATTAATAACTTAGCAGACCCGTGACGGCAGTCCAAATGACTGGCAACATGCGTAGATTATTAAAAAATTTAATACTTTATTCTCATTTAAATCATGGTTAGCGTATTACTATTATTACATACTTTGGTTGCATGGTTTATCAGCCGGCAAAGCCAAAAGTATTATGAGTTTTCGATTATTACAGCTTTACAGTTGGACGTTTCAAGACTCTGACTTTTGGACTAGTTAACGGTTTAAATCACACAATTTAGGTTATTCCGCACATGATCTATATTTTGCATGCACAAAGTTAATATTAAGTTTATGGGCTCGGACGGTAGATGTTGTTACAATCTAAGAAGTAAATGGAATAATATGTGTCACCTTATTGTTTGGTCAACCAATCAATAACAATATTTATTTTGGGGCGGAAGCGCAATAAAACTAACTACAAAGAGCAATAAACCGATTTTAACTATTTTTCGTCTAGCACCTTTATAAAAAGGTATTTATGCAGCGTAAAGAAGTGTTAATAAGGAAGCCCTTTGTTGTTGGAAGTTATTAATTCACTCCCTTAATTTAGATTGTTACGTAATTAGTTAAAATAATCATGTGTGTAAGACTATTTTGGTTCACCCCATTAAGAAACCTTATCTTTGTAATTTTGTCTTTATTCTAAGAAAACTTTTACTTGGATAAGGTTTAGATAATTCACACAATCCAAAATTAGCACTATAAAAATCAATATTAATTAATTAATTTTATAATTGACTTATGTCGCATATCTTGCTTGATATTAATTCACACATTCAAGGAGAAGCTATTGTTTAACATGCATATTAAATACCGTTTATCAAACAATGGTAATTTTATTATAGGGCGTGTTAACTGTGTACATCTGTAATAATTGCCCCTTTAATAATAATAGGTTGTTACTAGCAATTTAAAGTTTTACTTCCAAAATTTGTTCAGATAACAAAGAAACACGCTGTTAAATATGTAGTTATATGTATATTTAGTTACAAGTAAATAGAAATTGAAGGCAAGGCTTTTCATAGACGCCTTCTGACTTTTTGGGCGGTAGCACATCTTTTTATTTGTTCCAATCATGCAAATTGCATATTGATCCGTGTCAATTATGGCCCATATACAAACTATTATACTTGTTAGGTTATTCTAATTCTATACAGCGAGATGTTCGGATATCTGTAACAATTTGTAAGCAACTTTTATTATCAGACCTTGGTTTTGTATATCTGATAAATAACACAGTAATTTTATTTGATATTGCAAACAAACCAAAAGTATTGATAAGTGCGCAATATTCCATTGAAGAATGGATCCGTCCATTGTACGCTTGTGACCTGCTGTCGGCTCAGCAAAGAGTTAATATTAACACGTCCCCCTGAAATTCTGTCGATCATACATCAGCCGACATCTTCTATTTGTTACACACATAATGACCCCATAAACGTTAAAGTAGCCAGTAAATTTTATACATGTTATGTATTCAACTATCGTACTCAAAAGTATCGCTTCTAGTGAGAAAAACTCATAAAGGTCAAAAGTCAGAAAACATCAAAAAGAAACAAATTTGTTGCAAAACCTCTGGCATCAGATAATAAATACATTAGCTTATTGGAACTATGCTAGATTCTAGACCCTGGTATTAGGATGCAATCATCAGGCAGTTGTTTCACTAATCAGCCTTCTCACGGAGATGTGTGCTTCTATTTCACACACCAAATAAAAATCAAGCATCAGGGATGCGATGTTTCGAATTTGGTCGGCGCCGACTTTATGTTAGATACGCAATTAAGAAAAGACTATGTTCTATTGCAAAATTGGGCATTAATAGTTGTATCACTGTAAGATAAATGATTTGTTTAACAATTATCTCCTCCAAGAAAAGTACACCACTTTACCATAAATATGGAAATATTATTAAATAAATAGTAACTTACATGCTTGACAACGATTGGCTCTCTAGAGTGAAGAGGGATATGGAAACCTCTTAATAAAATTTTTTAGTCGACGAACAATACGGTATGCTATTTTAACAATTGCTCGCATATGCAGTAGCTTTATATTATGCGTAATCTGGCATAACGCGTCCATTGAAAACTTTTATTGACGGTTGAAAACCAATCGGGTGCGATTGTATAAATTTCTACGATTGCTTAACACTCGCATTTATCTCAACAAGCCTCCCAACTTCAATACTATCAACAGCAGTCTCAAAGGAAAAAACGCTACGAACAAAAGCTATTGCAACATTTCTTTTTCATGTAACATGCAAACAGAATCACAGCCTCATCAATAAAGAACAATAAAATAAAAAGTAACCAATATAATGGAGTCATCATTATCAACAACCTCAGCATTGTTATACGGCAAATTTAATGAATAGTTAATATCAATATTATCAGTTCATCAGTTTTGAGAGTTGGAGGCCGCACTTTCGAGGAGCACGTTTGAAAATTTACTTCATTTTTCTTTTCGTTGCCAATTCCGGCCGAATAATGATTTTTTGGACCAAGGAATTGACGTTTCTAGAAAAATAATTTTTTGTAACCTAAAAATTTTTTTGCTAGGTAAAAATAACCGTTGTTTTTATTCTTTGGCTTTTTTATGTTTAGGAAGAGACACTGTAATTTGTGGAATTCTTGATTATTGTAAATAAATAAATAAATAAATAATAAATATCCACTTTTATTAATTCTGCTTCTAGTATATTTATATTTGTAGATAAATTTGGGCAATACTATATTGAGAGATAAAAGACTGTAATCCATAGAAGCGTATTAGATAAATAAAACAATTAACTTAATTGTGCGGTTGTCAACGCCCAAAAGGATGTACTTGCGAGTTATGTAATTTTAATAAGCAATCGAATCTAAACTAATTTAATTATTGTACGCACACAGTATACGTGTAGCTGCGGCGCGTATGTAGAATTAAAAATTTGGAAGGTTGATTTTTTGTAGTGTTACTTTATATTTAGAATAATTTATCGATTTTTATTTTGAATTTGACGTGTAGACAATAGCAGCCTTATAAGTTAACAAGTGGAGAAAACTTGCTGCAAACGAAAAAAGTGAATATTTGTATCGAATTGTTTGTTATCAAATTGTTGCAGTCTTTTGTTTGGGAATATATTCAAAACTTCGATACACACCGCACGTTTTATGTACAAAAAAATCTGGTATTTAAGGTCTTGTAGACAGCAAGTAATAATCGCATGATATGCATAATATTACTGTAGTTCTCTACAGTATAGTGACAAGGCTGATTACAGGAGACTTAAAGTATATATAAAGACTGACCCAGCGGTATTGTTTGCCATTGGGAACATCAAGAGTGCGTCATAGTACTATACGCATTGACATGAAAAAGAGTGTACATCTCATTGTTCGAAGAAAATGTGAGGCGATGAAGAAGAAATTAGAAAAAAGGGCTTATCATCAACAAATGATGATGGTGTCAAGGTTACTGCTCAACAGACAGATATGATCAGGGATAACACCATTCTTCCGAGCATAAATGATACGCTAACCACATTAAGCAATGATATTCACTCCAAGCTTGACTATCGCGCGAGGAACTGACATCTGTGACGAAGAGAAAGAATTTGTTCGCGATAAATTCGCTACCTACATTGGAGTAGATGCCAACGATATACCAACCATTGGATTTGGCGGAAGCGGTGGTGGATTTCGAGCTATGATAGCTACAACAGGTAAACATTTTTGTTAAGTGTCAAGTCCATGACAATAGTATTACTAAACGCGCTTTTTTACACAGGCTAAGCTTACGGTCTGCAAAAATTGGATTTTATTATTATGGAACATACTTTGGAGGTATGTGTCTATGGCGTATGAGTATGTAGTTATCCATAGTGCTATTATTTATCCTTGTATACATATTTGTTATATTGGTTCTTGTGAAGGTGTCAGTGGATGTTGTTGGAATCTAGCCGCACAATACACTTCCATTATTTCGGAACAAGACAATCCACTTGAAGTAAGTTGTAATAAAAGTTGTTTAGGTAATTGAGAATGTAAACCGATTGACGTGACTTGTTATTGCGTGTTATCTCAGGCACTGATCGATCATTTTAAGAAACGACTCGACCATCACATTGCTAATCCACATGCGGTTATCAAATCGTTTACGGCTATCACATTGTCCGAACAAGCCGTTGAATTGGTCTTTGGTGGTCTGGCTCAGTCGGGGTTGAACGCGGTATTATTGATGTCTACGGCGCGTTATTGGCCGCCAGACTTTTGCTTGCCGATGATCCAGTAAATCAGACTAGAAATTTTAAACTGAGTGAGCAGAAGCGATATCTAAAAGATGGAAAGAATCCCATGCAATATATACAGCGTATGTACGGAAACGATTAAAAAGCATATTCACTTAAACAATCGATGATTTGAATTTACTCCATTCGAGATTGGATGTGATGAGCTCCCCGGTTAGTATAATATTAGTAGGCTCTTTGTAATATCAGTGCTACGGTTTTAACATGTCAACTATTCAGGTCTTGGGCATTTGGAAGGCGCTTTGAGTTTAGAAAGAGCATCGATTGCGTACCCGAGCAAAACTTTGGGGTAAAAACAGTACGACGAAATATATGCGTGAATTACTTGTTTATACGAATATGGGTGGACTTAATTTGGGTTATCTTTCTTTTGTAGTGTATTCGGCGCTGCTCCATGCGCTCGAATAATAATCGATATTTGACAGATGGAACATGTTTTACCAGAAGGTTGGCTAAAAGAGGCTTGGCAAAAATCTTATGATAGGGTAAGTAAAGACATTAGTTTGTAAACCACACACGTGTAATATTTTTCAATGTTTCACATGCTTCTCGCGATTATCATCTCTTTCACTATTCCACTGACTCATCCCGGATATTATAATGGGATTCGATTCGTCTAGTCAAATCATTGAACATAGTTTCTTTGACGGAGAACAGGGCATCTTTACTGCTCGACGTGGCGAGACGATCCTAGTAGCAAGTATTTGGAAGTCTATGATTATGAGCCAAATGGAAAGCACCGCTGAATTCTGTGCAGATCGATTTGATAGTAAAACTGGCACAGCAGAATTGGAGCGAAGTTGAAAGTACATTAAAGAATATTGTCAAGGGGGTATGGGAGAAGAAGAGAGCACAAAACGTCCCCCTAAGAGATAGAAAAATATCGGTAAGGACAATGTTCACATAAGCATGCTTCCTCGAAACCCGATGCCAATGTATAACATCCTTGTCCATATTTTCCAGAGTCCCTAAAATGTGCAATTATCAGAAGACTGGTCGGAATCTCTAAAACCAGAAGGTGATCTATTCGTAGATAGAAGGACTAATTTACAACAGAGGAGCATTATCGAACGAAGACTTCCTATCAAGTAAGTGTTAACAAATATGCTCTACAGAGAGGAACATCTAGAAGTTGTTCTGATTAACGTTGTTATCTGTTTAGGGCCCGGCGCAAAAGACGACCCAAGATGACTGATTTGTATAAACATCATAATCATTACTCCACGTAGGTTCTAATATCATCTGCTTCCCGTTTAAACCTTGCCGCAAAGAGAATGTCGAATCATTCAGGTGGAAGTTCAGAGGCTGAAAAATATCGAATGGAAGATTCCCGCCACCACGTATAAAGGACTCGATGAAGAGGAGCAATATCTCAAGGTAAAAGGATTTTATGGGGGCGAAGGTGAACTGGCAATTGAAATAACCTGTTTGGGGTCAATCGCCTGCTGCAGCATAATACAAAGCTCTATACTTTGGATGATTAGACGAGTTATATACAAGCGACTTTGGAAGAGATAAGCATCATCCTCCTCTCCGGAGGCGCGCCTCCTGTGGAAATCGGGGAAGAATCAGATGCAGGTGTCTGCCCTGCTACTGAGAAGAAGAAGGACATAAGAAGCAATGAGGTAGGCCGTGGCTGCTACAGGGGGATTTGTACGGTGAGGCGCACTGTCCAATATCTGCTACCCAGGGCTTTAAATTCGGCCTCAGCCTTGATTGCTCGAATCTTATCGAGCCCTTCTGGGTTGAAGAAGCGACTTGCTATTGAGCTCGATGGTATTACTACACGGTTTTAAATTCTTGGCTTTTTCTACCGATCATGAAGTATTCACATTCTTTAACGCTTTCATTTGAAGGATATTGGAGATACATTGTCCAGATTACATGTATAGAACACTCGACATTAGTAATATCCGACGGTATTTCACTCGATGAAATACGATTATCAGACATTTGTATGTCTTTAAGCGGATTAGGATTCTGCCCTCTCCTGTAAATGTCTGATTATCCAATACTTCGACCACTCTTCCTTCATGTGTATTGTCCGCTTCGGAGCAAATAAGCATCGAATTGGTGGTACCCAGAAGCGCAGTTACTTGTGCCCCAATCAATAAAGAGGGCTACTTTAGGAAAACTAAAGCCGCGGCGGCTGCTATGGGGCTACCCAGAGCAGCCCCAATCGATAAGAGGGTCACTTTAGGAATCTCACTCGAGTTTTCATTCAGACAGTAAAGTATGTTTCTTGCTGTGTAGCGCATTACTCTTCATAACTTCAACCTTCTTATTTATGCAACCCATCCTTCCTAATTTGCTAGTGCCTGTGTTATACCGACCCGAATTCGATCGAAGCTTCCGTTTCATAACCCCTCTAAGTGCACACCCTCTAAATACACACCCATATAAACTATTATAGTTCTACCTCAGTTATATCCTGGCTTTGATAAATCATGCCATCTCTATATTAATTAATATTAATATGAATATTTGTGTTAGAATATGTCGATTAGGTTAGTCACAATTTCCAAGTTCAAAAATCAAATTACCAATTGTCAGTCTTATTAGCGTTAAACCATTACTCACCGAAGAAATTCTTCCGACTTGAAGGTGCAATAGAAAATGATATTAATATTGGATACATGTGCAATATAAGATGAATCAGAAACGTCACTGATAGAATGGATAGAATGATATTATCTATTGCCTTGTTCTGCTATAGTCCGTATTAGTATTAATACATGCTAATGCGTTTTAGAAGGTGAATTGGAACAGATCCAATGAATTTCTGTTTTAGGATATTGTATACGATATTCCAGACGATAACTAACTTATTAGAGAAATTGCAGAGACATTAAAGAAGATATTGATGAGGTGAACGCCAAAAAGATGGATGATGACAACCATAAATTATCGCCATGGTCGGTATTCCCCTCTACCCCACGGCCTGTCTCAACTCTGCAACGTTCTCATTAATTATATTTCCTGCGCCGCTTAGAGGCTTCCACATCATTTCTAAGGCGCGTACTTTCTCACACACTCGGTGCCCTATCATATCAGCCGGAATGGTACGCGCCATGACTGCGCTGTACAAGAATCTAGTCACGTGTATGACACGAATAATAATAACTGTGGCTTACAGTCAAACTCGTTAGTCCATGAAAATAATGTTTCTCAAAGGATATGAAGAAAGTTGTTAGTTCACTTCGAGACAGAACAGGGTAAGCATATATCATATAGCCTGCTACTCACTTCTTACAAACCTATACTATAATAATAAGCCGACTGTACAATGTAAATAATGTTACTCACTTCTTACAACCTATACTACACATCCCTCACCCGACTATACAATATAATATATAATATTTATGATATCCACATGAAGGCCATATTTCTTGGATATAACGGAGCTGGCAAATTGAAGAATACGAAGCCAAGCAATTGCAAGAGTTCTTTGGGGAAGAATACAGGAAATCCGCCTATTTTGTACTAAAGAAGAATTGCTGACATACGACGATACGCCAAACAAAATTGGCCATCCCAGAAGAGCTTGAAATGCGACTTTAATATATTTAAGTAGAAGACTGAACGGTCATTGGCAAATCATTTACTCGAATCTATCAATACCCTGCGAGAAGTTCCGCTGACAGTTATAAAACACACACATGGGCCGCGTAGGATGGAGATAACTTCCCGACTCCATAGTATATATGATTCACACTTTCATTGGATACTTATTAATACACATGAACGAACCTTTTTGTCATGGTTCAACAGCGATTTACGCAGTTTCTTGTCGCATCTCGCCATACTACGTGTAATCTCTTTGAGCTAAATACGACAATCGATACTCCTGCGGTATTAGAGGGATCAGAACAATGGCTTCGTCGATTGCTGTATTTATATGGTAAGTCTATTATTGCGCCAGAGTAACCTAGCGTACATTCAATTCCAGTTATAATGTCAACAGCTCAATGAGAAACAATGCTAATCTGAATATTCTATTGTAATTCTTTATACTTAGAACACGCAAGTGCCCCCGACAGAATAATGAGTCGGTTGTACACCACATACTATACACATACCATACTACAACGGATCATACCACACGAAATACGATACTACAACATACAATACCATATAAAACACACAACATACCATGCTACATACCATACAATTTAGCATACGACTTATCCGGTAATGGTTATTTCAAGACATGAATTTGAACTATATCAAAGAGCTACGCAACAAAGACATGCTGTTACTCTATGTCGCGCCGGGGTAATATGGAGAAGAATGACCAGAGAGTGATGAGACTATAAAAGAGCTGTTCAGCAAGGATATGCTGGTGCCTTATGTCGCTTGGGCGATTGTTATAAAAACCGTAAGCAGAGACGATCAGAATGCAGTCAGTTACTATCGAAGAGCTGCCAAACGGGAACATCTTATTGCATTACATAATCTTGCTCTATGCTATTATTATGGCGAGGGGCGAGAACGAATTGTTTTGCTTCAATCGTGGCCGGACGGGGAAATTCTAGTGCGTAATTCTACCTTGCCGTATTCCAGAACTATTTCAGTTAGCGGCGTCCCGAGGCCTTCCTGAGGCACAATAGACTTGGCGCACGTTACGAAAGGGGATATACGGCCTATAGAACTGTCTAAAGGCAGTTGAATTATATCAGAAATCAGCGGACTGTGGCATTACCCACACGTTACTAGATGTTACGAAGATGTGCATTGGAGTAGCAAAAGATCATGAAAAGGCGTATTCAGCTTTATCGTGAAGTAATAGATCAAGGTTCTGTAGGACAATTTCGTTTACGTGGAATTGATGTGGGCGATAATTTAAGTAGTAGTAGTAATAATGATTTTATTAAGAGGTATATACGATATGCGATTTATAAGGTTATTTTACAACGAATAAGAAATTCTGAGATTGTGATATGAATAATTAAATCTTACAAGCACTCTCAGCGAAGAAAGTATAGGAATACTATTAGTACAGAAATAGTATAAAATTTTATATCACCTTAGTTTGATGCGTAGACCATCATGTGGTATTTTGGGAATTCACAATAATAAAGACATATATAGTACACGCGTGGTCGTCTAATTAATTTTCTAATCGATAGTAGTTTCAGTATAGTGCCGTTTATTTCCCTGACAATAATTTCTCCGTCATCAGGAATAAAATTTGTACCTCTATAAAGAAGTATAGCTTTGGTTTGACGCCCGCAATAATCAGTCTGCCCATCATAAATCATGTGTTTCCTTAATTTAATATGCATTATGGTACATTGTCTCATACATTATCTAAAGATAAACACCGCAATTACTTGAAGTGATGTAACTGACATTTGAATTTTATATAAACCTTCTACTTTCCTCGTCAGAAACTCAAGTCAAGGCAATAATATTTAACGCGTTTATAATATCCCTGCCGTGACGAAGATTTGTAATTTTCTCGAGAATAACATCTCCAAAACTAAACGCGAACATATTGAAAATATACCATTGCAGCTGTTTGTAGTAACATGCAAGTGTCTTAAAATTATAAAAGGGACAAAATCAGTTTCAACGTGACTTATACAAACTTACATACGTGAAGTGCAAGATCAAGTCTTTAATGACCGTCGCTCATAATATGTATTTAATATTTAAATTCCTGTAAAGTGGACAACTATATGGTAATAGAAATCTCCACTTTTTCTTTTGTCTTTCTATTTAATTTATCATACAATGTTAAGAGAATTTTATATCACGCGAGAGTGAAACGTTGAAGTGTTAGGGTGATGGTGATGGACATGAGGAATGAGTCGTAGTAGTAATTATATCAAGACCCAAAAATTGGTATATTTTATGTCGAGTCGTTGCATTGAAGATCAATGTTTTGTCGTCAATAAAGACAATAAAGCAATCGGATATACACCGTGAACAAGACTGGTGTTGATACTATAAGTAAGGTCGATACTCTAAATAATATCCAGCCTCGTATGCCATGCTGTTTCTTTTCCGAACATATATTTTCAAAACTACATTGGTAGAAAACACTTATATAATGAAAGCGGATGTTTATTTATATGTGTCAGTACAAACAACAAGTTGATATTCTAGACATTAAAAATTATTCTGGTTGGGTTCCCCTATCACTCCGTCCTCATTAGGTGTAATCATCCAGAGACCGACAAGTGTTCGAAGTCCCTTCCGTGCCGTTGCAGCCCCACTGTGGTAGCTGTGCCATCGCGCTATTTATCTGAGGATAAGAAAAATTCATTCACGATTATTATAACGTATGGAAATGAGTAAAATCATGTAAGTAGCTTTTGTCTAAATTCTGTCTAAATTATTCACGATTATTACAATGCTCACGTGGTCGAAAAGAAAAACATGTGAAATATATTTACCAGTTCATCCCAGCTTCGGAAAAGTGGGACGGCCTGTAAACGTTCGTGTAACATGTTAATTACTTCGAGGAAAACGCTCGTTAATATTCTCCAGAGCCTCCTCCGCGGCGTGTCGTATTGTTTTCTTCGTCTCACGCCGTGTTGAGGCCCTGCGGCAACTGGCCTGTGATAAAATAATTCATTCGCAAATTATTAAAAGATCATCTTTTTGAAAAAGAAAAAGAAGAGTATGTAAATATACTTACCAATCTTTCGTGGCCATTTATTTATATCGGCCATTCTGACTACGGGGCATTGTGCGTCTGATGGTGACAATAAATTAAAGAGTTAGGATGGGAATAAGTCATATTTACAATATCAATGAAGCTTATTCTTTACTTACATTATCGCGATAGATCTGCGTGATATGGTCACCTCCAATAACTAGGGAGGATGACGAGCGATGACACTACGCGTTGATATATTAAAATAATTAGCAAAATGGTGAAAGCATGTAGGCAGCTTCAATTATAGCTTACATTGATAAATCGCCTGTGGCCATTGCCCGACCCAACGGTATTTCTACCATATAGGAAAAGCACTATTAAAATCGAGACAGGTTAAATAAAAGAAATTAGTAAACTGACATTGAGCATCCTGTTGGGTTAACAGTGAATAAAAAAAAAGATGGCATTCTCGAGATATTAAGAAGGTTCATTATTAGGATAAAACCTGTCAGAAAAACGTATACTATCATGAAGATTTTTCCATATTGACACTAGATTCTGTTATAAACACTACAATACCATCAAGCATTATTGCTATCGTATCGCATATCCGTAAATACTAACAGAGAGACTTACCGATAAAATAAAAGTAACCGATATATGGCATATTAAAAAATGGCCAACATCGGCCGTAGTTGGGACAAGGGACTGTAAAAATGTTCATTTTTGAAAGAGGATAAGTGCCTTGGAGAGTTATATCTCTTATCATGAAAAAGCTTGTTGCCTACAGGGCGGTTGTATTTGACTAAAACATGGATTGTTGGTCGGATGGTATACAATCTTGTGAACTTGTCAGATTTTCAATACAAATAACAATTATTATGCGAGTTTACAAACAAAAGTCGATGTTGCTCTCATTCAACCAATGATTTTATTTTGGAACTATGTTATGGTTTGTGTCACATTGAAATTTGTTTTGGTTAAATGTAGTTATTGCGCCATATTAATATTTATTCCAAGTCATAAGCGTACCGAACAGCTAAAGCAACGGTTTATCAGCAGCAATATTGTAACTATTGTTTGTTGACGAGGGAATATGAAATGTACGATGACTATTATTTTCACTTTACATAATATATGTTTATGTCGAAGTTATGGTATTATAATTGTTATTCTCTGTGTAATTATAAATGATATTCATATGGATTAAATTGCATAGACAATAAAGACTTTTTGATCTTCTTTTAGATTAACTCTTTTTGGATTTTGGTATACAACCAAGATGCAATACTTTTCATTGATTGGCGTATATATTTTTAGATAGCACAAACGTTATAACAATTGTCTAAACTCAACACATAATATATATATTCTGTTTGACATGAACGGCCATTTAACCCATTCGAGAGCTCTCATTTATTATAGCTTATCGTTATCCTGATTGTTACTAACCTAAATTTTGGAATCTTCATCTTCTTTCATCTGTCCAACCTTCTTTAACAATTACCGTAGCACAACAGAAATTGTACATATTGTTATACAGAATATAATACAGTATGTTATAAATCAAAAGGAGTGCATATTAATATGGGTTTATACTAATATACAATACGCATGCAAGGCGTCACAACTAACGCCAAAGACATGAGAATAATAATTAGATACTACATGCATTCTAGTCAAATTGGACTGGGTACAAACAAGCGTACGCGTATACATATCTAATGTATTGTTCTGTTTATGGGAACGTTTGTAAGATAACAGTACTACATTGTCTAGTGACTTACCGATATCGATATCCTGTTTTTAATACCACCATCTTTGTTTCACCAATAAACAATAGCAGGAAGACAAAGAAGCTTGAACCTGTTATGTATGTTGTGTTTGGGACCTGTCTCAGTTCGGAACCCAGTCACTCAGTCCAGAACTGAGACAGGTCCCAACTGAGGTACAACATGTATAGGAAAATATCTGCACGCGTACGTATGGCATATCATTTCCCTTTGTCTCAATAAGCAAAATATTCTAAAATTGAGATTGTGCTCATATATTATTTGGATTAAGCAAGACGACTGATTGTTAGTTGTTTTGCAATTGTTTCAATGATAATGAAGGATGGCATTTGTGAATGATTCAATCTCATGTAAAATTACGTATTTGACTTTATGGATACTATGAGTTACCAAGAGTAGATATGTTGTACCTCAGTTCGGGACCATCTCAGTCTAGAACTTAGTTGTCTCGGTCCAGAACTCAGTCATCTCGATCCAGAGATACAACAGTTATCAAGTAACCAAGAGTAGATACACCCGTTTGCCTGTTCGTCTAGCAGGGCTTACACGAGATTCATCAGTGAAAACGTAAGCCGGTAGTTAATTAATAAGCACAGGACTACTTCTCGGCGCTGAGAACAGAATAGAAGCATAAATTCCCGAGCTTAAAAGCTCGCAATATTACGCTCGCCGATTACAATTGGACTGTTATTTATGGCATTGGGACCTTGACTATTTGTATTGTGATAAAAAAAATGGCGGGTATTTCTGCACTATAATTTTGCGAATACGTGGTGCTTTTCAAATAGTAAAAACAGAAAATTATTTTATAAAAATAGCTTAACAAGAAACTGGATTTTAAGATGTCAAAAATAAAAATAAAAACAAAAATAAAAATAAAAATAAAAATTTACGATAAATTGATCGTTCGAAAAGTAAAAACCACTGCTTCGTCAAAGTGTTATTTAATTGTTTACGGATTTAAGTCGAGAATAAAAGAAATGATTACTAAACATGGACAACTGGATACGTTGTTTTGTTAATATACAAATGATGTCATTACATCAAAAAAGATCAATATTTGCTACCAATGTTTGCGTAAACGCCTGCAAGTTCATGGTTTGATGATATCTAGAGTTTGAATACAATGAATTAAAAATGCTTGCAAATCGTTCGTCAAAATTATACGCTAATACGTATAACTCGCGTTATCCAAAGCATAAAAAGTTTTATTTAAAGCAATGCCTACACTGAGTCCAGACAATAAGCGTGAAATTTGTGAATATGCTAAACGTTTGAAAGCGAAGCATAGCGAACTAGCAACCGTTCAATAAAAAGTTCATCCTATAGATCGCGACAAAATTGACATTTACTTTGGAAGTGAATTCAAAAGCGGGTACAGTAAAATTGCAATAATATAATTTTAATCACATGACCATACGTAAAATTTAAAGATACAAAATCAACTTTATTTGACCTACTCAATGAGTGATATAACTTTATTACAAATTTACATGTAAATAACAGCTTATGTTCAATCCTTTAGTCATCCAACTGCCGAGTCCACAGATTCAATGACTGGTAGAATTAGAGATCATATGATATAGGAGGCGTAAGATCATACGACATAGGACACCAGGCATACGAGGTTTCAGTCAAATCCAGTCCCTCTTAAAGGCTGTGGTTCAAAGGTGAGATTGGATCGGGACTGACCCTTATCATTATAATAGCTATCGAATTTTCTCTGATCCGAGCATTGACCTGCTTGGTTAGTTTCCTCTCTTGTCTGTATTCAACTTTCAAATATTAATATTTCATATATTTTGAAATAGTTCCTCCAATTCTCCGGCGCTAACATCAGATTTAATAAAGCCAAACATGGCTAATGTCCTTTGGTCATCTTTTCTATCGGAGTAAACGACGTCGTTTATACCATGGCACCTTGACTGCTTTGTTTTTTCTTTATAATTTTCCTTTTCAATCCAGAAATACCGTCATTACTAGATACACTCGTTTCGCGGCGACCGTCGCGTGATGGTTGTTCCAGTGTCCAAGGAACATTTACAACGTTGATAGACACCTCGGGCTCATTAGCTTCCTTTCGTCTTACATACATATTTTGAGTCCCATACTTTGCATCTTTATATTCGTAACCCTTACACCATTGTTTCTTGCTTCCTCACTCAACCCTCTTCTCGCATCTTGCTTCTCTAATAATATTCCTTCACACTCTTTCTACTCGTTATCCTCCATAACCGTAGCACACAAATCTTCAGTATTTCGTGATAACATAACAATTTCGATAAATCAAGAAATGTCGATATAAGACGTTTGGATATTACATTGGCAATACTGAGAATCCGATCGCAGCTGAGACCTCTGCATCATTGGTTTCTTGAGGCGGTAGTACCCGTTCAACAATGACCGGTTCAAGTATTGGTTTCTTTCTCGGTCTACCAGGGCCGCGCTTCTTCGGAACTACATACATAACTTCGCGCGATTGTATCGGAGCAGTAGATGCTGAAGAGACCTTACCCGTAGCATCCCTTGAATAGCCGTGCCTTGTAATGAATCGGTTGAGTAGTTATGTCATCTCTTGCTACGGTAACGTGACGGCTAGTACTGACTGCACCTGGCACTTCTCGTGTTTGCGAACGAGTACGCCTCGCAGATCTTTCAATTATGTTCGTTTACTAGTGTCTGTTTGTTGATGTGATTCAAAAAATCGGGGGAGAATAATCGCGTCCGTTTGACAACCTTGGTCATGTGCCTTGGGTTTCTTTGGGATAGAAGGAGTGGAAATCTGATGCGCTTGGTCTGTTGGCTCTACTTTCGTCAAATTTTCATCTCTATCAATATTTTCATCTGATTGATGCAACCGCAGACTACTCTCTTCATAATCATCGTGGTCAAATTTTGATTCTGTTGCGGGACTATGATGCGCGTTATTATGACTTTTATACTCTGAAATATACTTATTGTTAATGTGGTATTCATACAAGCGAAATTGTTTTTCAATACCATTAGTATCATTGTTCATTTCGTGTATTGGATCTACATTTCTAGGATAATGAGATATTTGGTTGAAAGAAAAGTTCGGCGAGTTGCTTTGAGATGTTCGTCGAGATCCAGCTGGATGCATACAATAATCCCATTTAAATTCGGCTGGTGGTTCTCCATTTCGGAGACATTCCAGTGTTCTTCTTACTGTAAGATGATTTATGAACTGTGTTCCATATAGATATAAATGGCTCTTTGTTTGGATCAAAGATCCTCATATCTCCGTGAGGGGCAGTTCCACTGGGGCACTTAGCTCGAAAGAGACCGTGCAAGTATTATGCTCAGCAAGGCCGCTAGACCATGTGCATAGCCTTCTGTCTTGTTATGCAATTCAAGCGTTACTCATATTATTCGTGTTACTAATACTCTTGTTCAATAACTTTGGTAATCAATCCAGTCAGCAGTCCTGACATTGAAAACCCAAAACTTCTTAAGCATCAACTAGCCGCTCTTGGATGTTCATCAACATCTCCAATTCCGCTCGCAGCCCCTCCGAGATCAATAAATGATCCCGAAATTTCTTCTACCGCACATATCAATGCATTTCAACACTTCCATGTCAGATTGTTGTATCGGTTTAGAATGGTAGAAAGGGAAAGGATTGCCTGTACTTGACCTTGCTCGGTCAGGAGACGCGTGGAAATTACGTCACGAAGAAGTGGGATCGAAAATTGAGTGGATGTATTGCGGGCGTGTCGAAGTAAGTGTTTATGATTGAGGTGTAGTTATTTTCTACGTATTTCGTTCCCAATTGAATAAACAGCCCGGCATTCTCTCTAATTGTCTTCATTGTCAGCATGGATGGGGTCGCGTGGTGGGGACGAGAGTAACAAAAAGCCAATAAGAAAGACTTTGTGGAGTTTGCCCGAGAAATTGAATCAAAAAAGGGCGACATTTGATCAGGCTAAATACCTATCGAGTTAGTTGTGGAAGAAAGTAGTTGGCGGCAAGGAGGTCCAGAACGAAAAGCTGAATGTCGCCTAGCGCGTACGGACCTTGGATTTAATATTGGTGAATTTCCGCGAGGCTTTCCGTAGAAATGAAATATGGGATTTCTTTTTCCCACTGAGAGATGTCATAAGCTTTCACCTATTTCTGTCGATGCTTTGACATTCTGGCGTGAAAAAGTGCTTGGGCGAGCTATCGCAGTTGGAAAGTAAAAGTTCCTGAATTCGGTAGTTGACGGATCTAAAAATCCAATAACGATTGACAATTTGTTAATGATACATCTTAGATCATAGAGGTGGCTCAAGACGTCCAAATATTCATACGAACAGATACCAAAGTATCACATTTACTACCCTATGCATCAGCATATTCCAATACCAATTTCCTGTCGCATACTAACCTCCCATTTCCTCCAATGCCCCGTCAATCCTCAATCCATTATCTATATATCGTCCACATCATGAGTGCTACTTGGGGAGGGAGTTATGATTTTCGGTTTGTGGCGTGTGAGGACGTTTTCCCTGGGTTGACGGGAAACTCTTTGTATAGATAAATGGCTCGGTACATGCAACATGAGACCTATGGGAATCAATCAGGCAGTATGGAAACATATTAATATACACTAACTATATCAAATTAAAAAATTTTGCGCTTTACTTACATTGCTATTACTTGTCAACTTGCAGAAAGCAACCTCGTTTAAAATATCATCGGCTTTTACTAACTTAATCGACTCATCTTCTCTTAATAATAATATATATGGACCAACAGCATGTTCACTGACGATGACGTATTTCAGACCAAAAAGAAGGCTGATCTCATTGGCACACTTGTATTATGCGAATTCATAAGCCTGCATTATCGAGTCCTTAGATATCCTTCCCTGCCAATGAATTTCGTTTGAGCAACCCATACCATTGTCCTTGAGACAAATATTTATCAACCGCGGCTCTGCCAAAATCAAATCTCGCTCTTCCGTAATGAGCCGACATCGGACTGTCCATATGTCCATGCATCACTAATGCCGAACTAGGAGAGAACTCGCGGAAATAATTTCACGCTTAAGTGGATCAAAACATAGGAAATCAATGTTAGCTTGATTCGATAGCAAGAATTGCTAATATATAACTTCATTATAAAACTTACGTAATAATCCACATCCTTTTTTACACTGCGACGCTATCATCATTATCATACACCAGAAGTAAAAAACGGTATCACACGGGAAGAGTCTAATACTACATTTCGGCAACTTCTGAGGTTTATGAGAGAGAAAGTAGACTGGTTTCGGAGACGTACGTATGTCGTCATTATTAATGTGCACGTATATTTTTTTGTTTAGTTTCAAATACACGTAGAATGGGGTTTTTCGGCAAGTACCCCAATATTTAAGGGACCCAGCCACCCTACTGTTCCACAAGGTGGACATATTAATATGTGTCAAGTACTTCTTCATTAATTCGGCCATAATGTCTGTTCAAGACGCAGTCACGAATGAGTCATTCGAAGATTAATGCAAATAATATCATTTTTGATCGAAATATAAATAATATTTTAAAAGTGAATAATCTATTTTATTTGCTATCGACTACCATACCATGCCTCTGCTATAGCTGGAAGATGGGACTCGTATTTAAATAATTAGATTGACAGAATACACGGAAATATTATTCCTAAACATTATACTGCACATTTACATGAAAAGAACACTATACAATATAATAAAGCGCGCAATTATATTGATGATATATTATCCAATGTTTGATAAAATTTGGACCGCAGATTGAGCTCTTCAAGAAGTTATAACGGTTATGATAGTGTTACATTATGCAACGGAAAGATTATTCTCGCTACTACCAACATCCTTATGGTAAAAAATACACTCCGCTACAAATAAGTGTCTATTTTAATGTGGCCTAACCTAAGAACGGTTCAAATTTCAAGATAGGATAATTTGCAAAAAAATAAAATAAATTTTTTTGTCACGGTACACATAATTACGCCTCTTTATTATAAACTTGTTTCCAAGTTACCTGCTACATGAACATGTACGTATGTGTTACTTATTGATCCGGAAGACATCCCATTTGATTAGCTTTACATGTAGTAGTGTAGTGATATTCCTGAATCATGAAATATCAATCCCTAACAAAATACATTAGTTCATACTAAAATTCAAAACAATCCGACATAAATGCACTTGCATCTATGGTTTAATAATTTTTTTCCTATTTCGAGACACTATTTATGTGCAATCTTTTCTTTTAGTAGAGTTTTCAAGTCCTTTTTTCTTTTAGTAGATCGATGCATAAGTATAATATAATAATAAAATGTCGCAATTTGTTATTTATTAGATGCCTAATTCAAAACTTTTTGAGTTGATTAAAAGTCTTAAGTGTTTGAAGTTAGGCATTTATTGGGTTATACAGTGTGTTGCAAAAGAAAAAAAAGTTAACCAAAGGCATAAATTTTCGATTGCAGAACTTTATGAGATAAATTTAAAATTATTGTAACATTAAAATAAAAATTTCCTAATATCTAGTTTATTATTTATGACCGTTCTGCTTCAAACTGGTTTATTATTTTTATAAACAAAAAATTTTTTGTATGTTTGTTTTCCCTCTTGTTCACGTGTAACTCATGTATATTAGGCATTTTTTTTTGTCAAATTATTTTCGAATAAACAACGATTATATTCCGAATTGTAATAAAATCCTTTGGTAACCTAACAGTTCCATCTTTTGAGCTTGTGAGGAAACTATTTTATTTACTGATTGGCTCGTAGATTAAAATGACAGAATTTGAATATGACTTGATTATAGTACAAGGCTACTCAGGGTTATTTATAATTAATGTGATTCATTAATTTCACCAAATTCTGGTTTTTGGTGGATACTAAATGTCTTACAACTGCATTTAGATATTAATATTAACATACAGTAAATATTCGAAAGGTGAGTTTACATCTTTACGTTATCTTTATGCACCTAGCACGTCTCATTCGAGCGAGAGCTTATTTTATATTGTAATTAACTAATGAAGATGTAACTATGGACACAGCTTTGATATCAATTGTTGGCTAAGAAATGACCAAAATGACTGCTTTGCTACAATATTGTTGTGATAAAATTGGGTTAATTATGGGTTACTAATTGTCTTTATACATTTAATTCAATGTGCTTATCGAGCATATTAAAGAATTTATTTTCTAACCTGGTTCCAGTGTTGCGTTTTGCCCACATTTACTGTATTTGAAACGTTTTGTTTGTACAGTGGAAAACGCAACAATAATTACACTTTTGAAAAACAAGTAATGGATTTTAGATTTTCAATGTCTTCTGTTGTTTGAACCTAATCATCGATTAATTATGAAAGCATAGTGAAGCTAATATGTGAAATCAATAAGGGCTGGCAAGATAAGGAATTACTTGTTATCAAAACAATTCCGATATATGTCGCGTAGATAAATCGAGGCTGTTATTTGATGTTTTGGTTATACCTCAAACTGTTTGTTACTTCTCTCGTAGGTTGGCCAATAAGCACCCGCTAGTGAAAAAACAACAAATGTCAAACCACTAGAATGCAAAATTTAGGTTCAGAAGAAGAATGTGCTCACACGACAAGGTAATTGAGATAGACATCAAGAATGATACGGCGTACAGCCGAAGTTGCGTGTTAATAAACAACGACATAAATATCCTCTGCTTCAACTGTCAGAAACCCACACAAGTTAAATTGGCAAGACAATACTTGAACGATGTCGGGAGAATAGACTTTTATTAATTTCTAGTAGACTGCCAGAATAAGTAAAAGGCAAATGTGAGAAAGTAATAGAAAACAATAGTGAACAAAATTTATTCAATGTAAAGCTGCTCTGAAGCATCAATAGTACGGCAACGAAAATTTTTTGCAAGCCCACTCGGTACGTTCTTTAACTGCCTGGTAACCTGGGGAAATACTAGAACGTCCCATTTACATATTATCGGTTGTTTCAATTATATGTTCCAACAACTCAACTCCAAGTTCTGTTGCAAATGTTTTTGGTCAAAGCGAAAATGGCCAATGAAATGGTTGCTGTTAATAGCACACACAATGCTGACAAGTTTTCCCGTTCCGTTGACAAAGCCTTATGCATTGTTCTTTATCACATGCACTTTTTCCCATAAAAAAGGGAAGACAAATAGAATAAATGTGCTGCGTATAGTTGGAGATGCGGATGATAAGGTCACAAGGCGACTGTAAGCAAACATGAGTTATCTCTTGTGCATAATACGCCCTCCCATATGAGTACCCGAATCAAACAACTGAAGCTTAAATAGGAAACTTCATTGGGGCAAGTATAGTCTTGTGCGCCTCAATCCTGTTTTTCAGAGGCGGTGCAATATCGACGTTCCAAATCAGCAATATTCGCTGTAAGATGGATTCGATCAATTCTTCAGATCTAATAATAGCACAAATGTGCATTAATATAGTACATTGTGATGTTTGGTATATGTGACATGATCATAAAGATAACAAGAAGAATGAGGGACGGAGGGGCAAAAAGAAATAAATAGTGATTAGTAATACAATAGATAATATAGTTTACGACACCATATTAATATGGGTTTTAGCTCTCCCGTTCTCTGAAAACGTCTTTGAGCAACTATTATTTGGTTTGCTTTATTCCTTCCTGGTAACAGGTTGAAGGGAGTAAAAATCTAGATCCTGACTATCTATCAGACAATCCGATAATCGTTTTGTAGGTTTTACCGAACGCCCATCTTGAACTTTATTTACAAGGGAACGGTGATGTTGGGGAATGAATGATAAATGAGACAAACAACCATGCATTAGGTTTATCGAATGACTGATAGCGTTTCTATTTCAATCTTTATCCCGTTAACTTTGTATTATCATAGAAATATCATATATGAAATTTGTGTGACGAAAACACGTCGATCGTTTAACATCGTGCCCTTATGCCATCAATACACACAACGACAATATCAAGCTGTGGTAGCACTACACACTTAAACTTCACAAGAACCTGATATCACGGGTGACATGCATGCGCTCAATGAAGAAAACAGTGGAGGCGCAAATATCCTAAATGTATTAGCATAGTGATAAAATATTTGCTTGTAATAATAATCCACCTTTTGGCTAGAAAATTTCTTTTTGACCATTTCTCTTTCGCAAAGCATGTATTCTGGATATTCTTTAAGAAATTAGTTTGTTCGGATGTCCCTTTACAACTATAGTTTCCCTTTACCAAGGGGATGTAAACGTGAAGTTGTACTACATTCCATTGTCCCCATGATCGACAACGATATGCATCAATACATTCAATAGAACAATTCTGTACCGTATAATAGAATGACTTTACAATAACTTGTCCAAAGCAGGCCTTTTACGATAGATTGCGTAGAGGCGTATAACACAAGCCTTTTTACGGACACAGCCATCTTTTAAAAACGTATAAAAATGTTTCATTTATACTATTCTTCATATACGACTTATTGGAAACCAACTCAAGTATGTACACTACATTTCTTTTATTGTGCATCTGTTGACGTTAGACCAAAGAGCAATGGACTTGATACCACAACTCTAATACTCGTGTCTTATTGGATATCAACCGGGACATGAAACCAAATATTTCAAACCCGTCTACTGCGAGGCCTTCCCAACTCAAATAGACGATAACTGGGACAATGGAAAGTAACAAATACCAATCACTGATCAGCATTATCAACCGTTTTTGAAAACTATTCAAGTTTGCAGTATGTTATTTATAATATTTTAATTTAGCACTATTGTCTAGAATTTATTATAAATACGCTACTTGATTCCCCAAAATTCCACATCTGGTTGTCTCATGAGTCATATTTTCCACTCGCTCTTTATATAAAAAATACCTCTCGCCATCCACCCATAATTCATTTAGAAATGGAAAAATATTATTATAGTACTCCATTAAACTCCTACGACTTATCACAAACATACATACACTCTTATGTTCCAGGAGATCCCCCTACGATACTCAACACGACAACGATGACAACGACGACAACAGCAGCAGCAGCAGCAACAACAACAACCACGACAACAACCACAACCACGACAACAACCACGACGATGACAGCAGCAGCAGCAACATCAGCAGCAACATCAGCAGCAGAAGCAACGGGGGCGACGGCGACAGCAACAACAACAGCAGCAGCAGTGGCAGCAAAAACCATAAATGGTGGAGGAGGTGGAGAAAGAAGAAAAGAAGACAAAGACAACGATGACGATGACGACAACAACGTCTATTACACGGTCGCCGACGATATTCTGGAGGCGTTTCAAAACGATCCAGATAATTTCAATTTCGATGTTTTTTACGACGTGTATTGATCAATGCACACAAGACCTTATATATAGCCACTGTCGATCACCTCTCCCACTCCCACTCTCCATATACTCTACACCAAACGCCCATTTTATAATACAGTGAACGTTGATATATGCGGGGTTGGATATCATAGGGGGGTGTTAGGGTTTTAAATAATGACGTCATATGTAATGATATTACATACGATACTTATGTCTCGAATTAAATCTTACATTTATAATAAAGATCTCTTTATTTCTTTCTCCATATAAACTATACCAATTTGTTCACCTCTTATGAATTGTGGTTCTCTCTCTCTTTGATGAAAAAAATCTGTTAACTTTTTTTGTTGCCTCGCCTCGTATATATTCGAGTGAATGCGTTGCAACAGACTTTGCAAATTTTGGCATGTCTTGCTCTTCTACGAATTTGGCTGTTCTACATACTGCAGAAGTGATTTGCGTTGTTCCAATGCCGTAGAATGAGAATTTTTTTCGATTTCAATGTCGCTGCCTTCATTACAACTATCAGAATTAGACGTATGGAGTATGTTTATACTTTAGTACTAGTACACAAATCGTATTATAAAGAGACATTACGTAGCAATACGTGATATTGTAGATCAGAATTTTAAATATTAAAATACTAATTTATATTGATGTTGATATCAGCGAGGTACATTTAAAATCTGATATATGTTGTTAGGGATATCAACGGGGTATAATGTCAAATTGATATATGCAGGAGAATTTAAATATAGGGACACCCGTTCTTTAACGGGGTGGATATTAGAGAGGGTTCACTGTAATGTCCTGATTCTTACCTTTTTATCACGTGCTGCAGGCCGTTATTTATTCCGAGAGGTGGGAGGTGGGAGGTGGGAACGAGTGAAACGGACATATTATTTATTTTGTTTTATTTTCTTGCTGAATAATGAGCAAGTAGGGGTTTTTTTAGTGTCGATAAATATTTTTCTTATCATCAACTAGTAGCAAAACTTGCACAAGTCACGGTACTCTGCGTCAGACTCATAAATTCAAATATGCCCCTTTTCTCTTAATTCTCGGCTCGCTAAAAAGTCAGTTGTGCTATCACTACGATCACATGTATATTGTTGATTTTATTGTTATCTAGTAAACTCACGTATACGCATAATAAATGTTAATAGTATAATCATTCTATCAATAGAATTATTACTAACTATGATGTACTTTGGTGACCTACCTGCTGAGCAAGACAATTCAATGAGCCCTTTCCCATTAACAATAGACTAGTCGTGCAATTTAATGTTAATTCGTTACTATTAGTTTATTTACACATCTATCCGATATGGATAATGACAAGGAAGCTATCCGTTATAGCATTGACTTGTACTACGTAAATTCTGTAAATTCTAATCTTTTTAATTCATCTATACAAGATAATGCTAGAACCGTCAATACACAAATTTAAAATAACTCACAAATAGCAGCTTAACTTTGCAATGATTGCAGGCTTGTGAAAACATCGTTTATTTAACGTTGATATCAGGTATATTGCGAGATTTGTCAATAGCCCCTGTTAACACTTACATCTTTCGCGTTCTAGTATTGAAAATATGTGCTAACGTTTTTAAAATTAATAACATGTAAACACGTTGTAACTATTGTCCTAGTACACAACATATTTGCTCAAATCTTTATAAAATCTACATGTTCCCTCCCATCTTGGAAATTTTTATCTAGAGAATGCCAGTAACGATTCCGGCAAATGCGTTTATCATATTCCGATAGAACGTTGCCAGAGCAGGCCTCTATATGGGAGAGCTTCTAAGCTTGTTTCCTTTTATCTCGTTGTCCATCTTCTAAAATTGCCTCTCTATATTAATATGCTACACACCACACACATATGGTATAATGTAAAATCACTCATTAAGCAATAATTCATAATATATGATATGCGATTATAGATGGAGCTTCCACTTATCGGCAAGTTTATTTCCCTCGTTCATGAACGCAAAATCTGGCTCTCAACAATACCGGCATATAGCGAGCGGTCACAGAATTTGACCAACAACTCGGCCGAATAACGATCAAACTCGTCTATCAAAGGCAAGAGATCGATCAGCATAATTGCCGGAGATATAAGCATGCATCGTTAACTAGCAAAAAAAAAATTACCTTGCCACCTCCAGTCTCTCCACACACCACAACCACAACCAAGATGCTCGCACGTGTTCACAGTAATATTTTTTACAAGCTGATAAAGCAGAGGAAATTTGGCATCTCTCTATGATATGCGGCAATATATTCCGTGCGCGTTCTTGCAGCAATTAAGTTGTCGTCTCATGACAGTTCTGTTTCTGGGTGTGCGCGATCTATAAGCGGACATCCGACATTGTCTGGTATCTTAGCCCTATCACGGTAAAGCGCGCAAATAGAATCCGGTTGTGATAAGATAAACACGCAGCAAATGATTTGAGTTGCTATAAGTGGCTGCGTATGTGGCGGTCGATGCAGCTTTGTTATCGTTTCACGTCATCATCGGTAGTTTTTTTTTTTTTTTTTGTGTGTGTATAGTCCAAATAGCGACAATTTCATGAATTTGTTTGAGACAATAAGATTGTTAATGTTCCATGTAAGGGCTTTGTGGTAAATATAATTATTTTGTTAGATACCATTCCGAATGTAAAATTTTCAAAAATAAACATGATGACTTCTGCAGAAGACAATATTCAAGTTGTAAATTCTCTAAATATTTGAGTTTGCATTCATGTAACTGACGCACGAGTCGATCGTAATACATACCATCACTTATCAGCGCGCTTGTTGGAGTTGATTACAAGTTTGTTTGACATACCCTGACTGGATAGATCTGAAGATACACATAACACAGCTTTTTTTCATGGAAGCTGCCTTAAGGCCAACGGTACTACATACGTGGTCAAGAATGTGATGATAGATACCCTGCTCTTTGCGATTCTTTGTTTGTTCAAGCATCATTCTCGTGTTCTTAACGAGATTGCGTTGTAGCTCAAATTCCAGATCTCCGTTTGCCGTCACAGAAGCCATCTTTTGATAAATAACATAAGTTCTTCAGCAGTTGTCGTTGTTTTCCGTATAAATACAACCGAGGATTTACGAAATGTAGCAGTGTCTCTCAAATTGGTCTAAAATCGTTATTTGCTGAGCGAAAATCCAAATGTGCCCTCCGCGCGCGTCCTTTACAATTTCCTCCCTATCGAAAGATAGAAAATGCTTAAACAAATACCCAATCAACAATGCGATAACATTTTGTGCAACTATAATTCCCCGGTATTGATTCTGACACATGACTTGTGGTGGACGGCCTCTACATGTAAAGGAGCTGCTTCTAAATCAAATGTCTACCGGACTAAGAACAATCTTTTCTCCACCTCCCCATAATACCTCTTCGACACACCATAACACACGGACTGCGGAGGTTTCACTCATACCGAGCCGAGAATGCCAAAATATTCACAGAATGAAGAAGTTATTTCAATAGCTACTCAATAAAGATGTAGAATAAAAGAATAGCTTGCCAAAAAGACAGACGGACGAGTTGACGGCGCGGAGATTGCTCATTTGAATTTCATTCAGGTGAGTAAAACGGTGGTGGTGGTTATGCGTGGTGGTAATTTGTGTCAAGGCCCAACGGTTGGCTAGTATTCTGTCGACTAACGTACGTACGTATATCTGTAGAAGTTACTTGAAGAATAAGAGTGATCAATGTTTGTCGTCTCCAGAAAAACAGCAATGCAATGGAAGACTTTGAACATCTGGTCTATGATGTAATGTGATTTAAGCTTAGCTTATCTGGATGAATGGGATAGTATTGGTATTGATACTATAGTCAAGGGCAATTCCTATAAAGGCAATTCTCTACACTGTTTGGATATACATTTTCAAACTATGTTAGTAGAAAACAGCTTCAACTTATATTGTTCTACTGAATGATTAGAAGAATAAAAGCGGATGTTTATTTATATGTGTCAGTACAAATAAGTTGACATTCTAAACTTTAGAAATTATACTGGTTGGTCGTTGGGTTCCCACCACTCCGTCTTCATTAGATGTAATACGTGCCATCACAGGCCAACACTATGGTGGCCATGCCGTTGCGCTGCTTCGGAGGTTCAGGAAGATTCTATGATTATTATAACGTATGAAAATGGGGAAGCACATTGTCTAAATCATACTTACACTTTTTGAACTTGCAAATAAAATCCCCCTTACATCCGCGTTGTTTGAGGATGCTTGCTCCTCTTTGCGGCTCGTCTGAGGTTAACAAAGATTCGTTCGCGATTATTATAATGTCCACAGAGTTGAAAAGAAAAGCATATGAGAAAGTGTGTAATATATTTACCAATTCATGGAGGACACTTGACGGTATTCTCCAGAGCCTCTTCCACTGCGTGACGCTATTGTTTTTGTCTAACGCTGTGTCGAGGCCCCGCAGCAGCAGGCCTGTGATCAAAAATTATTCGTTCACAATTCATCCTTCTGAAAAGAAAAAAAATACAAGTATGTGAATATATTTACCAATCTTTCGTGGCCATTTATTTATATCGGCCGTTCTGAGCGTTTCGCGTCTGACGATGGATAACAGGTTATTTAACAAAAGTATGTAGGCAGTCTTGTCTAATTATAGCTTACATTGATTTATCTGTTGCCATTAGACCAAAATTTGTGATTTTGGCAATGCCAGCTAGGAAAGCACTATTAAAATCGAAATGAAAGGAATTAGTAAACTGACATTGAACATTCTGTCAGGTAAACAGCGAATAAAAATGATGGAAATTAAGGAGGTTCATCATTAATATGAAACCTGTCAGGAAACGTATAACTATCAAGACTTTTCCACGTTGATTACCACTAGCGTTACACATATCCCGCATAACAGAGAGAACGAAAAAAGGCTTACCGATAAAATAAAAGTAACCGATATAAAGGCATATTAAAAGAGTAGCCCGTATCAATGTAGCCGGGACGAGGAATTGTGAAAATATTCATTTTAAGAGGATAAGTGGGGTTATGCTAGCATAGATTGTTGTAAACATGCTGGCTGTGAACCCTTCAAATGTGCGAATAAATATTGCGTCACTCATTCGAACTCGTCGTACAGCTCATAATATTTTTATTCCAATGAAGGGATAATAAGGGATAATGTACGACGTGTCGGGAGGTTATCTCATTCGACCAATGATTTTTATTTAAACCTAGTTTGTCGACTGTAAAGTCACGTTATCGTTATGGTTTGGATTATTATGGGTTTATACTGCGCATGGTCTCTACAACGAACAAAGGACCGCACCTGCAAGCATACCGAACAGAGTGTATGGCTGAGCAAAGGTTTATCAACAGCAATATTGTGGCTATTATAATTGTTACCGTTTAGATTAAAATAATAGAATTAAATGCTCATTCATACACTGTACATTATTCTTTACGGAATATCGGATTAAATTGGATAGTAATAGACAAAGACTTTTTGATCTTCGTGTAGATTAACTCTTTTCGGATTCAGTATAATCACATCTACTCATCGATACAACGCCTTCTGTCTAGTTTTACATCAGAACAAGACTACAGTTTATTCTAAATGGGATACTTTTACATAAGTTGTGATACCTCTGCTTTTACATACTCCAATCAGTATACAGTTGCCTGTTAATAGATGCATCACATCAATTCCCATTGAAACGCAGACTTTTTAGTTTATCAGCTCACGCATATGACTAAGCATATTTACTGCTTGGCGTACATATCTTTAAATGTTGTTATTATTTGTGGTTATAACATGTTGTCTAAACTCGTAAGGCAAAAGAATATAATACACGCATTCATATATTCTGTTTGACATGAACAGCCATTTAACCCCTCTGAGAGCTCATTTATCAGGCCAGACAAAGTAAGTGACAGCTTATCGTTATCCTGATTGTTACTAACCTGAATTTTGGAGTCTTCTTTCCATCTTTTAACAATTACGGTAGCACAATGCAGTAGCACAGCAGAAGAACATGACAGGGTGCGATCATCAATTTGATTATATTTGTATTATACAGTTTATAATATACTATATATTTATGTCTTATTGTACATTAGTATAACTTGTATGCATCGATTGTTAATATTAATGGGCCAAACCCCATACTTAGGTCTAGAACCCCCTCCCCTCCCAAACCACATTTGAGACAATTTATTTATATGTAGTCTTAACACACATCGTTAATAAAGGACCAAATGCTAATAGTGACCTATTTAACTTTACGTCTTTTAATTTCGGAGTCGAGTTTTCATTTTCCGTTTCCATGTACACACGATAAGCAACAACTGATACTCACTCTTTGCTGTTCTGCAGGTTGTTCTTTTTGTGATTGTGGGACGCACACCAGAAACGGATAGATGCATGTATGCATTCTCAGAACACAGAAACTTGATATATTAAGATTAGATTTCTTGAGCATTGTTAACATGTTATTGGTACAGATGACAGTGCCCAAGATGCAACAAATAATGCATTCAATCACATAGATTATATACTTTATATTTAGCATTGGCAAAACTTGCTTAGCCATTGATCACGCTTGTTGTTATCATATTCTCGATCACATTCTCATACCTTTGATTCACTGTCGTGCAAAATCAAAATACTTATGCACATATACAAACGACTGATGGTCGAAATGTTAGTTTACTATCAATAAATCAATGAACGATATGAAACATAATAATAAAATTTTTTGGCGTTGGCTTTTTCATATAGCAAAGAAACGTATATATTAAATGGTCCATATATTTTGTTATCTTTGTGAGCTTCAAAAGTAAATCCTTATTGTGCATAAACAGATTCGAGCTTCTTTGTCTTTTCGCTATTGTTTATTGGTGATAACAAAGATACAATGTAATAGATATTAATATTGGATTGATTCTTAGTGATTATCAAAATAAAGTCACCAGACAATGTAATATTGGTATCTTACAAATAATAGATTAGATATGTATTCGCGTATGCTTGTTTGTACCCAGTCCAAATTGATTACTTCACGTAGGTGTTTCTCTAAACCTTATAAACAGAAAATTATTTTTCCTCCGTTATTGTTAACTGATTGTTGATAGGCAAGATGCTCAGAATGTTCTACTATTGTTGTAATTGCGTTCTATGTTTGGGTTATAGAAAGTTGAAACTACAATAAAATTTCGATGAATAAAATAGATTAGATATCTGTATGTATGGAATATTCTAAATAGACAAGATATTCTATTGTGCTAATATATTATTCAGGTTAAACAAACGTACATGATGAAGCATCATAGATGGCGTTTGTGAATGATTCAATCTCATGTAAATTACATGTATTGTGTGTACGATGTTCAACCGTTTGTCTGTTACACGATTTATCGTTGAGCCAATTACCGTTAATGAAGTCTTTGCACATAAATAAACACAGGCCTACGGCGTCTACCCACATCTTTAACAAGATTAAACATGACAATTTTAAAGCATTTAAATCCGTACCAAAGAAAACCAAACAACACGAACACTAACACAAACACAAACACAAAAACCCTATGTCAAACTCCACACACTCAAAACTGCGCTTTTCACAAACCAACCGTAACGAACCTACACCGACAATTAATACCGTATTGGATAAATGGCTGGCAACCCTCGCACGAGCAACGTCAGCGAATACCCAATTTGTGGTTGTACCTTAAGGTATCATTTATGAGAGTGAGTTTGCCAAAAAATACTCACTGCCAACGGACAGGTAAGCAATTTTTGATAGTATTGATTAAATAGGCATTTAAGCTGACTCTGTATTTATTTTTATTCATTGGTTCAGAATTCAGACGCGTCGAGACGAGAATCAAAGGGGTGGAGAAGAGGGTCGAGGCGAGAGCAGTAAACGAGCATTCCTCGGATACTCCTATCTGTGCATGGAGTGACAGATCCTCATTCTCACTCCTATCTGTGTATGGAGTGACAGATCCATGGCCCATGGCCAATGGCTCAAAACCCGCAATCGGTCGATTGTTGGGTTTAATATTACGGAACTCAACGGCATCTATTATATGGTTGTTAAGCGAGAGTTCCAGGCTGATAAATTTTACTTCCAACGAATTTGTGGTGGGTTTTTTGAATAGTAAAGATATCCTGGATGTAAAAATAATTTTTGCATCTTTTAAACAATATTAACGGCGTCTTGTAAACAAATCTAAAATGTTTACAGGGTTGTTCTTGTTAATCATTATTACATTTACCAATAACGATTATTTACTGTTCAAGACAAGCTTTATTATACAGCTCGAAACGACTATTTCACAATGGCTTAGATTATTATATATGAGCACACACAGAACGGATTTATTAGAACAGAAAGTAGTACTGGTATAATAGTTATAACAACACTTATTTTCAGATGTCAAACCCCTCAATAAATGAAAGCAAATAAACTACTTGTCGAGAAATTGAATCAAGTCACTTTATTAAAAACTACTGCTTATAAAAGTATTATTTCCATTGCTCTAATTGTTTACAGATTTTTTAATCAAAACAAACAAATGATTACTATTAATTGGACAACTGGTACGTATCTTGTTAACACATACAAATGACGTCTGATTAATTGTTCGCATAAGCGCCTAATTTATATTTTGATGATATCTAGGTGAATGTTATCAGACATGCTTCTCTCAAACAATACTATCTAACTTCACGGCTTTCAACTTTGAATATCTTCTTTTTTTCTACTAAATATATTTAGTAACAGTCGTAATTGTATCTCCTTGAAACCAATACTCTCTGCAATTAAATTTGTCCTTTATCAAAGGTAATAAATAATGTTTTTCAAGTATTTTTATGTAGTCAAATCTATTACTATACTATTACTATTCATTTTACTTTTACTAATGGCCCCCAATTCTTTATCAGAAAAGCATTTGATAAAATCTTGATCATTGTCTTGTCTTTGAAAGTGGCTCCAAACACCAAAACTGATGACAGAAAGTAAGTTGATCACAACATAAACAAGACTGAGATAATGTCACTATTACTATTAAAATAAATCAAATAAGTGACACACCTACATAATCCTCCACCTCCAACCATATTTTCAATATTAAATCTGGTACCAAGAGTTCTTCAAATATGGTAATGGCCTGGACCATCATTTTTAAAATATTGTAAATCTGCTCTCATCACTCCATATGACAGATTGCCACTCCAATCCTCCTTTCAGTGCACCATTTCAGGCTTTGTTCTCTTTGCTGATCACTTAATATTAAGAGAGGTTTGTGAGTGGTATATGAGCATTTTGTTCAATATTAGTTTTTCCAGCAAAAAAATTAATTTGTTATTATTATTGTTATTTTTAATAAGTCTTTAAAATTTTTTGACTTTTGTTAGTCATAGCTGCCCAGATTGGGGACAAGTAACAAGATCATCTCTGTTAAATTACTTTTCAATAGTACAAGAGACAGTTGTTCTATAAACTTTGAGCATTTTACTAATTTTTGGTACTGATTGCTTATTTTTGTAAAGGCCAATAATTTCACCTCTTATACTTAATATGTCATGCCATCCAGCCTGGTGAATCTGCAGGATTGGATGTTGTGCAGTATTAATGTCAGTCAGTTGCACAATCTCTGGCAAGAATGTTAAAAAGGAAAAGATAATGGAACAAGCTCTAATACTAAATATAAAGGCCAATTTGAAGTACCAGTATAGAAAACAGTCTAGTGCATGTCTTTAACATGATTGATGGATAACAACAATTCTAATGTATTTAATATTATTAAGGGATACATTTTAAGATCAATAGGGTTAGAAGTGCTTGCAAATTTATTTATATATTCTGATGTGTGTTTACAAATAATTATACATGCGTTTTTTCAAATCAAAACAACATTATACATAAAGTTTGTAGTGTATATTGAAGTTGCACAGTATATTTTTAAAATTACAATAATACTAATTAATATATAAAAAGATAAGATTGATCAAATCCTCATTCATCTAGTCATTTTTTGTTTTTATAAACAAAAAAAGATTTAGATTAGACTATAATAGTCTCAGGAATGACGTGCATTTTGCTTTTTTCGACACTCGAGTGACGTGCATTTTGCTTTTTACAACACCGAGATAAGATGTTTATAGTCTACGTATCAGGCGCTATATAGGTTGCATTTGTATCGTCACTTGAGAATCGCCGAGACATGTGCCAGTATGACGTGCGTTTTGCTTTTTTCGACACACTCGAGTGACGTGTATTTTGCTTTTTACAACACCGAGATGAGATGTTTATAGTCCGCTCATCAGGTGACGTGCGTTTTGCATTTTAGGACACGCTCGAGTGACGTGCATTTTGCTTTTTACAACACGCACCAAGGTGGCACATTCTATATATCTGGCCGCATATGACATATTGTATACCAGTTTGGCAATCATGATCGATTTCCATCGCTGGGTCACATGGACAAAAAAATATATCTGACGATGCATCCAATTATATAGTAACTTAGTGGTGCCGAAAATTATCGGCAGTCCCATGACTGTAAGCCACACAAGCCATCAATGTTATTGGGCAAGTTTAATTACACAAGAAAAAGGGCAGTCCCATGACCATCGAACATGATTTTTTGGTAAAGTCCATCGATCTTTATTGTCGTAATATAATAATAATAATAATACACTAAATATAATAATAAATATCATTAAATTTCTAGTGTGGTATGTATAAAAGAATTATCTTAACCAGAAGGCTAGCTTCCGATTTCTGGGGGGTTGCCAAGTTGACTGTTGTGTTCTAGCGTTTAAGGCTTCATTACATGCTAGAGTTTCATCAATCAAATTTTGCCTAAGCCTTATATATTCGTCAAAGAGATTATCATTCTCAATATTTTGCTCAAGAATAGAATTTAACAATTCGAAAATCTTTTTGTCAGTTGCTAACACGGCTTTTCTACTTTCTATGGTACCAAATCTAGCTTGAATACTCGATCCACTCGATTCACTCTCCGGTATAGTTTCTGGTTCATTTGAAGAACTTTGTTGTATGTGATTCCATGGAGTATTAATTGAATGAATTCTCAGAGGATTGTCTTCTCCAAAGTGGATAAATGGGTAATCGTGCCGACGGATGGTGGTTTTATATGGAGGAATATCTGGATTGCTAGCAGCGTATGTTTGTACCAGGTGTTTACACACCAAATATGGGTTATTTATAAAAGCAGGACAAGAACAAATCCATTTATCAATATCCACATGATAGCTTTCTAGGCGTTCGATATCCTTTTAAAGGCATTTTCTCCAATCGGTTTTGAAGGCTTTCCACCAAGATGGATATGCTCGATTGTTTTTGTATAATTGCCAAGTGTTCAACATGTCTGGGATCAGGCGGCCTGTTATAATATGATTTAAATGATCAAGACGAGGTCTGTTATAATTATATTTGTAATTGTGTTTAAGAACCCGCCAATGGGATTCAATGATCATTGTTGTTCTTGCTATAGGCATGGCTCTTTGATAGGATGATCAAGCAAAAAGCTTCCAATTTTTCTTATTATACCAGTTCATCCACAAATATGCCCATAAGTGAACAAGATTTCTCTGTCGACAATATTGATAGATCTCAGACGTGCTTTTGTGGTATATTTCGTCGGATGTAAGAAATACGTTTATATCTACTGGTATTAGCGGATGAAGAATCGAATGTTTTTTTACCAAGTCCTTAACTGCCTTTGCATCTGCCTCAGAACATAGGGGACTCCGTCTTCCTGTAGGAATCCAGTTCGGATCAATAAAGGTGAATCGTTCATTTGCCTCCCTTGCATGCTGAATTGAGTATTGTGATGACTTGTGATTTTTTTCGTTTATTTTGCGATCAATAGCACGTTCAAGATGCCAGAGACATAGTTGAATGTTTGTTGTCCAAGACCAAGCCTCCTGTACTGCCGCGATTTGTCCCATGTCCTTGTCAAGAAGAATGAACGAAGGTAAAATTTGTTCTGCTCTAATTGATTGGAAAAAGACTGTAAGAGCCATAACGCGATTATTAATGTTATTAATAGGATTTTGTAAAAGGTCTTCAGATGCAGTGAACGTATCGAGATACAAATAAGCAAGTGGCATTCCGAATCCTCCACAATTAATTATTAAGGCAAACAACTCAAACTTTTCTTGATTTGTTTTGAATGTCGAATCAAGAATAAGTTCATTAATATTGTCTTTTGAAATGTTGTTCATGAAAGGCGTAGTGAAACCAAGTGCTCGGACAAAATCATTTTCGATATGAAGGATTAGTTTATAACCCGCATCAATCAGTTCAGGTCGCTGCATGTAATCTTTTGTTGAAATAACTTGATTTTTTATATTCGTTATATATTGTCCAGCAGAAAGTTTGAGTGCCCAATAGTACACTTGGTGATAAGTGTGTTTTGTTGGATCTATCAACTTCTCCTCAGAAAGCCTTTTATGAAATTCTACCTTGCGAAGATTATGGTTTAGATTTGCTTTGATCCAGTTTATTGCTACTTGAGGCAGTCTAGTTTCACGGTAAGTTGGCTGCTGATGATATAAGTGATCGAACGTCAGTTTGACTTGTCTCAAAGGAATATTGATGTTTATTTTGATCTTTCCATTACAAGCAAATCGTTCAACAGCCGGTCGTACTTCACTGATTCGTTGTACGGGTTGATCAGAAGGGCGCTTATGTTGTCGTTCGATTCTTTGAGAACAGGATAGGTAAGCACTGGCACATCCGTAAGGTTGGTCGGCCTTTGTGCTTATATAAAGTTTGTTCAGTTCCCAATAGTATTTTGATCCAGCTTCAATCAAAATTACTAAAGTGTTTACAATACAATGGAAAGTGTTTTGACTGATATTATTTTGATCTATTTCATGTAGTGACATCTCAACAAGTTCATCACTTAATTCAACTGTGACCGAAAATTGAACATGGCTATGCTCTTCTCCTTCTTCCTCTTGAAAATGCACAGCAACAAGTTCTTCGAGATCACCTAATTCATAGATAAGTTCTTCATTTTCTCTGTCACTTTCTATCAACTGATTCGAGTCATCGTCACTTGCCGGCGGTTTATAACTTGTTGTATTTTCAATAGTAGGGGCCTTTATTCGTTGCAACTTGTTTTTTCTGTGCAGAGCAACGATTGCATACTGCCCATGGGCCAGTTTTTGCCGCGAATTCTCATAAAATCATCGATCGACCTCGTTACTCTACAACGCGTGCACATTTTTGTTTCAGGAAAATCTATAAATTAGAATATATCATCGATAGTTAATTAAATTGTTTTATGCATAGATGTTATTTTCGTCATATCAATAATATATTTGAAAACCAACCATCCATATTAGTATTTGATGCCATTGGAAAGTCGAACAAGTCAAAAAATTCAACTGGTATTTCGTGATGGTAAGTAATGTTAGAGTATTGTAGTATACTAATACTAAGTAATAGTAATTGGGTTTTTATGACGATTGTAGGGCGACTCGTGTCACTTTATATAATAATTTCATGAATACAATCGCGCTTTAGTTTTTGGAAATTTATTTTATGTAATTAATATGCGCCTATTTAATTATTATTATATAATAATCCGTAAATACAATCACGCTTTAGTTTTTGGAAATTTACTTTATATAAATACGCCTATTCTGAATTATTGACGTCCTTATATGGAAATATCTTGATCTATCGCTATATCTAATTTGCTAAACATTAGAATCGTATCGGTATTATAAACAACAAAATAGAATTTTAATATGGACTACTGACATTTCATGGCTTATTTATCAATCTTTATTTGTTATAAAACAATGGTAATATACCATTAAGTATACTATACGGCTTCGGCTTTTTATATTTCAATCAAAGTCTATATTTAGCAAATTATTCATCATCCAATCATAATAATCGCGTGTGTTCGATGGTCATGGGACTGCCCTTTTTCTTGTGTAATTAAACTTGCCCAATAATATTGATGGCTTGTGTGGCTTACAGTCATGGGACTGCCGATAATTTTCGGCACCACTAAGTTACTACAATTTATTAAACTGGGCTTTAGCGAGCATCTCGTTGTGAATAAAAGTTCCTCGCGATAGTTACTACAATTTATATATCGTCATTGTGGGCCCGATAAAATAACTGATTTAGGTTATGCTGACTTGTTGGGCCTTATCGCGAGTTTGATGGGTAGATCAGAGGAGACAAAAAAAGTAAGATTACATCTTACAATTTACATATCACTGGCAAACATTGGAATATAGACTTTCATTCCCTGCCTCAGAGCTCCAATTAATTCAACATTCCATTTTTTGGTATTAATATGTATAAGAGCATGACGCTTATCCCGTATATGCTGATTCCATATCACGGTTGAATTTTCAGCATCTATTTTTGAAATGGTTTGCAAATGTACAAGCGAGTCTGCAATCAGATTCCAAGAATTCGTCCGCAGATCATTCTAGAATCGATTTCCATATCGAGTAATAGTCCTGACTGTAGTATGCGTATGCGCGTTCATGTTATGCAAATAGACAGGTGCGACATCTTCATAAATTTGTGGCTTATAATATGGCCTTTGCGAATTGTTTATCGCTGACATGATAATAATAAATTTGGTTTTATAAATGTGACCCTATAGGGACCGAACCAAAATGTGACTGTATATCGCCGGAGTTTGAACAAAATTCCATTATAGTCTGGCCATTCGGAATTGATGTTCAAACAAAGATATTAAAATAAACATTGAAACACTCTTGAGAAAGGAATAAAACCTCATCTCATTCGTCGAGACTGCACCTTAATTGATGTAAGAGCACAGTCACATGATTTAACGCGTGAACGTATAATAATAAGGAAGCAACCTTGTTTACGAAACAAAATTTCTTTTATCTCACTCAACATAATAATAATACAAATGTCACCGACAAAGCCTGCCTCTTCTGAAATGAAGTATAGAAGTTCCTTTTCCTATAAGAACGACAACGTAAATGTTGTCAGATTTGGCCGCGACATCAATATGAGGATGGAAAGAGTGAACAATGATGTCGCAAGGATCTACTTTGTAGACGATCGAGGGACCAACATCCAGATTCCGAATGGGTTTGTTCTTAGGGATAATATCGCGAACGTAAACGTGAGGCCATTATTAAATAACGGGTTCGGAAATTACTTTACAAGTTGGATTTCCAACTATTCATTGCTTCGAAACGGGATCGAGATGTTCGCGTTGTCAAACCAGAAACAACAATCAGTTGAAGGATTAGATGGGTTTCGATACTATACGATTAATCGATAACCTTTTATTGAAATATCATGTAATGTTCTTTATTTATTGTAAGTGCTCCCGCAACTATATTAATGGTTTATTAACAAATTGCTTTTTATTAGGTGATCATCGAAAGCAACCCTAGGTTGGGAAACACTGATTACTGAGAAGGAATACTTTATAAAAAGACTAGTCGAACCTAAAGGTGCAATCTGTTAATCTATCTGTAATGTGATCGAAAAAATAATTAAATAACTCGACAACGCAACGCTCATCACGTATCGTGTGGATTTTGTTTATAATACAATGTCTGCATTTGTTTGACTCGACCCCTTTATAGTCACACATGCTTCTCTCAGATTAAATTAGAGAAAGTCGCATTGATAATTTGTTGTTATCAGAATAAACCACGTCTTCCAGATGAGAATAACCCGGTAACGTCAACGAGGACCGGAGATATTTTTTGATCCTCTCCCCACCACCAGTCAAATAAACGGCTTTTAAATTCATCTTTGTCCAGGTCTCCCGCATTGAGTTCACCAGTATCAGTCCAAGGAAAATCCGTTCTTGACAGACTTGGCACAAAATTATATCCATTGTAACAGTATGATTACTTTCATTAAAAGTACCAGACATATCACGGTAATAAATTGTCCGTTTTCTGCACAGTTTGCAGCTTGAGCTTGTCGACTTTCGCAATCGCCAATTATATTTGAGGATAAAAAGCCACTGCTTCTGTAGTCCGGGTCGTCGAAACAATGTCACATGATAGTTGAACTGCTACGTAAATCTACGTCGGCACGTGGTGAAAATGAGGACTCGACAATTTGAGTTTGACCGAGAGCAAGACCGAGAGCAAGACCAAGAACAAGACCAAGAGCAAGACCAAGAGCAAGACCGAGAGAGAGCATTGGAATTTGAATGCGCAGCGGCACCTGTCGATTATTACGGTCTTTGTTATTCGCCCTCTCATGTTGTTCTCTTCCATTCACGTCAATAATATTGCGCGCTCTCTTTTAAACAGAACTGTCTGTTTCTAACGCCTCGTTACTGATTTCTGGTTTCTTGCCTCATTTGCAACATTGCTTGCTACTTTGTTACTTATTTTGACAGCATTTGATGCTTTATACATTCCAAACATCCCCTGCCCATGGCCTCTTTTCAGGGTAATCCTCTCGTTTGTTAGTATCGGTGACCAAAACTTGGTCATAACACCCGATCCAGGTGCCCGTGGACGTGTAGGTGTCGAATGTATGGTGGATTATCGGATGTATGATTGGATTTAAAGTATCAAGGATAGAGCGGAATGTGTTTGGATCTAGTGGTATTAATGGTGTTTATGTTGAGGGAATTGGGGTAGTGACGTATCAGACGAAATAATGGAGGGAATAGAGCAGATGGTGCTTTTCCGGGATTGCTTGGCTGAGGATACCCTGCCTCCAGCAGACGTTTTCTTTAGAGGCGTCACAAAAGTATTTGTAGTGGTCCTCGCATGGTTGGCGTTAGTGTCTGCAAAATTATTTTCGTCTGGATAGTTGTCTGTTAAGAGCGAAAGCTCGCTGTTCTTTAATCCATTTTTCTGCAAGCGCCCTTCTTGTCGTTACCTTTGTTCGAGAGATTGTTTTTGGAGAATTCTTCATGTAATCAACGGTCTTGTCATTATCTGCCATTTTTTAGTTATATGTACGCGACTAGTTAGACAAAAGAGAGTGAGGGAAAGAGTAATCTACCCGGTTTGACTGCGTCGTGAATTTAAAAAGGGGGATCGGCATGAATTTATGTGAAATGACGCAACTTTGATGCAATTAAGCATATTAATATTCACGTTAATCACATACACTAATTAATCAATTTTATATATTGCTATCCTTATAACATGAACAGTTATCAATCTCTTTGTCAGTAAAGTTTGATCAAGCAACGTTTTCCACGATAAACAGACCGTTGGTGTATATAAATGTCGGTTGGATTTGTCAAAATATATACACGCGTGCGATTGACGGATGAACAGATTACGCAAATACATGATACAAATCCGATAAGATAGTTGCCTTGTAGACCTCTTTGTTACCGTAAACTCTCATGAATAAGAGCCCCCTTCATCAATAAGGGGGCTCTATTCATGAGATGTTTGATTGTGGCTTAAAACAATGCAAAATCACGTAACAATTGTCCGCGTTATCTTTATTTATTACATCACAGATCTTATCACATGATCGCCGCTTTCATATAGAATAAGATACGTTGCATGTATCATATTAATATCTAATATATCGAGATAGAATTTAGTAGAATAAAATCGAAAGTAATAAGTTAGTTGGTCTATGTGCAAAATTGTAATAGGTATAAGACAATACAAAATATGATAAGAAATTATTTGTAATAATCCTCCTACTACGAGAGTATGTGCTTACAATGGTGATCATACTCTTTTGCGAATCACTGTTGACTTCACGTGCTGGCATTTCAATCTCAATTTGATGTTCTATATACGAGTTTTCTTCCAACTGTTTTGAATTGTGTTAATATTAACGTTATCTTTTATAAGTATTTACAATGAGCAACAGCAGCAACAGCAACAGCAACAACTACAACCAAGCCCGAATGCCTCAATTCTGTCAACTTTCCCAGACTCATCAATAATATATCAAGCACAATCGCCCAGTGCTAACTTCAATACTCACACAAATAATCAAGAGCTGATCGAATACGCAACATTGTATACATCGTCACTTGAGAATATGAACCAACAAGATTTCGATGTGCTTTATTTCTTTGACCTGCAATTTTACGACGGTTTCGAGTGATCCGCTTTTCTGCCCTCTCGCTGATACCGAAAAACCTCTACCTCGTCCTAACCATCCATTCGATGCACGCGTTTGATTTGATCCACTTACTGCTTATTATTATCATATGTCTTCCAAATCCATCGTTATGACGTCCTCGGGATCGTCCCTTCTCACGTCTATCCATGGCCATTACATCGTTTTAAAAGATAGGGTTCAGCTGCCTCTCGAGCTCTTTTCGATGTCTTGCATGCCTGCTTTTCGTTCACTTTTTCGACATCTTTTGGTAAGATACTCTCTGTAGGAATTAAAGTTTATAGTTGGGATAGTGATAGTTGTATTCTGTGTGATGTTGATAAGGACAACGATGAGGATTTTGACATTGATATCGATGATGCCGAATTGTTGATGACCAGGACGACGGAGGTGGTGATAGAATTGGAAGGAAGCGCAATGGGGTAAGGTTGATGTCGGTGTCGGCGTTGGGGTTGCTGTGTTTGCAGAAGAGACAGATGAGATGGCTTAATTATGAACATAAAAGTTGATGCAATGAGAAATATTATAGTTAATACATTGGGAAGATTAATTGGGTTGGGAATTAATTACGATGATGGATTTATAATGTGAATAATTTGGTTACAAGTATGTGCATAATAGCAGTTATTAATGTAGGATAATAGTACTTACGAGGAAATAGATCCTTGAGCTATACCTTTTCGTTGCGAGCGACATGATCATATAAATGATATTCATGACGTAATAACCGCATCCTCCCTCACTCCATTACCAAACACAATACTCACTATTCATGGCTGCTAGAGAAGCCGACGCAGCTTCAATAAGAGTCAAGATTGTCCTTGCGGAGGAGCTTATCCATTAAGGTGCTTTCTATCTCCTCGGGCGAATTTCGATGTCTGCACAGGCAGTGTTGATAAGCCACTGATCAGGCAAGACCGATCCAAGCAAGTTGAGCATCCACTTTCACATAAACTCATCCTGACGTATCTGAATATAAAAAGATGGAGGAGAAGGTATGACGATTATAAGGAAACGAGCAAATAAACAGATGACAAAACGATAAGGCCTTTCAATGATAAACCCAGTCTATTCACGATATAGTCTGTATTTTTTACTTACATGATCCTGCAGTTCTGTTAGATAAGTCTTCTGGTAAATGATACTGAAAAATCGTGATTTCACTCGTACGGTGACCATGTTACAGTAATTCAGAGGGTTTTTCTTAAAGCCAGAAGCTATTGAATGGGAGGAGGGGGGTAAATATTGGGCGTCATGTTTATGTTGTAAGGCAAACTGCAGTTCCAATTAATGGTCAGTGTTAAAATATACAACGTAATTTATTTGTCATAGTTGATCTACTTACGTCTGTGCGCTGATCTAATACAACACGTCCAATGTATGTTTTAATAAAATTTAGGCGTGTGTGAACGGTTATGGTAAATTTTAAAGTCGCACGAAGTGCCATTAACAAGTATAAACATAAACCTTTTGTATCGTTATATGTTGTTTAGCAAGTCATCATTATTATTATATACTTACGCCATTGAAAGTCCATTGCACGCAATGATGTTCTTTATATCTTACTATTATCGTATAATTAACATACGCATATGATAGATATATGAACATAGCGAGCAATTTATTAACTATGCACTGCGCAAAATTTAAACATTATACATCAAACCATTAACTGAATTCGAGCACGGAATTATGGCTGTTTGAACACTCTGAACGGAAATTGAAGCCAGAACTGGCATCCCAAAAGCACAATACATGGCACAATGGAAAGATTGGTAGTGGAACATTTCATCCACATAGTGGGAGACACTGATAGGAGCAAAGTGACATTTTGTAAAGATCGGGTTGCTGTCATGGTTTAACAACTTTCTTATAACCATAAAGCCAACTCATTTTGATTTTAGTCAAAAAATACTTTGGTTTACAAAAAATTTTGATATCCTTTATTTTAAAATGTTGTGTATAATACAGTTAGTAGACTATTATTTAACCTCGTTTCTTTTGATGGGATTAATTCGAAACCCAATAGATCGGGGAATTCTTAGCCAAATATTACCTTACTTTGAAGGATTAAAGGTTACATATTAAAGCAGTATTTCCTAAGGAATTAACAGCTTAATATTTTATTGACGCAATAGCGAGTGTGACTTTATATCTTAACCTTAATTGATGCGGACTTGTGGGCAGACCTCGTTTAGGTTTCGGGACTATCCAGTGTATTTATTTACTTGTTCGAAGAAGTCTCTTATTATTATATACTAGCATTCGGATTAAGAGTAAGTTAAATACAAATACAGGGCGTAATAAAAAAACTCGGGGTTTTTTATTTTGCTATTGCTCCTCAATGAGTTAGCCAATTTTTATAAATAATAGCTCGTTTGAAAGATAAAAACAACTGAATTCATTTAATAATAATTAAGTTCTCCATTCTTAATAAGGTGTTTCGGTTCCCAACAATAAAGAGTTGGTGTTTATGTTTGGTTTGCGTCTCATTAATTTCACTAAATTAATTAACATGCTTTCCGGAATTCTATTCCACTCCTCCACAATAAATCTCTCCAGTTCACCGAGACCCTTAACAATTACCCAAAGGCTTTAAATCGATAGCCAGTCCATAACCGCCGAAAATTTTTTTTAGAAGCTCCGTAGCAAGGCGACTTGTGTGTTTTGAATCGTTGTCTTGCTGGAGTCTCCACCTATCGCCAAACATTTTATTTACTTCTGGAATGTGTTTCTGGAGGATTTCCACATAAAACTTGGCATCCATTATCCTCCGAAAACAAAATAAACTTGTTTTACCGACTGCCACATGCAAAGATTTTATGCGTTTGCGTTCCTTTATTAGTAGCACCTACGATTGAACGCTAAAGGTGCTTTGTACATATAATAAATAATTAAACAAGTCTATGTATTAAACCACATATTCTATTATACAAAACTTAATTAAACTATATTACATAATTAACTAGCCGTACAGTCTAGCCGGGGAAGAAGTGGGAGGCGTGGTGTACTTGGCAGGGTCTATATGCGACAGCTGGCCTTTGTTCGGCTGTGCATTATAAGCTGCCCTCCACAGTATTTCCTGTATTTTGGGGGAGGTCACCTTGGGCATGGAACGAATTTGCCGTTTACCTTTGTACCAACGTTCGACAGTGTTCCGGTAAAGTTGAACGCGGTTTTATCGGAAAATAATGTCTTCCTCCAATTGTCATTGAGGTGTTGACGCGCCCACTCAGCACGTCTTTGCTTATGGGCTTTGGTTAACATAAGAGTTGCTTAGGTAATGCTTTCGAGTACCCATAAACGGTCAGGTGTCTCGAAATTGTCATGTGCGACACATAAACACCCATATTCGACACTTTTCGAGCTAAAGTCCGTGTGGATATTGAATTATTTCTCCGTATTGATTGTCCAATTATGTTGGAGGTGCTTCCGGTTATTTTCCTGGGATGACCATTACTATTACTCGCGCGTAATCCACTGTTTCTTTTTTCTAAAAATTTTTATGTTATCACAAATGGTGGAAAGGGGAGATGTTTGTTCGGCGATAAATTCCTGACCATTGTGAATACCCTCGTTCTATAAATGTAATATACATTGACGTTGTGTTTTTGCTTAAAAGTGGGCATCGTGATTGTACAAATACATATCCCAAATAGGACATAAAAAAATCCGGGTTATACCCTGTATATTAATTTTTAGTGTCAAGTGAGTTGCCGACAATTAATGCATAATTCGTATTGTATATTTACAGTATGGCTTACATTTAGAAGAGTGTCATGTAAGTAGTCTTATTCTATCTTGTAGGAAAATGATGTCTATTATGAGAAGAGATTTCTTGGTTTTTCCTAGAAAATACTGTCTATTTGATTTTTAGTTAGTTTGTCAATTTTCTAAACATTAATGTTTTGTTTCGCAACGATAAAAGCAGGATTATGGTTAACCTGTTGACTGGAATAATTGAGTATTTACGTGGGGTGATTGAAAAGCACATGGATTTTTATCTTGACAAGCTGCGAGGTATTGAGGAACAAGTAAAAAAAAAGTTGGTGCGAGTTGACATGTTAGCATCCATTTTTTCATGGTACACTAAAAACGATTGGAAAAAAAAAGATTTAAACATAATTTTCAAAATTCATTCTATGCAATTTTTTTCTCTCTTTCATTGTCGATATACCATTGCCATAAATAAAATCACGTGACTGAGATTTTGCAATCATTTCAACTATTACTATTACTATGGCGATTACATTCCGATTTAATACCACGAATCCATGCAGTTCCATGCAGTTGTTTGAACAGCGAAAAGGAAAAAAAAAAGATCATGCAAATTGCTTAGAAATGTATGGAGATAGTAATTTATAAAAATTAGTTATAATGCATATGAAGTGATTTGCAGTATTCTAAAATCAAATGTCGGGTGTTTGAAACATCTGTTGCAGACATCGGATTGCGATGAGATTTTGCAAGTTATGAGGGTTTGTTATATGGCGTGTTCAGAGAAATTATCAATGTCGTTCCTAAATTCTAGAAATTTCCATTACAATTACCAGGTCAATTCATGCCAACTTATTTTTCAGCTGTCCATTGGAACTCAGGCTTGCAACTATAGTCTTTGTTTTTAAATACGTGGTATATTGGGCAGTTGTTGAGATAAATGTTCACAATACGATCAGAACTTTTCAATCACCCCACGTATCCGCCGCTTTTACCGTGATCTGCATAACCTTGAATAATCCGGCTGTAATATGATATAACGACACTGCTATATAACGACATCTTGTTATAACGACAGAAATCTTAGAACAAAAATTTTATATTGCTTGGTTGTCGTATGTAAGTTAATTCTCGATATAAGGACATTCTCGATATAGTGACCATTTTGATTGGAACCGAGCGTGTCGTTATTAGTTATATCGAGACCCACTTGTAGTACAGCAGTACCGTTCGGATTTGCTTAAGAGAAACACACGTTTATTATTGGTCACAAATCAAAATTATCGTACTTACCTAAAAATTAACCTGAATAACCGGTGCAGGTGACGGAATAGCGCAGTGAAGCGGCGGATAAATACTCGGGAATCTTGTTGTTACACTGCAGTATTGGAATACATTTTCCACTTGTATTGTTACGATACACATGGGCTTTAGCAATGATGTTATCATGCATCATATGTCGTCATATGTCGTCGTATGCCATCGTATGTTGTCATAAGTCGTCAAATAACAAATAGTCATGAAAAATAATATCCTATAACAGATGTTATCGATTCTGATACTCTAGCAACGTAAGAAGAAATAATAAGTACGCAACAATATCCCTTTTGCATGCAAATGTTGAATAATTATCTATATCCTAATTTGGTCAAACATCTGTAGATGTGTTCTAGAATAATCTGCAATCGTACTCAAAGTCTGATTGGTGTTCGATAATCTCGACTTAGAGAATTTGATGACGCCCAATCTAATACTGCAAATAAACGAGTATGTAGCTTGAGAATCGTGAGGATCCCCGAGACCTTACCAAGCGATTCTCTCTTAAATTGAGTTTAAACTTATGCTTCCTTTTACTAGGAGCTGGAAACTAATCTATTCGATTCTCTTGCCAATAAAGTCTACGAGCAAGAAAATAGAGAAATTGACTTTGCTTTTGCAAAAAGACGCTGGTTATTAAGAACAACCGGAAAGAGGACTGAACCCTGCCAATATACCAAAGAGGATTAAACGTAGAAACTAGTACAGCATTGGAAAAAAGGCCAAGTATTTTCTGAACTATCTGTATTACTTGACTCTAAAGAAGTACTTTTATATGAAAGTAGATCACTGTTAAAAGTCTTTCATAAGAAAGATTTGAACCCTCTAATGACAGTAACGAGTTGCTAGCTAGCTCATAATTCATTTGAAAAGGTTTCCGATTATGGAATCGGATAACCTTTTTAGGATGCAGCACATAAAGTGCTTTTTTGAAAAGGAATAATGAGTTAGAAAACCTTTAATCAGCAATCGTTGTCTGAAAAATGAAACAAGATCTTATTGAAAATTGCTAAAGTGATGAAGTTATTTAATTAAAAACGATGAGCAATTTTGTTTAGATAGTTTAAAGTACCATTCAAATAGCTGAGCGAATCCAGTCTTTGTGAAGTCCCAAATATCAAACATAAAAAAAGTGCCTGACGACATTTTTGAGAGATATTCGTAAAAAGAAATGATCTGCATTGACAAAACGGGGAATTTCCCTGTCGAGTTAACCTGACGATCACTCAACTTTGAGTGCGCTAAATATTTATGCATAATTTTGTTGACGCATAATTCCATGTTCCCGGCTCCGCTAGTGCCAGTATTAATTACAGTCATACCTCGTTTATATCCCCACTTTGGAAACCGAGATTTTTGGGGATATATCTGAGGTTGGGATATAACTGAGGTATAGCATTTTAATAAATAATATCGTGCAATTTTATTGGTTAATAAATTCCATTAGTGACGTCTGGCGTTTTGACATTTCTACTGCTTCATCTAAGCGCTTAATTATATTGCAGATATATCTTATATCACTTTCTGTCGTAAATTCGCTTTGTTCTAAAAACTTCCTGGCTGTCACAAGTGCTTCCCTTCCCACCTTTACAGAATACTTGCTTCTTCTTCCTCACTTGAATTTTCCATATCTATTGGTGTCGATGCAATTAATATGCGTGTGTGGATACTTTACGGTTTAAAATCGACATTCGTTAAAACCAGTTTCAAAGAAAAATAGTACTACAACTCTGTATATTATGCATCAATTATTTTAGAACCCATCGAAATGTTTTATTAGTTTGACGTTCGTATTTAGTTGGAAGGAGCATATTAATATTTTGAGCCACTAATAAAAAAAAAAGTTAAATTATAACTTGACTTCAATTTTATCAACGTGTACCCAATAACTGATTCTCCAGTAGGTAAGAGCTTACTGAAACATTTATTCTCCTTTCAAGACGTGATAAAGGTCTTGCATTATTGTGATAATGGCATGCCACATGCTGTCGTCAGAATTGCCCTCGTCAATATATATTCTTTTGGTATCATCGCGATTGTCTTGGCAGTTCGACAGAGATTTAGTATGCGATATTATGGGCGGACTACGACCACTGACGCCCGATTCAGCACCAGAAAGATACAAGAAACAAGCGTCCAGATGTAGAAAGACTTGGGTCGCGACCTATGCCTGATTTCTTCGTAAATTTGCAAATATGGAAGACTTCCGGTGCAACAAAGGGTAAACGCTTCGAATGGTTGGATTTGACTCGCGTAAAATCGCTGATCGAGACAGAATATGAATGATTCAATGCACTAATCCCACGCGATGGATAGTATCCGAATACCACAAACACACTAATTTCATCAACTTGTTTGTGTACCGGCCAGTTGACCGTAGGAAGTGGGCTTATTGTTACTATTCGGATGACCTATTTAATTAATAGCGAAGACATTATTAGAGTGCATCCAGACTTGAGTTGGGGCAAGAATGTTCTTTTTGTATAACAACAGCCGTAGCATTATTCCACAATAATAAGTGATCGTCGTCGAGAAATGAAACTTTCTTTATCAAGGTGCCATTTCCTTGCTCCGTTACAATAAGTATTAGTTTGCCACTCTTAAACTTAATTTCAATGTGCTTACCAGACCATAACTATCTGAATTCTTGCCGATACAAACTTATATCCGGGAATCGAGCCTTCTAATTATTTACGAATTTTAGTCGGGATAAAAGGAAGGATCACTGTTAATATGATAACTGGATACGCGTCTTATCAACGGGATGAGGACATACATGATCAACTGTTCGCTTCTCTCATTATATCAGACGACGAGCAACCATTAGCAACTACATCAGTTTCCAATACGCGGGCGCTTATCGATGACATGCTACCAATAGCACAGATCGGATGGATTTACACAGCACGGACCGTTTGGATCTTGGCACTATGGACCGTTTGGATATTTACAGCACAGGGTAGTGGATAATCGAAAGAATAAAGGGCTAGGAGACGCTTGGCCGATCTAGTTATGAATGGATGAACGAATAAGTACGTTGATTATCACTCGGATGGTTGCCATTATCCGGACAGACTTTCGGATATGCATTCAAAAGTAATCCATACCCTGTTTGCCTACTTTATCGTTATGCCTATTCTAATATACCCATTCATTTGGCCTGGTAATATGGGTCAGCAAAATGCTCTATTCAATTTCTACGGTATTACATCCAGACAGACACATACTTGTCTCTCCTCGACTTTCAAGCCCCCCCCTGTTATTCACATCCAACGGCTAAACTCTGTCTGCAACTATCGACGATATGGCCCCTCAGGGGTGCAAAAGGTAGATAGGTCAAGCCTAAACCGATAAATCAAACGTTGCTGTTCGTGTATCTCTTTGTTGTGTATGCAAAGCGTTTGGTTTCTGGTGATAGTCTCTTCCCGCGGTCTGTGTATGACGGATGTAAAGATACAAGTTAGTCAAGTGCACGTTATAATTAGAGGGGAGGTATCGTCTATTCGTCTCATTACCACATCTTGTTTCATTTATTCCTATTACGCAAACCCAGTGATACTTACGCGAAGAATGTGATCTGACGGAAGAGAAGTCACATACGCTGTCTCGTAATTATCATGCCAATCTATGTATATGAGTGTCCTGGGATGAAAAATTGAGATCCACTGCATGCAGAAAGAAATGTCAATTCAGATGGTATACTTGATCTTTAGACGACATTAGAACCCCCTCCAACGCTTAAATAAACTCTGTCAAGGATCGCGATATGTAACACACCATACTGCTCCAACAATCGGCTTGATCTTAGACACTATAACCCCTCCAACGCTTAATAGTTCTGCGATATGTAGCACACCACACTGCTCCAACAATCGGGACTGCGTTATCGTCATGAAATCGAATCGAAACGAAACGGCGACTGATGCATAGACTTTCATTCCATGCCCGTGGATTGACCGCCTAAGATTCATCTCCTTCAACATCGTATGTGAATCTGACGGAAGAATGGTCATTCGACCAATATATCCTGCTTAGCAGAGCAAAAATCATGAGCGAACATTATCGTAGTCATCTATGTAGATTTGGTTTGCGTTCATGAGACTATAATCACAAATCAGAAACATCTCTACCGTAGTCAACCGAAAAGACCAATTAATAATAATAAAGCTAAACCGCACCTCTACATCAGAATATAGAAGCCCATATGAAATTATGCGAAGGCTTTAATTTATCGTCACTATCGTCGGCAGCACCACAACGAAACGCAAATCACTCCATACCGGCGGGGGTACCAATACCAAATACTCGCTCATTTTAAACAGGATTGTACAATCCCAAAATGTGAAAAGTTGGCGGGATGAATATTTGAAGTCTTGGATAGGGTAAGCGCGGTTGGGCGTGCATTCGTGGTGGATACTCAGTCAAGTTGGGCGAAGGCGGTGATTGACGTGGTTGAAGGAGGGGAGTTTATTGCCTAGGCGCGCGCAAACCTTGGATAATTAAGTTCCGTGGGGCGTTTCGTAACAATGACGGAATGGATTGATTGAATAACAATACGAATAATACATACTTTGAATATGGGGATTTCTTTTTTTCTCTGAGGAAATGCCATGCTTCTGTCGTGAGAGAACATCTGATAGAACTTGTGGCGAATCACTACAATAATGATTGACAATTTGTTAATGACAAGACGGTACTCTCAAGCATCATACCACCAATTCGAATACTATGTGGCAGCTATTACTGTTGTCTTCCATAACCTCACTATCATTATCTTCCATCACGTCCCCCTTTTTTTAACTCTTCCTCTTTCTCTACCTGTATCCGAATTCGACATTTTCTTCTGTTAAATCAACATGACCCAAATTAAAGATCCGTCTTCGATGATCCACTGTGAGAATCACGTTTTTTGGTCACATAGTAGATCAAATACTGTTCTGGGAATATTGTCGAGCCCAAGTAATGCTTGATAGCAAGAAAATTACCTATATGTAGCTGCGACGCAAGCTGTGACAAATATTCATTGAAAATTGCTTTATTTAGGCGCATGGTTGTCGTATAATTCATATTGATATATTTTATTTATTTATTATACATTTACAATAATAATTATCGCTTAGTAGGTTACGATTTAACAAACATATTCAAATAAAAATAATGTGCTTTCTGAATCTAGCAAACGTCACTTCCTAATGTAGTGAGCGAAAGTGGAGTATAGTAACTTTCGTTTTGTTGTGATGTTAATGCCCATCTTCCGTATTAATCCTTGAGATTTCAGAGCCGTTTAGAACGTTTTTGTTATTATACGTTTCGTCCGTATAGCGGTAGGAGTTGTTTCCATGGCGGTAATCACTTCAAAGCTTTGAGGAATTCCACTCCAAGAAAAATGCGTATAAAAGTTCTGTGCTTGGTTGGACGTTCGCGTCTCGAACCAAATTCGCTTTGCCATAATTGCTAGTAGGTAGACCATAAGTATACGCCATATCCATACTTTCTGTACTGTGGCATGACTGAACTCTGCATTTGTTGCTACAAAATGGAGGGAGGGACTTGTAGTTGTTCAAGTCATAGTTCATCGGAAGAGTTGAATTGGTCTCAAAGAATTCTTTATGTCCACAAATACACCATGCAGGAATACATCTGAGTATTCCACATGCAGAGCAGAATCTGTATGGAAAAGAACCAGTGAA